CAAGGGGTTTCAATCAGTTTATAAGTACAATGCATCTGTTTTTTGTTTTTGCTTTTTTTTTTTTGCCAGTCATGGGGCTTGAACTCTGGGCCTGGGCGCTGTCCCTCAGCTCTTCAGCTCAAGGCTAGCACTCTACCACTTGAGCCACAGCGCTACATCTGGCCTTTTCTGCTTATGTGGTGCTGAGGAATCGAACTCAGGGCCTCATGCATGCAAGGCAAGCACTCTACCACTGAGCCACCTGACCGGCCCCAGTATAATGCATCCTGATCAGTACTACCCCTTCCATCGCCCCACCTAATCTTTCCAGTAAGCCAATCACAGATGGAAATAGTTCGTTTCATAGATAGAACTTTATTCTCAATGGTGTGTGAATGTGTTTGTTTTTGCTGTTTTTTTTTGTGCAGTCCTAGGGCTTGAACTCAGGGTCTGGGCGCTGTCCCTGAGCTTCTGGGTTCAAGGCTAGCGCTCTACCACTTGAGCCACAGCGCCACTGCAGTCTTTTGCTGGTTAACTGGAGATGAGAGTCTCATGGACTTTCTTGTCCAGGTTGACTCTGAACCTTGATCCTCGGATTTCTAAGATGTGAGCTACCAGTGCCACAGTATCAATGTGTTTAATTTCCTTACAAATAATATTCTTTGAAAACTTGATTGAAAATGTTTCTTTTGTATGAAAATGAATGAAATCTGCCAATATACTAAATAACATTCAAAGTATCTCACTGTGCAGTAAATAAGGTTGAACCCAGCGGGATTGAGCTCCAAATGCTTACAGTTTCCATTATTTAACTACATTTTAAGTCAGGATTCACAGGTTTGCTCCCATGTAGTTCCCCAGAAAATCTCCAAAAAGTGAATAAAAATAAACCAGACACAAAGTGTATGTGAAGTGCGGGAAACAGCTGAGGGGACGCAGGGTGGAGGTGGGGTGGGTCCTGCTGCCCTGGGTCCCGGCCAGCCAGGCAGGAGAGCGTCGGCATGCTGTGTGACTCCAGGCGCCAGTCCTTACCTTGCTCTTCGTACTGATTTCACTGCTCTGTGAACTGCTGCTACTGTGCCGCTTCTTGCCTTTCCGAAACATGATTCACCATAGCGTGATCCTGGATATCCTGCAAGAACAAACATCAGTCACAAGAAAAGCAACACAGCCGAGCGCTCACACTTGTGGACCTGTGAAAGGCACTTCCTCTTAAATAACAATGTCACCTCTTATCAAGAAATTCAAGGACCTCTTCAGTAAATTCAAGATTTCACCAAAATACCTAGTGTACTAAGGCTGGGCATGGTGGTACACACTTGTAATCCCAGATAGCTGGGAAGAAGACTATGTAGGCAAGACAATATCTGAACAGCCAACTATAAGCAAAGGGTGTTGGGGGCATGGTTCAAATGGTAGAGCACCTGCCTAGCAAGTGTGAAGCCTTATACACTGAAAAAAGAGTGACACATGCATTTACTCAGGTTCACATCCATCTTCAGGAGAGCTGAGGGCAGAAGGCGCTCACAGCCCTGGGAAATGTATGTTTCCTGAAGTAACTTTCAGGGCGGACATTATTTATAGGATAATGCCTCACACAGATTTGTCCGTGCCCACTCCTAGGAGATGGCAAATCATCCACCTTCACGGCCTCAACGCCTCCTCCAGCAGCTGAGACACGGTCACAGCCTCAAGGTGTGTGTACAGGCTTGCTACAAAGCCGGCCAAGGGCCGCAGGCCTCAGGCCAGGAGCTCTCATGATCTGCCATTTTATGGATGGGGCTGTGAGTTTACAGATAAGACAACCTGACATGCTTCTACCAACACTGGATCTGTCCAGCGGGAACAGGAAACGTGCGCACCGCAGACAGAACACACCGAGGCTTCACACAGACCTGGTCGGTTCTTCCCAGAGGAGCTGTGTCCCTGGTGAAGGAAAAGGACTGGGTAAATTGGGGCCCTCAAACCACCTCCAAACTTCTTTTTGCATCTACAAACCCCATCATTTCTGATCCAGAACCCAAGCTGCTTGCTTGCTCATTTTCTTTCTTTCTTCTTCCTCTCCATCCTCCCCCTTTTTTTCCCCCGTACTTGCTAGCCACTTGACCCATACTTTTTTGCTTTCATGGTTTTTCAAATAGCATTTCTTTCGTATGCTTCAGTCGCCCAGGACCACAATCCTCCTATTCATTACTAACTGTGTAGCTGAGATGACAGGTATGGGCCATTATGCTTTTGTTAAGATGGGGGTTTCATGAGCTTTTTGCCTGGGCAGGCCTTGAGCTTCAATCCTCCCAGTCTCTGCCTCCCAAGGAGCTGTGTGAGCCACCACAAGGGCCACTAACCCACAACTTTCTAAACTGCCTCAATCATCTCTTTCTAAGCTTTTGCCTCCTTTGTAGGGTAACAGAAAATGTGACTCATTCCCTAACTGCTTAGTTGCCAGTGAGCTTGCAGCTACAAAGCAAAATCCCTGGGTGGAGAACCCAGCAGGAAACCACCACTCCTACAGGGGAAGCTAATGCAAGCTATGGGAGAGATGGAAAAGTGATGGGTGAAAGGGGAGTATTTTACAATAAAAACAGCCTCTAAGGAGGGAGAGTTGGGCCTGGATAAAAGGGGGTGACTGGCTGGGCACGGTGGCTCATGCCTGTAATGCTACTCAGAAGGCTGAGATGAGGATCGGGGTTCAAAGCCAGCCTGGTCAGGAAACCCCATGAAACACTGCAGGGAGAGAGGAGACAGCATCAGGCTCCCCAGGAGCCCTTTCTGAGGACTGTGTAAGGTAGATCATGGGGACCTTTGGCTGATTAGAGTTTAACAGGAACAATCTAGAGGTTTTTGAAAAGCAGTCAAAGTTATAATCGGATTTCTGTTTCTAGAAAACATTACTGTGGCCCACAAGGTAGAGAACTAACTCCTTAAGACGATTTTCATGTCAATCTGGGGGCTTAAAGGAAAAGGCGTTTAGTAAGTTTTTGCTATCTAGTGCTATGTTGGTGCATGTTTTCAAGCAAATCATTCTTATTTCTAAATTACACATGCATAAAAATGAGGCCCAGGCTGGAGAAAGTCGCTTAGATGTCCCACCACCGGCAGGGTTCAGGTGGGGCCACCTCTTCCTCCCCTTCGCCTCCTCTTCCACTCAGGAAGTGACGTGATTGGCAGAAACCAGACATGGTCAACAGGCACATCCATCAAACCCGGGATTCACAGTCTGCAGGGACAAACCCCCGCTCTGGGCTTGCAGCTGGGTCACTAGACTGAAGTCAAGAGACCACACACAACTGTTGTTTTTAGCATCTAATGAAAGCAAGGGATCCTCAACCTCGAAAAACTGCCCGTGTGCCGAGCTGTTTGGTACAAGTGTCTTTAAAACCCACGCCGGACGCGGGTGGCTTATGACGGTCATCCTAGTTACTGCAGGAGGCTGAGATCTGAGCATTGCGGCGGATCGCGGCGGTTCCAAGCCAGCCAGGGCAGGAAAGCCGGTGAGACACTTATCTCCAGCAAACGACTCAGAAAAGCTGGCAGTGGCTCGGGCGGGAGAGCGCCAGCCTTGTGCAAAGGCAGCCCAGTGGCCGGGTCCAGGCCCGGATTTCAGGCCCAAAAGACATCCGTAAACCGCTGCAGGTGTTCTGTGAAGAAGGGGTCTCCCTCCCCGCCCGCCGCCACTCGTCACCGGAGAAGAGGCACGCGGCTTCCTCCAAGCACCAATCGGAGACCACTCCCCGCACCCCTCCAGCGCTCCCCTCGGGTGGAGGCTGAGGCCAAGTTCTCCCCCTGGGCCGGCTCGGTCCTCCGTGGCCCGCGCCGATCGCGGGTTCACCCCCGCCCCACACGTCCCCGGCTCCGGGCTCACGCGCGGCCCCCCGGCTCCACGCGTCCCCGGCTCCACGCGGCCCCCCGGCTCCACGCGTCCCCGGCTCCGGGCTCACGCGCGGCCCCCCGGCTCCACGCGTCCCCGGCTCCGGGCTCACGCGCGGCCCCCCGGCTCCACGCGTCCCCGGCTCCGGGCTCACGCGCGGCCCCCCGGCTCCACGCGTCCCCGGCTCCGGGCTCACGCGCGGCAATCCCATGGCAACCGCGGCTCATCCCCGGCTTCTCGGCTGGAAAGCCACCTTCGCCCCCGGGGTGCGCAGGGGACCGCGAACCCGCTATTGTCTGCTTACCACCACCGCCCTCCCGGCGGGGCCGGGCGACTCTCGGGGCGCTGACACCCCACTTGGCAACTCCGGCCGTGCTACGCGGGGCGTCGCGCCCAGCCCCAGGCGCTCGGGGCCGCTAGTCCTCACCCCCGGGCGCAAGGCCGTCGCAGGACGGCGGCGTCCCCAGGTCGGGAGAGACTCGGGCCCAAGGTCGCCAGGCTGGGGTCGCGGCCCCGCGCGCGGCGTCGGCGGTGTGAGGATGCGCACCCCGACCCCAGGGGCGCGGCGCCGGGCCGGGCACGCGGGGCGCCGCCGGCGGCTCCATCCCTGCGCCCCGCGTTCCCGCTGGCGTCCCGGGGACGGCGGCCTCCCCTCCGCACAGCGCCCGCCCCGAACCGCTCGTCCGCCGCGGGGACGCGGGCACGAGGGCGACCCCCACCCCGGCCACCGCGGGCTCCGCGGGCCCCACCCATCCGTCCAGACGGCCGGCACCGCCCTGGGGCCGCGTCCCCGCCCAGCCGCGAGCTGGGCCCAGCTGCGGCGAGTCCCGCAGCTCTCACCTGGAAGCAGCGTGCCCGTCCGCCGGGGGGGCTGCCTCTAGTCCGCGGTCGGAGCGCCCCGCCGCCCCGACAGCTACTCCAATTCTGACTCCAGCGCCAACTTTTCCAGCCCGCTCCACGACGTCCGCTAGGCCCCGCCCCCACGTCCGCCAGGCCACGCCCCGGAGCTGTGCGCAGGCGCAGTCCTCACGGCGCTCCGCGCGCTGACTGGAGGTGGAACGGTCCTCGCTTGCCTCCCCAGCCGGAAGTCCTAGGGAGGAGCGTGGTGTCGCGGGCGCCGAGTGCCGGAAGTTGCGTTTTGGTGGCTGGGGATTTCTCCTGTAGTTGGTGTTGGCCGCGCTTCCGTCTCCGCGGACCCCGGCCCTGCCGCTCCCGCGGCCTCCGGAGACCTCCAGGATGTCTGCGATTCCCGCAGAAGAGAGCGACCAGCTGCTTATCCGACCCCTGTAAGGGAGCGCCCGGCCGGCCGTGGGAAAGGAGCGAGGCCCGAGGCGTGCGAGCGGGCGGGCCCCGGAGAGCGCGGCCGGCCCGGGCCCGCCGCTGGCACTGGGGGAGGCGATGTTGGACTCGGGGTGAAAAGTTACTCCAGGCCACTGGGCATGCGCATGTAGAAGGGGCTGTTGACTCTCCTGGACCCGCGGGGCCGGCTGAAGCCGCGACCGTGGAAAGAGCGAGACCTGTTTCCTACCTTCTCCAGGACCAGACGTGTACCGAGATGTGGGCGCCAGACAGTGGTCAGGGACTTGCCCTGATGGTGGGACAGGCTCAGATGGTGGCAGACTGGTGGGAAGTTAGACAGGAGAAAGAGCAGAAGCATTAAGGACAGAAACTCGGCCCTGGATTGCCAGAAGACGCTGTCCGTTTACAGGAGATGGCCGGCTGCGTCCTGCAGTGTGTTTTGGTTTGTGTTGTGCCTGTACAGGAGCTTGAACTCAAGGGCTGGGCACCTGTCCCTTATCTTTTTCACCCAAGTCTGGTGCTCTACCACTTGAGCCACAGTTCCACTTCCAGCTTTCTGCTGAGGGTCAACACAAAAGCAGGAATGGGCTGGCTTTGAACTGTAATCCTCAGATCGTAGCATCCTGAGTAGCTAGGATCACAGGTGTGAGCCACCAACACCCAGCTTCTACAATATTTTATAGTAGAAAGAGAAATATAGGTGGATAATTTACTCCAGTGGATGAGCAAGTATATTTATTGTTCAGTATTAGAGAATGTAATCTCTTTTTTTTTTTGCCAGTCCTGGGGCTTGAGCTTAGGGGCTGGGCACTGTCCCTGAGCTTCTTTTGCTCAAGGCTAACACTCTACTACTTGAGCCACAGCACCACTTCCAGCTTTTTCTGTTTATGTAGTACTAAGGAATCAAACCCAGGGCCTCATGCATGCAAGGCAAACACTCTACCACTAAGCCAGCTTCCAGCCCCATATTGTTCAGTATTAGAGATGAGCACCGCATGAATGCGTGTTTTCTTTTACATATAGAAAGGTGTACTCTTTCAATACATGTTCATTGAGCACCTACTGGGAACAGAGCCCAGGTTTCCCTGTGCTTAATGCACACCTGCCCTCTGTCTACATTCTGAAGACACTGAGCTAGTGTTAAAGCACCTCAGCAGGCACAAGACAGAATTCATTGACAGCCTTTTTTGAGTCAAGCATGCACTTGGTAAATGACAACTCTTAACCAGAGCGCAGGTAGGCACTGTTCTGCTTGCTTGCCTGAAGAGTACAGAAAGGACTTTCTAGCAGGTAGAGAATAAGATCTCGTGCATCCTGTGCAAACTTGAGTAAGAATTACAGTGTAGAGGCCAGAGGGTTCCAAGCAGAAAAAGTGATGTGCAAAAATGAGAGTAGTCAGCTTGTGGCCAGTTAACTCAAAGTTGTGGCTAACACAGCAAAGAAGATATGATAGGTTATCTGGATCCAATTTATATGTTCTATAGAGTTTGGGCTTTCATTATGTCAGCTACAGGAGGCCAACAAGGGAGTCAGAGCAAGTGGGTTGCAGTGGGAATTCTATTTAAGAAGGTCATTGTTTAGCAGATGAATAAAAGGTGTTCTCATAGCATTAATTGGATGGTCCAAGTGTAAGTGATGAAATCCTGTACTCAGTGAAATGAAGGACAATAGTTGGGAAGAACAAGGCTTGAGGAAATGTGAAATCATCAGTATTTTATTGCTGATAGCTATTAGTTACCTGATGGGGTCTGTGGAGCACGTGTGTAGAGAGGAACATTTAGATTGGGACAATTCAGAGTCCTGGGTTGGTCACTAGTAAAGAGTGTAGGAGGTGGCAGATTTGGAAGATACTTGGTTTGGTTTGTACAACTTTGTTGTATAAGACATCACATACAAGTCACTCATAGAAACTGCATTTTGGGGGGGAGGGTTTTGGTATGGTGACAGAATTTTATAACCCTCACCAGTGTAGTTCTAGAACATTATCATTTCAGTGAGAAACCTGTATTTAATAGTAGTTACAGGGGCTGGGAAAGTGGCTCTGGTAGAGCACTTGCCTTGCATACATGAGGCCCTGGATTCCATTCCTCAGCACCACATAAGCAGAAAATAAAAAAAGCCTTAAGTGGCGCTGTGGCTCAAGTGGTAGAGCACTAGCCTTGAGCTGAAGAGCTGAGGGACAGCGCCCAGGCCCAGAGTTCAGGCCCATGACCAGACCCCCCCCCAAAAAAAAATGGTATTCACAGTCTTCTCCCAAGCCCTGTGTTACCACTAATCTACTTCCCTTCTCAATAGATTTGCTTTTCTGAAGCATTTCATATAAATAGAAGCCTTTGATGTCTGGCTTCTTTCACTACAGATAGTATTGCCAAGGCTTGTAATTTGAGGGCTTTTATTCATTTGATAAACATTTCTTAAGGTTAACTACATGTCAGGCACCATAGTAGCAGTGGACAAGTCCTTTTTTTTGTTGTTTTGTTTTTTGGTTTTTTTGGGGGGGTCCGGTCGTGGAGCCTGAACTCTGGGCCTGGGCGCTGTCCCTCAGCTCTTCAGCTCAAGGCTAGCCCTCTACCACTTGAGCCACAGAGCCACTTCCGGCTTTTTTCTTTTGCTTATGTGGTGCTGAGGAATCGAACCCAGGGCCTCAGGCATGCAAGGCAAGCGCTCTACCACTGAGCCACCTTCCTAGCCCTGGACAAGTCCTTTTAATGAAAATTTCATTTTAGTGAGAAGCAAACCATAAACCAAATAATTTCATGTAGTTGTGTTCCGCTAAATTCATGCTGGATTGTGGCTAGCTATAAAAACCAGCTTAGAAAAGGTCGTAGGGGAAAGCCTCTGGGAAGGTAACATTGGATGGAGATCCACCTGGTTAAAGGGAGTCAGTCATGTGACATGCAAAGTATAACATTCTGGGAAGAAAACAGGGCAGAAGGCTTATGTTGAAAACTAGTTTGGTGTATTAAATATAAGGTACCTTGGTGAGATCCCAGTAAAGAAACTTAACATAATAAATTAGAGCACTAGAACATGTGTTCAAGGGAACATGTACACATTGGAAGTCATTGGTGTGTCTGAAATGATGCAGTTGAGCAGAGGGTGAGGAGGGAACCAGGGAGACAGCTAATTGTGAAGTAAATAGAGAAGGAAAGCCAAAAGGATAGGACAAGAGTGTGGCATCAGAAAAGCTTAAAGAACCACGTGGTATGAGAAGCTGCCTGGAGAACGAGTTGGATAGAGACCAAGTGTGCTGTTTGCGCTTGGTAATGGTATTTTAGAGTGGACGGTGGAAGTCCGTCTGTACTGAACTACAGGGGTAGAAGGTGAGAAAAAGCAGGGAGAGAGAGTGACTGGCTCCTAGGCTGCTGGCTGGGGAAAGCAAAGTGGGAACGAAAGGAGATGAGAACTGAGGGGTTTACGTTTGGCAATCTAAGAAAGACTTCCACTTAGAGTAGAGGGTGAGGGGAATGCCAGTGACAGCATTGTTCAGTTTCTGAAGAAGGGACATGGAGAGCATAGAGTCACGCACAGGCTCACCTTACAGAGTAGCCTGTTCTAGGAGAACTGGGAAGAGGAAAGCTGGACGTTTCGAAAAGTGAAATTCAATTCTATTTCCTTGATGTAGATGATAAGCCTGTGTCTCAAGTAAAGGAGAAGACAAGACTGGAAAATTTAGCAAAGGGAATAATTATAACTGGAAAACTGAACTGGGGTCACTTAACTGGCAATATCTAGGGCAGATGAAGTAAAAGACCTGGAAATCGTGATAGCTTCCATCTGGTTTGATTTTTCTGCATCAGTGGACAACTCTAAGTAGGGTCCTAGTTTGGGGAGATCCATTTCCTGTCTGCTTATAAACAGAGGTTTTTTTGTTTGTTTTGTTCGTCATGGGGCTTGAACTCTGGGGCTAGGCACTGTGTCTGAGTTTTTTGTTCAAGGTGAGTACTCTACCGCTTGAGCCATAGTACCACTTCCAGTTTTCTGGTTGTTAATTGGAGATAAGAGTCTCATGGACTTTCCTGCCTGGGCTGGCTTTGAACGACCATCCTCAGATCTCAGCCTCCTGAGTAGCTAGGATTACAAGGGTGAGCCACCAGCGCTCTGCTAAGCTGAGTTCTTCATGTCAGGTCACTATTAGGCAATGGGATGCAGTTTAATTTGGAAGAACCATTGAATTTATTGGGCTCGGTGTTTTTTGGGGGGTTATTAGGGGGTTTGTGTGTGTGTGTGTGTGTGTGTGTGTGTGTGTGTGTGTGTGTGTGTGTGTGTGTGTGTATTGGGGTTTTTTTTGGCAGGATTAGTGTGGTGTTGGTTCCCAAATGTTGGGATTGTAGGCGTGTATCTTCACGACTGCTTTAAAGCTCTGGTTTTTTTTTTAATTTTATTTTACCTTTGAATTTTTACAGTGGAGCTGGCCAAGAAGTAGGAAGATCATGTATTATTCTGGAGTTCAAAGGAAGAAAAATAATGGTAATTATCATTATTATCATTGATATTATTATTTGATGCTAGGGATTGAACCTAGGACTTTTTGCATGCTAAGAATATGCTCTACCACTGAACTATTCCCTCATTGATTACTCATTTTATAGGTTAACAGAATGGCTCTTTCTGTACTAGATGTTAGGCCTTTTCCTAGCAAATTAGTTTTCTACTTAGTGTTATAATGCATATGATATGTGGTGTATCATGCTGAGAAAATAAATACATGCTTGTACTTCATAATTTAACAAAGCACTAAGTAATCTAAGGAGATTTATCCTGAGGTAAAAATACCAGGTAGGAAGTGGAGCTATGGCTCCAAGTAGTAGAGAGATAGCTTTGAGTAAAAGAGCTCAGGGACAGCACCCAGGTCCTGAGTTCAAGCCCAATAACCAAAAAAGAATTTCAATGTCAACTAGATCTCCAGAACTTGTTTCTTTGAAGTCTTTCTTCTGTTCTTGGGAGTATCTAGCCAACTTCATTGCTCTGCACAGAGCTTTACAGCTCTGAACACCCCAATGCAGCAGGAGTGATTGAGTACTAGTTTACCTAAGCCACCTTTGGCATTCTTCTTCTCTGAGCCTGAGAAGTAGAGGGGTTATAAGAGATGGTTTCTAAGGTCCTCAATAACGGTACTCAAGCCTGTAATCCTAGCTTCTCAGGAGGCTGAGCTCAGATTTGAAGTCAGCAGGCATGAAAGTCAGTGAGACTCTTATCCCCAGCAAAAAACCAGAAGTGGAACTGTGGTTCAAGTGGTAGGGTGCCAGCCTTGACTAAAATTGCTCAGAGACAGTGCCTAGACCCAGAATTCGAGCCCCAATCCTGGTACACCTGTACACACACACACACACAGAGTGCAGTGGCTTGTATGACACACACACACACACACAGAGTGCAGTGGCTTGTATGACACACACACACACACACAGAGTGCAGTGGCTTGTATGACACACACACACACACACACACGCACGCACGCGCACACACACACACACACACACACACGCACGCACGCAAGCAGTGCAGTGGCTTGTATGCCTGACCAGGTACGCTTTCTGTTCCTATGAGCTTCTCACAGATCTGGGAATAGCAAATTGACAAACTTTTAAAAAGCCTACCATCAACAAATACTGGAATTCTTGAAAAAGTTCATTTTGTATAGTGGTCTCACAAAAAACAGCTGGAAAGATGTCTTGTATTTTACATCTGATTTAATTGTGAACTGTATTCTACATTTGGGGGGGTAAGAGTTAATGATAGCAAGTTTACCATATTCAATAAGAATTGCATTACAAGTAGTCATATACAGTCCGTGTTGATTATGTAGAAGGGGGCCAGTGTAATTGGCTGTTTACTGGATGAATTTCAATAAAAGAAGATAGGAGACTAACTTTCTTCTTTCTCTTCTAGCTGGACTGTGGGATCCACCCTGGCCTAGAAGGAATGGATGCTCTCCCTTATATTGACTTGATTGACCCAGCTGAGATTGATCTCCTGTTAATTAGTCAGTAAGTCTTTTCCTTCAAGAGCAGTATTGTTTTTAGGATTGAGTTTGGGTGTGTATATGTGTTTGTGCTGGTCCTGGAGCTTGAACTCAGGGTCTATGCACTGCCCTGAGTTTTTGTGCTCACAGCTAGTGCTCTACCACTTGAGCCATAGCTCTAATTCCAGGGGTTTTTTTGATGGTTAATTGGAGATGAGAGTCTCATGGACTTTCCTGCCTAAGCTGGCTTTCAACCATAATCCTCAGATCTCAGCCTTCCAACTATCTAGGATTACAGGCTTGAGCCATCGCTGCCTAGCTAGCAGTATTATTTCAATATTCTGATTATTCAATATTCAGATTCTGAGATTTTATTTATTTTTTAGAAAACCAAATATTTTCTACTGGGAAACATTGCAAATATCTGTTTCTAAACCAGCACTACATTTTATCATCCTAGGCTAGAGGGGTACTAGGAACAGCTCACCAGCCTCTCTCTGTGTGTAATCTTCTATGTCACAGGGAAGGAGATAGTGAAGATCTTGAGTCCCTGTCAGATGAGACGAGACATCCAGAACATCTCCCTAGACTCACTGCTTGTCCCTTTCTTCTTGAACTTCATATATGCATAGTGACATTCTGCTAACTCATTACCATTTCTGGCTGCCAATGAAGCTCCAGTTCTAGTCTTGTCTATTAATTTACTGAAAAGACTTGCTGGGTTTTTTTAAGTGCTTTTAAAATAATTTCCTATATCAGAACTCTATGCCTTATTCCTCTCTGCACACACCTACACAAGCCTACTTGGTTTACTCAAAGTATTATTATGTAATGTAGGCTCCAGGAGCAGCAATTTAATTACACTTGGAGCTTGCTGGATAATGTGTGAATTTGTTCAATCTTGTCTGTTTTTAAGTTTCCACTTAGATCACTGTGGAGCATTGCCCTGGTTTCTACAGAAGACAAGTTTCAAAGGAAGAACATTTATGACACATGCCACGAAAGCTATTTATAGATGGCTTCTATCAGACTACGTCAAAGTTAGGTAAATGGTTTTCTTAGATCATCCCAGCTCTCCACAGTGCATAGCTCAAAATAGAGACCATTTTGTGTTTTGAAATACTGTAGTCTCAGTTATTCTCCAGATTTAGTCATGCAGAAATAAGCCACTGTGTGTCAGACCTTCCTGCCTTTATTTCCTTTTGGTTTCACACCCTTTTAAAGCTTTCGTAAATATACATAGTCCTACAGCACAAACACAGAGGGTAGAAAGGCACTGTAAACAGCATTTCAGAATTGTATTACTATTTAAAGTCAAATATATTGAGCAATCATATCTACTAAAATTTTATTTTGGATTAGATGATGACCAAAAATGGCTAAAAATGTTACATGAGGAAATTTTTCTTTTAAAGGAAATAACACACAAAAAAAGAGTTTTGTGAAGGCCTTAACCTTTCCTGTCAGAAAGTTTAGAGCATAAGTGTGATTCCTGCAGTTCACAGGATTAACCTTCACGCATTGTCGTAAGCTGCATATGATGGTATTTGCCTGGGGAGAGTGAGATAGGAGGACCATAATTTGAAGTGAAGTTGACTATATAGTAAGACCTAGTCTCAAAAGACAACAACAACAAAAATCTAAAGTTGATGTTTAATTCAGTAGTAGCTAAAATATTACTATGCAAATACAGACGAATAGGAAATTATACCTAGAATTGCTAGTTCACACCTAAAAAGTGCTTATGTGCCCAGCAGTCTTTAGTCTGATGTGAAACATCTTGCCCTTGATGCCTTTTGTTAACTCTTTCAATTTAGTAACATATCAGCAGATGACATGCTGTACACTGAGACAGATTTGGAAGAAAGTATGGACAAAATTGAAACCATCAACTTCCATGAAGTTAAGGAAGTTGCAGGAATCAAGTTTTGGTGTTACCATGCAGGCCACGTCCTGGGAGCCGCCATGTTCATGATTGAGATCGCGGGTGTGAAGGTAACTTTCCCGCCCAAGAGGAAGCAGGCCTGCGGTAGGCCAGCCACTAGCCTGCATTTGCACTCTGGCTGCAAATCGGAGTCACTTAGGAAGCTTCAAGAAATTCCTGTTGAATACCTCTAAGAAATACCTAACCTGGAGGTTTGGCCTTGGCTCTTTCCTTTCCAGATGATTTTCCTCTGTACCCTGGGGTATGAACCAGTGTTTCATTTTTCAATGAATCTTTTTAGCTGCTCATGTTTGAAACTTGTGCACACTGAGTTGGTACAGTATGTCATCACATGAGCTATTCTTGCACTTTGCTGCAGCAGCACAGAAAATGTAAGTAGCCTGAGTGCCTACCTGATGATCCTCATCTGAAATTGGATTTGCCTCTCTGGGCACCTGCCATCCACACTAGACAGTGCTCCAGTCCTCCAGAGATTGCATTCTATCAGCATGCCCTTTTTTTCTTCCCCTTTACTGAGAAATACTTTGTCAGTACTTACTATGGGGTGAGTCCAGGCTGCTTTCTTCTCATTAGTTATAATGGTAAGACAACCGAAATGCAGGATGGGTGTTGGTGCCAAAACCACCTCACACCTGCTGACTACACATAACATGGGATCTGTGTGCCGGTGCAGGGTGTTTCTAACTTAATTTTATTACTAGATTTTACAAGATTAAAATCTTCACTAGCAATATGAGGCCTTCCCTAAAACTTAATTTCCAGGGTTTTTTTTTTTTTTTCCTTCACAGCTTTTATACACAGGAGATTTCTCAAGACAAGAAGATAGACACCTAATGGCCGCTGAAATTCCTAATATTAAACCTGATATACTTATCATTGTAAGTATTACTGTATGTACTACAACTAGTGTAACATAGGGAGAATTTCTCTTGTGTGTGTGTTTGTGTGTGTGTGCGCGCGCGCGTGCAAGTGCAAATCCTGAGGCTTAAACTCAAGGCCTTGGTGCTCTACCACTTGAGCTACATTTCCACTTCCATCTTTTTACTGGTTAATTGGAGAGAAGATTCACACAGATTTGTCTGCCTAGAAAGTAGAATTGCAGGCATGTGCTATCAGTGGTCCAGCTTGATTCCACTTTCTAAAATGTTAAATTACTTAGGATTTTTTTTTATTTGCTCTTCTTTCCAGTTTATATATGTACTAAATAACATTGTTATAATTAACAACATGTATTCAGGTGAAAGACAAGTTAGTAGAGAAAAGAATCGCTTTACTACAGCATTTCATGAGCATGTAACTTTTAAGATCTTGGGGGCTGTTTGGCCTTGGTCTCACATGTCTAATCTGTTGTAGGAATCTACGTACGGGACCCATATCCATGAGAAGCGCGAAGAGCGAGAAGCACGGTTCTGCAACACTGTCCACGACATTGTGAATAGAGGTGGCCGAGGCCTCATTCCCGTCTTTGCGCTGGGAAGGGCTCAGGAGCTGCTCTTGATTCTAGGTATTTGGGAGGCTCCTAAGACCAGACATCATTTTACTAAGACATTAATGTGGCCTTGCTGTGCCATTCCACCACTCTTGGCTTCAGTTTCTTCTTTCAAAAATGGGGATTTAGCCGAGTGCCAGGCTCATGCTTGTAATCCTAGCTATTGAAGAGGCTGAGATTGAGGATTGTGGTTTGAAGCCACCCCTGCAGGACAAGTCCATGAGACTCTTTATCTCCAGTTAACCATAAAAGCTAGAAGTGGAGCTATGGCTCAAGTGGTATAGTGTTAGCCTTGAGCAGAAAGAGCTTGGGGACAGTACCCTAAATTCAAGCCCTAGGACTGGCACTAAAAAAAAAAATAAAGGGTTTGGTTTTGGTTTCTTTGGTGCTAGTAAGAGCCCAGGAGAGCAGCATTTCATACTCTGCTCTGGGACTATCAGCTGGTGAGCCTTTCTGCTTGCTGTCAGCATTCGAAGTCTCAAAATGTGCATACTCCTGACCAGCAGTCCCACTTCTGAGGAATTAATGAGGTGTATAGAATGACTTTCCAGTAAGGTTAGTCATCATCTTTTTTTTAAAATACTTTTGTTAATTGAGATTGAATGATTACATAAATTTCACAGTATTGTGGGATAGTGATGCTTACAGTCACAAACACATTTTAAACTTCACAAGGCAAGTTGTTATTATCATAGTCTATAAAGTTTGTGAATTCAATAAGCTTTGACAGTATAGCTATTTCTTCCAAGTTGAGTGATGCGTACATTTCTTTCCTTTTGCTTAGTGTAAGCTGGTGTGTGTGTGTATGTATGTGTGTGTGTGTTGTTGTTGTTGTTATTGTTTGCCAGTCCTAAGGCTTGAACTCAGGTCCTGGGCACTGTCCCTGAGATTTTTTTTTTTTTTTGGTCAAGGCTAGCTCTCTTCAACTTGAGCCACAGCACCACTTCCAGCTTTTTCCATTGATGTACTGAAGAATGGAGCCCAGGGCTCCATGCATGCTAGCAAGCACTCTACCACTTAGTCACATTTCCAGCACCATCTTAGTTTGAAAAGAAATACTTGAGTAGTCACTGCATTGTAGGGTATTCCCTATCATGTTCTAAATCAGCACAGTCCCATCTGTTCCTCCTAATCGGGCCTCTTTCCTGAGTACAAGTCAAAGTGGCCCTAAAGACTTGGCATGAAGGGTTTGCAACCACTAACAGCGAGGGAAATGAGGAAGGGGATGCCACATTGTCACCATCATATTGGTGCCAGTTGCTGCAAGATGTGACCAGTAAGAATGTAGTACGTAATGAGGCACTGGTGCCTTACACCTGTAAACTAGCTACTCAGGAGGCTGAGGTTTGCGGATCACATTTGAAGACAGCCTGGGCCAGAAAAATCTGTGAGACATCTTTAACCAGCAAAAAGCTAGAAGTGGAACTGTGGCTCATGATGCCAGCTTTGAGCAAGAAAACAAAGTGATGCTGGGTGCCGGTGGCTCACACCTGTAATCCTAGCTACTCAGGAGGTTGAGGTCTAAGGATCACGGTTCAAAGCCAGCCTGGGCAGGAATGTCCATGAGACTCTTATCTCTAGTTAACCACCAAAAAACAGTAAGTGGCGCTGTGGCTCAAATGGTAGAGCGCTTGCCTTGAGCTAAAGAGCTCAGAAACCACCCAGGCCCAGAGTTGAAGACCCACGACCCACAAAAACAAAACAACAACAACAAGAAACAAGGCAAGAGCACAAGGACCCATGTTCAAGCTCCAGTACTAGCACCAAAACAAAACCATTATATTACCCAGTCATATTTTAATTTCAGGTGAATAGGAAGACTTCAGTACGTGAAAAGCTAAGAAACTTCTGTTTATCTGAAGTTGAAGTGGAGGTTTGGTGTTTTTATCTGGTAACCCCACCATGAAAGCATGAATTATAGTTCATGAGCCAGGACCACAGAATGTGATTGTTGCCCCTTTTCCTACCTGCTCCCTGCAGTGCGGTGTGATGGGAAGGGAACATGCCCTTGGTCAAGTTACTTAATTATTTTTCAATATTTGTTCATAAAAATACAAAAACAAGCTGGGTGCCGGTGGCTCATGCCTGTAATCCTAGCTACTCAGGAGGCTGAGATCTGAGAATCATGGTTCAAAGCCAGCCCGAGCAGGAAAGTCTGTGAGACTCTCATCTCCAATAAACCACTCAGAACTAGAAGTGATGCTGTGGCTCAAGTGGTAGAGCTCTAGCCTTGAGCTGAAGAGCTGAGGGACAGCGCCCAGGCCCAGAGTTCAAGCCCCACTACTGACAAAAAACAAAAAAACTGATATGTTCATGGGATATAATGTATGAGAAGTTCTATTAGAATGTACTTGAAACTTTGACACTATTAAATTTGTTTAGTTATTTCTAAAAAAAAAAAAAAAAAACATGAACAGGCTGGGAAGGTGGCTGTGTGGGAGAGTGCTTGCCTTGCATGCATGAAGCCCTGGGTTCGATTCCTCAGCACCACATAAGCAGAAAAAGCCGGAAGTGGCACTACGGCTCAAGTGGTAGAGAGCTAGCCTTGAGCTGAAGAGCTGAGGGACAGTGCCCAGGCCCAGAGATCAGGCCCCATGACCAACAAAATAAAGCATGAACAGTGGCTGGGAACGTGGCTCAGTGGTAGAGCACTTGCCTTGCATGCATGAGGCCCTGGGTTCGATTCCCCAGCACCACATAAGCAAAAAGAAAAAAAGCTGGAGTGGCGCTGTGGCTCAAGTGGTAGAGCGCTAGCCTTGAGCTGAAGAGTTGAGGGACAGCACCCAGGCCCAGAGTTCAGGCACCACAATCAGACCCCCCCCCCAAAAAAAAAAAAAAATGAACAAAATAAGTCAGGACAGAATAGGAAATGCATGTATAACCCACATGACAAGTCTTTGAGGTATAGTCAGTGGTCTGTTGGTCTGTTATTCAGTAAACTGTAACTGAATCATTTGTTAAAACTTCTCCATCTTTGGTCTATGATCACAACATTTTAATTAAGTTTGTTTTTTAGATTTTGTGCTCTTTTCTGCTGGGGGGGCGGGGTTGGGCAAGAGCTGAGACCAGGACTGAAACTCCATCTGGTGCTTATTTCCAATCTGAGCCATGCCTCCAATCCCCACACCAGTATTTTGAAGTAAGTTTAGACTTTAAGTCTAAATTTGTATAGACCAAAATTATTTTTCTTAACTTTTTAAAATATAATTTTGTGATACTTCTTGGTTTCATGTGAATTTTGAAGTTATTTGTGGGTATCATTTATTGTTTGAACTACATCTAGCACATAACTGAGCCGGGCTGTTTCTCTCACAATGGCTGTAGATGAGTACTGGCAGAACCACCCTGAGCTGCACGACATCCCCATCTATTACGCGTCCTCATTGGCTAAGAAGTGCATGGCTGTGTACCAGACGTACGTAAATGCCATGAATGACAAGATCCGAAAGCAGATCAACATCAATAATCCCTTTGTTTTCAAACACATCAGCAACCTGAAGGTGAGTATATGTGGGCAAAGGGAGGCTAAGGTTGGTCCTGGCAATGGTGAACTGTCTGAGTCCTCCTCTGGAGGCCAGCCTCTTCTTTGGTCAGCCATGGTATTCCTCCATGACATCGACAGGGCAGCACCTGGCATTGTATTTGTTTAAGACAGGGTCTGGCTATACAGCCCAAGCTGGCACAAGCTCTTCCTCCTTCTGCTTCAACCTCCAGAATGCTGGGATAAACAGCATTCTTTTTTCACTTTAGCAGATTTGCCAGTTACTCTGAGCCTTTACAAACTCCCAGTGTTTATAGTTGCTGTTAACTTGGCTCTCTCTTGCCATAAGAATAAAGTCTTGACAAGAAAAAGATGGTATGCTGTCTAGTCAGAATCTCAACTTCCATCCAGAGCTCATCATCTTTTTGATTAGTACTACAAATTCCAGATTTAATGCCCCATAGGTTTACTTTTCAAGAGCATTTGGTAAAATCTGATGTAATGAATATCTAAAATAATGTAAGTTGTAAGTTGTATTCCAGGCCCTGAGAATATCCTTGGGCCTTCAGCTACGTGTGGAGAGTTTAGTGCTAAGCAAATTGACTGCTCTGTATCGCGTCCCTCCACGGTTGCTGGCCTACAGTTTAAGTGGTCTTATATAGCCTCATAGACTATTTCCATTGAAGTAGTCTTTTTTTTTTTCCTTGGGTCAAGTCATGGGGCCTGAACTCTGGGCCTGGGCGCTGTCCCTCAGCTCTTCAATTCAAGGCTAGCGCTCTACCATTTGAGCCGCAACGCCACGTCCAGCTTTTTTTCTTTTTTTTTTTTTTTTTTTTTTTTGCTTTTCTGGTGCTGAGGAATCGAACCCAGGGCCTCAGGCATGTGGGGCAAGCTCTCTACCACTGAGCCACCTTCCCAGTCCCTGAAGTAGTCCTTTAAAGTACTCAAGTTTTGATTTTAAAACTTGGCAATTGAGCCGGGCGCTGGTGGCTCACGCCTGTAATCCTAGCTACTCAGGAGGCTGAGATCTGAGGATCGCGGTTCAAAGCCAGCCCGGGCAGGAGAGACCGTGAGACTCCTATCTCGAATAAACCACCAGAAAACCGGAAGTGGCGCTGTAGCTCAAGTGGTAGAGCGCTCGCCTTGAGCTGAAGAGCTGAGGGACAGCGCCCAGGCCCAGAGTTCAAGCCCCACGACCGACAAAAAAAAAAAAAAAAAAACTTGGCAATTGGACTTAAAGTGTTAACTAGATTTGCCCCGGGCCCTCTCCATAGTGTGGTGAACCTTCTGTATCACATTTTGTTGTTCTTTAAAAGTGAAAGATGCTTTGTCAAACCTGGTGGCCAATGGTTAACTGCTGTACCATTCTTCGTTTTCTCAGAGCATGGACCACTTTGATGATATCGGCCCCAGTGTAGTCATGGCCTCTCCAGGCATGATGCAGAGTGGCTTGTCCCGTGAGTTGTTTGAGAGCTGGTGCACTGATAAGAGGAACGGCGTCATTATTGCAGGGTACTGTGTAGAAGGCACGCTTGCCAAGGTCAGTCTGCATCTCAGGGTGCTTGCAAAAACTGCAGCAGCCTCATCAACTTTCCACTCAAGGAGTTCCTTTAAAACACAAGTTCTGATTTTAAAAAGAGATTGGAAATGGGTAGCTAAAGATGAACACTGCAGACACTGAATGACATAACTACATCTAGGAGATCAGGACGTACATTGAAGTTTAAGAAGTGCTCAGCTAGCCAGGCGCTGGTAGCTCACGCCTATAATCCTAGCTACTCAGGAGGCTGGATCTGAGGATCGAGGTTCAAAGCCAGCCTGGGCAGGAAAGTCTGTGAGACTCTTATCTACAATAAACCACTAGAAAACTGGAAGTGACGCTGTGGCTCAAGCGGTAGAGAGCTCGCCTTGAGCTAAAGAGCGCAGGGACAGTGCCCAAGCCCAGAGTTCAAGCCCCACGACCGACCAAAAAAAAAGAAGTGCTCAGCTGGTTACAAGTAATAAAATGAACAAAAGGATAGGAGACCATTTGTGTTTGTTCACACTGAGTACCCTCAGCTAATGAAGAGGTTTACTGATAAAGGCTGAGTATCTCTCACCCAAAGTGCCAAGGACTGAAAGAGGAATTTTTTTTTCTGTTTTGTAGTTTTGGGTTTTTGGAGTGTTTGCATGGGCTTTACCAGTTGAGTGTGCCTAATCTTTGTATATTCAGAAAGTGTTGTATTTTGGAGAGTTGTTTTTGTTTTTAATTTTCATTTTCAAACTAAAGGTGCTCATCTTGTGACATAGTCTTTTAAAACCCTGTAGAAGGGGCCTGACTCTGACCCATGTGTATATATTCACAGCTACTTGGGATCAGATCAGGTTTGAGGCCAACCTGGGCAGAATGTCATGAAAAGTATGTCTCAACCAACAACTAAGTGAGGTGATATGCACCTGTCATCCTAACAGCGCAGGAATCCTAAACCGGAGGATGACAGCACAGGTCAGCCAGGGCATACAAGACCCCAAAGTAAATCAAAAGGAGCTGGAAGCATGACTCAAGTGGTTGAACGCCTGCTTAGTACATGTGAAGCCCTGAGCTCAACCCTGACCACCACCAAAACCAATAAATAAGTCACGCTGTAGACTGCCTGTCATTGTATTGGTGTAACATGTCTGTTCTTAGCTTCTAGGGAAGAAGATGTAGAAAATAATGGAAACTTATTGACAAAGATGTATGAATATCTAAGCATTGGAAGCTTAAGAGACAGTGTATGAGCATCTCGTTCTCATAGTCTTATTGTTAACATCTATTTTATATTGAAAAACAAGGTGATTTCTCACTTTGCCCATTTGCAATTAGAGAGAATATTGGTCGTGTGTTTAAAGTGGATTTCCATTATGTAGAAATTCTGATATCTGGAAAGTGCTTTTCTAGCCTAGGAAAAGAGCTGGGATTGCATGTTTGCCTTCTAAGTATGTGTTCTAGTTTTCACTTCTAAATATACTGAGTTTTAGTTAATTTTCTTATTCTCCTGAATAAAGTTTTCTTATCATGAAAATGAGTATTTGGAACTTCGTAAGTCAATGATATTGGACTGATTTTTGTGCTGAAGCTTATGGTGGAGCTTAACATACGAGTGGAAGGCTGCATGACAAAACTGAAAATGTGGGCTGGAATGTGGCTTAGTGGTAGAGAGCTTGCCTAGCATGCATCAAGCCCTGGGTTTGATTCCTCACTACCACATACACAGAAAAAGCCAGAAGTTGCTGGGTGCTGGTGGTGCATACCTGTAATCCTACCTGCTCAGGATATCCTGAGGCAGGAAAGTCTATAAGACTGTTATCTCCAATTAACCACCAGAAAACCAGAAGTGGCACTGTGGCTCAAGTGGTAGAGTACTAACCTTGAGCTGAAGAGCTGTTACAGTGCCCAGGCCCAGAGTTCAAGCCCCACAACTGACAAAAAAAAAAAAACTGAAAATGTGCCTGTTCTAATTGGACAGTCTGTTTTCTTATATTTGTTTTTAACAGCATATCATGTCTGAGCCTGAAGAAATCACTACCATGTCTGGACAGAAGTTGCCGCTGAAAATGTCGGTTGATTACATTTCTTTCTCTGCTCATACAGATTACCAGCAAACCAGTGAATTTATTCGTGCTTTGAAACCGCCTCATGTGGTTAGTATGAATTTGGTCTATTGTGAACGTTTAGTTAATATTAAGGAGGAAGAAGCATACTCCCAAGCCCCCGACCCAGCAGCCCTCTGTCAACAGAGCATTTGCACTGCGCTTGCTTTGACCTTCAGCCCCCCCCTCCACCCCTTGTGTTAGGCAAGCTGCATTCTTACTTCGTTCACTTTTTTGTGACCCTTCCTCAGGTCCCTGTTTCAGCTCCTGTTCATTCTGTTTGCTGCAGCCTGCCCAGTAACCTAAGAGCCAGGCTTGCGATGCAGCCGCTTGTTTGAACTCTGCTCATTCCTTTACCTTCTGTGTTATCCTGAGCAAGCTAGTTAGCCTTTGTGTCCCTCATTATAGATAGGGATGGTAATGCCACACAAGGCCATTGGGACAATGGAATGAGAGCATGTGCCTAAAGCACTTACTAGGATAACTGGTTAATAATATGTGAAATAGACAAAGCAAGAGTAATTTGGACAGGGAAAAACCTTAATAGTAAAATAGATATGACACATTTGTACATAAAGCTCCTTATCAGTATGATTAGCCTGTCTCTTTAAGCTTCGTGTAATAAAAGTAATAGTTATATACTTTGATGGAGTTAGCAAGAAGAAGAAACTGAAAATAATGTGTGCTTTTAATTAGAAGAATACTATGGGACTGAGGTCTGTAGAAAATAGATAAAATTCCCTTTTGACATGAAAAAAAGTAGATTAGAGGAAATGGCTTTCTGTTAGTTGCTTTGATTTGTTGCTATAAAATGTTTTTATTGAAAATCTATATAACATACAACATGCATTTGAAAGTCTATAATTCAGTGGCATCAGGCCATTGTGCAACCGGAACTTTCCATTGCCCCAAACAGACTACCCGTCACTCCCTGTTCCCTTCTCTCAGCCCTCAGTTACCTCTAGTGCACTTCCTATCTCTGAGTTTGCCTGACCTAGGAGAAGTGTATACCACTCCGGTGCTTTCCAGGTTCATCTGCGTTGTGATGTGTGTCAGAACTGCATGCTCTATGCTAGGTGATATTCCATCATCTGTACATGTTCCATGTTTTGTCTGATTTATTTGTCCATTGATGCATACTTAGTTATATCACTTTTGGCTTTGACATTCATTTCTCTGATGAGTTGAGCATCACCTTGTGTGCTCGTCTGTAGTCTCTAGGTAATATCTAGTGTGAAGGTCCTCAGGACTGAGCAGTGGCGTTAGTGGTCAAGTTCATTGATGGACATATCACTTACAGTCACGTGTATGTGTGCAATGCAGAGGACTCCACGATTTCTAGTGTACATGGCTGTGGCCATTCTCAGGTCATCAGCTGGGAAGAGATCTGTCCTCTGCTTTCTCTGTTGTTCCAGTTCATCTTTAAATCCCTGAATTGAACTTGATGCTCTCTTCCTCCAATAACCAGTGGCAAAAGTGTAACTACGTAGTAATTCTTACGTACTAGCAGTGTTAGTTAATAGCCAGCATTTATTTAGTGAGTATTGGCATTTGCCAGGCGCTGCACTAGCGATTCACATGAGGAACTCGTGTAATCATTGTAACAGGCGCCTGAGGTGCCAGAGGCCTTAGCCAGCAGCACACGGCAGTGCCAGGACTCAGTGTTCGCCTGTAGGTAACACAGTGGCAAGCCTCCACCCAGGAATGTCTCAGCAGCCACACTTCACCAGCCAGACAGGAGCCATCTGCCAGTGGGCTAGAAGCTAGGAAAATAGAGGTTACAAAAGTTGTTGCACATGTCTGTAATTCCAGCACTAAGGAGGCTGAGGCAGGAGGACTGAGGTATGAGGCTAGCCTGGACAGCACAGTGAGACTCAGCTCAAAAAAAAAATACAGCCCAAAAAAGAAAAAAACAACAACAACTGAAAAGCTAGTGCCCTCTGACATTTCACTTGGTCCTGAAACCTTGTATTTCCTTGCCTTAATAAACAGAAGAACCTATCAGAAGCTACTTTTTTCCCTTCGTGAAGCCTTTTATGCTGTGCATTAAGAAATGTAGGGAAAACTGGATTCTTTCTGAGAGAGCAGGAGTAGCTAAGAACCATTGTATGTGAAGTTGCAGGGAAGGCAGAGGTCAGCCTGGCCAAGCCCTTTACCATGTGGGCACAGAAGCCTCCCAACAGAAGTGACACTGAGAAGAAGGTTCTTTATACAAAACCGGTGCCACTGAGGATCTTTGTACAAAACAGATGCACCTTACCCTCTTCCCAAGCAGAGCGAAGAGGTCTGTGCAAGTCTGGCTGAAGGCCCTTAAAATTAGTAGTGTACTTCTTCGAGTCTTTCTCATAAATTTAATGCAGTTAAAGATCATTATTTTTCTGAATGAAAGGTATTTCTCGCTACTCTTTGAAATTTTGTCCTGTGTAGATTTTAGTCCATGGGGAACAGAACGAAATGGCCAGACTGAAAGCAGCACTGATTCGAGAATATGAAGATAACGACGAGGTTCACATAGAGGTTCACAACCCTCGGAACACAGAGGCAGTGACCTTAAACTTCAGAGGGGAAAAGCTGGCCAAGGTAAAAGGTGACGTCGCCTCATCCTAGCCATTTTTTCTTTGCGGGGAGGTATTCTCTGTAAGAAGATAGAGTTTCGGAAGGTTGAGGCAGGAAGATCCATGAGTTCCAGGCCAACCTGGGTTATATGCAAGACCCTCTCTCAAAAGGAGGGGAGAAAGAAAACAGATCTTTAATCAAATCTCAAGGAAGTGCTCGCTTCTGTTTACATAGGATGCTACAAAGACCTAAGCCTGATGCCTCTTTCGCTTCTTTTGCTATACTGTCATTTCTCCAGGTGGGAAAGTTTTAGCTAGATTAGTTCTATAGTGAACTTGAGTCCTAGAACTCTTTAATCAACATCTCCACATTTCCTCCCCACCTTCTGTGGGTCAACAGATATGCATTACTATTGCACTATAGCCAGTGGGAAGCTGTGCTAAAGATAGGCCATATCTCTAAATGTGTGCTCTTGGTCTGGCTATGATAGAACACAGAAAGATTGTCTTAAGAAATAATCAGTTTTTATGGTAAACTATAACACAAAATTCAAAACTGAAAAATAAAATTGAAATAGTTAAACACCTGATCTAGGCTTTTAGAATGGTGGAAACACTTTTTATTTTCTGGGTTTTCATTCAGATTTTTTATTTTTATCTTCAAATAGTTGTACAGATTTTTGTAAGTTATTTCTAAGGCAAACTTTTACACAATTTATCTGAAATTTTAAATATCAGGCATGGCATCTGTTGAGTTTATAAATGCATCCCAAGACAGAGATGAAGCCACTGCTGGGTGGGTAGCCTTTCTTACAGTTGAAATGAGAGAAAACAAACAAAAACCTTGGCAGTGAGGCTTGGCTTCCAGGGAAAGCAGCTGGTTGTGGCCACACCTGAGTCCTCACTGCTCACCAAGCCTCCCAGGGCTTGGTGTTGTGCCTGGAAAAGAATACACTCCGTAGGAAATCCCTCACACTCTGCTGGTGGAGCTTCAGGGGCAGGGCGTGCAGTTCCACTTTAGGAGAAGCCACCTTGACCAGGCAGGAAGCTGAGCTTAATAATGATTACTAGGTTGTTCTACTAGGAATTTTAGTTACTTAAAAGCACATGCAGGGGCTGGGAAGGTGGCTCAGTGGTAGAGCGCTCGCCTTGTATGCCTGAGGCCCTGGGTTTGACTCCTCAGCACCACATAAACAAAAAGAAAAAAGCCGGAAGTGGTGCTATGGCTCAAGTGGTAGAGCGCTAGCCTTGAGCTGAAGAGCTGAGGGACAGCACCCAGACCCAGAGTTCAGGCCCCACGACCGGACCAAAAAAAAAAAAAGCACATGCAGACAGAGGGTGTAGCTCAGCAGTAGAGTGCTTGCCTGGCATGCCTTAGAGTTCATCCCTGGTCCTACAAGGAGTTTAAAATTGGTGGCTCATACCTGTAATCCTAGCTACTCAGGAAGCTGAGATCTGAGGATCACGGTTCAAAGCCAGCCCGGGCAGGAAACTCCATGAGACTCTTATCTCCAATAAGCCACCAAAAAACCGGAAGTGGCGCTACGGCTCAATTGATAGAGCACTAGCCTTGAGCTGAAGCGCTCAGGGACAGCGCCCAGAACCAGAGTTCAAGCCCCACAACTGACAAAAAAAAAAAAATATTGGGGGTAGCAGGGAAGGGAGGAGGTAGAGAGTGTGAATTGGTTCAAGGTACACCTTGCATGCATGGAAATATCATAGTGAAGCACCCACATGTTACAGATAGAGATGAACTCAAAAGTTATTAGAAATTGAAAGGAAAAGCATTAGCTTTATCTCCCCCTCTGGTAAGTCGCTGCCAGTTCTCAGAGCAAAGCCTCTTTCCAGAGAAGCGGCTGCAGCACGTGAAGTAGAGCAGTCTCCACTGGTGCTTGTTAGGACAGGGCTGCGTGCCATAGGTGTGTGTCCTTGCTCCGTTAACGCTGCAGTCTTCATCCTGTGAGTCCATGGATTGGTGGTTGGACTAAGGAACCTTTAAGAGCTGTAGGCTTCCTGCCTGTAAGGGTGCAGAATCTGAGCGGTTGTTGCTGCTGTCTGATGCCCCTCTGCTTAACACCTGCTTTCAGACTACTTTCTTCATCATGAGCTCAGCACACTCCCCCTTGTGTGAGGAATGGCACTCCCTCTGGGGTGCCTGGATTTTTCTGTCTTTCATACGTTGTTTTTTCCTCAATTGTACTGTTTCTGTTTGTTGTCTTAGGTCATGGGCTTTTTAGCAGACAAAAAACCAGAACAAGGCCAGCGAGTCTCAGGAATACTTGTTAAAAGAAACTTTAACTATCACATACTTTCTCCTTGTGACCTGTCCAGTAAGTATACTATTCAATATCAAATAGAATTTGATCTCATCATTGAAAGAAAATCTATGAAAAGTTTGCTTCATCTACTGGTCAGATTTTTAAGTAACAACCCAGTAGTATCATGAGTATAGATGACAGTAATCCAAATAACTTTGTAGAAGAAGAAATCTTCCCCAAACTACTGAATCGCTTAACTTATTAGTGAACTTGCTCTTTTTTTTTTTTTTGCCAGTTCTGGGGCTTGACTTGAACTCAGTGCCTGCAGGCTGTCCCTTAGCTGTTTTCCTCTAGGCAGGCACGCTACCAATTGAGCCATAACTCCACTTCCAGCTTTTTGCTGGTTGATTGAAGATAAGAGTTGCATGGACTTTCTTGTCCAGGCTGGCTTCAAACTGATGCCTAGCTCTCAGCCTCCTGTGGAGCTAGGAGCACAGGCATGAGCCGCCAGCCGACACCAGGCTATCGCTGGTCTTTTGTGCCCTCTAAGCTCACCTCTAAAACTGGCTGACCACTCCTGCTGTCCTTGTAGCTATCTATTTTCCACTCTGTGTCAGAGTATAGGCTCTTCTTTCTGGACTATGTTTGGCACCTCCCAGGGGAGCTTTATTACTTTGTTTTGTATGTTGTAGTGGTGGTGGAACCCAGGCCTTTGTGCAAACCAAGCCAGCACTCTACCACTGCACTACAGCTCCAGCCCTCTACCACTACACTACAGCTCCAGCCCTCTACCACTGCACTACAGCTCCAGCCCTACCACTACACTACAGCTCCAGCCCTCTACCACTGCACTACACCTCCAGCACTCTACCACTGCACTACAGCTCCAGCCCTCTACCACTACACTACAGCTCCAGCCCTCTACCACTACACTACAGCTCCAGCCCTCTACCACTACACTACAGCTCCAGCCCTCTACCACTGCACTACAGCTCCAGCACTCTACCACTGCACTACAGCTCCAGCCCTACCACTGCACTACAGCTCCAGCCCTCTACCACTACACTACAGCTCCAGCCCTCTACCACTGCACTACACCTCCAGCACTATACCACTGCACTACACCTCCAGCCCTCTACCACTGCACTACAGCTCCAGCCCTCTACCACTACACTACACCTCCAGCACTCTACCACTACACTACAGCTCCAGCCCTCTACCACTGCACTACACCTCCAGCACTCTACCACTACACTACACTCCAGCCCTCTACCACTGCACTACAGCTCCAGCCCTCTACCACTGCACTACAGCTCCAGCCCTCTACCACTGCACTACACCTCCAGTCCTCTACCACTACACTACAGCTCCAGCCCTCTACCACTACACTACACCTCCAGCCCTACCACTGCACTACAGCTCCAGCCCTACCACTGCACTACAGCTCCAGCACTCTACCACTGCACTACAGCTCCAGCACTATACCACTGCACTACACCTCCAGCCCTCTACCACTACACTACAGCTCCAGCACTCTACCACTGCACTACACCTCCAGCCTTCTACCACTACACTACACCTCCAGCCCTACCACTGCACTACAGCTCCAGCCCTACCACTGCACTACAGCTCCAGCACTCTACCACTGCACTACAGCTCCAGCACTATACCACTGCACTACACCTCCAGCCCTCTACCACTACACTACAGCTCCAGTCCTCTACCACTACACTACACCTCCAGCCTTCTACCACTATACTACAGCTCCAGCCCTCTACCACTGCACTACAGCTCCAGCCCTCTACCACTACACTACAGCTCCAGCCCTCTACCACTACACTACACCTCCAGCCCTACCACTGCACTACAGCTCCAGCCCTCTACCACTACACTACAGCTCCAGCCCTCTACCACTGCACTACACCTCCAGTCCTCTACCACTACACTACAGCTCCAGCCCTCTACCACTGCACTACACCTCCAGCACTCTACCACTGCACTACAGCTCCAGCCCTCTACCACTACACTACACCTCCAGCCCTCTACCACTACACTACAGCTCCAGCCCTCTACCACTGCACTACACCTCCAGCACTCTACCACTGCACTACAGCTCCAGCCCTCTACCACTACACTACAGCTCCAGCCCTCTACCACTTCACTACAGCTCCAGCCCTCTACCACTGCACTACAGCTCCAGCCCTCTACCACTGCACTACAGCTCCAGCCCTACCACTGCACTACAGCTCCAGCCCTCTACCACTACACTACAGCTCCAGCCCTCTACCACTGCACTACACCTCCAGCCCTCTACCACTACACTACAGCTCCAGCCCTACCACTGCACTACAGCTCCAGCCCTCTACCACTGCACTACAGCTCCAGCCCTCTACCACTACACTACAGCTCCAGCCCTCTACCACTACACTACAGCTCCAGCCCTCTACCACTGCACTACACCTCCAGCACTCTACCACTGCACTACAGCTCCAGCCCTCTACCACTACACTACAGCTCCAGCCCTCTACCACTACACTACAGCTCCAGCCCTCTACCACTACACTACAGCTCCAGCCCTCTACCACTGCACTACAGCTCCAGCACTCTACCACTGCACTACAGCTCCAGCCCTACCACTGCACTACAGCTCCAGCCCTCTACCACTACACTACAGCTCCAGCCCTCTACCACTGCACTACACCTCCAGCACTATACCACTGCACTACACCTCCAGCCCTCTACCACTGCACTACAGCTCCAGCCCTCTACCACTACACTACACCTCCAGCACTCTACCACTACACTACAGCTCCAGCCCTCTACCACTGCACTACACCTCCAGCACTCTACCACTACACTACACTCCAGCCCTCTACCACTGCACTACAGCTCCAGCCCTCTACCACTGCACTACAGCTCCAGCCCTCTACCACTGCACTACACCTCCAGTCCTCTACCACTACACTACAGCTCCAGCCCTCTACCACTACACTACACCTCCAGCCCTACCACTGCACTACAGCTCCAGCCCTACCACTGCACTACAGCTCCAGCACTCTACCACTGCACTACAGCTCCAGCACTATACCACTGCACTACACCTCCAGCCCTCTACCACTACACTACAGCTCCAGCACTCTACCACTGCACTACACCTCCAGCCTTCTACCACTACACTACACCTCCAGCCCTACCACTGCACTACAGCTCCAGCCCTACCACTGCACTACAGCTCCAGCACTCTACCACTGCACTACAGCTCCAGCACTATACCACTGCACTACACCTCCAGCCCTCTACCACTACACTACAGCTCCAGTCCTCTACCACTACACTACACCTCCAGCCTTCTACCACTATACTACAGCTCCAGCCCTCTACCACTGCACTACAGCTCCAGCCCTCTACCACTACACTACAGCTCCAGCCCTCTACCACTACACTACACCTCCAGCCCTACCACTGCACTACAGCTCCAGCCCTCTACCACTACACTACAGCTCCAGCCCTCTACCACTGCACTACACCTCCAGTCCTCTACCACTACACTACAGCTCCAGCCCTCTACCACTGCACTACACCTCCAGCACTCTACCACTGCACTACAGCTCCAGCCCTCTACCACTACACTACACCTCCAGCCCTCTACCACTACACTACAGCTCCAGCCCTCTACCACTGCACTACACCTCCAGCACTCTACCACTGCACTACAGCTCCAGCCCTCTACCACTACACTACAGCTCCAGCCCTCTACCACTTCACTACAGCTCCAGCCCTCTACCACTGCACTACAGCTCCAGCCCTCTACCACTGCACTACAGCTCCAGCCCTACCACTGCACTACAGCTCCAGCCCTCTACCACTACACTACAGCTCCAGCCCTCTACCACTGCACTACACCTCCAGCCCTCTACCACTACACTACAGCTCCAGCCCTACCACTGCACTACAGCTCCAGCCCTCTACCACTGCACTACAGCTCCAGCCCTCTACCACTACACTACAGCTCCAGCCCTCTACCACTACACTACAGCTCCAGCCCTCTACCACTGCACTACAGCTCCAGCACTCTACCACTGCACTACAGCTCCAGCCCTCTACCACTGCACTACACCTCCAGCCCTACCACTGCACTACAGCTCCAGCCCTCTACCACTACACTACAGCTCCAGCCCTCTACCACTGCACTACACCTCCAGCACTATACCACTGCACTACACCTCCAGCCCTCTACCACTGCACTACAGCTCCAGCCCTCTACCACTACACTACACCTCCAGCACTCTACCACTACACTACAGCTCCAGCCCTCTACCACTGCACTACAGCTCCAGCCCTCTACCACTGCACTACAGCTCCAGCCCTCTATCACTACACTACACCTCCAGCACTCTACCACTGCACTACAGCTCCAGCCCTACCACTGCACTACAGCTCCAGCCCTCTATCACTGCACTACACCTCCAGCACTCTACCACTACACTACACCTCCAGCACTCTACCACTGCACTACAGCTCCAGCCCTCTACCACTGCACTACAGGTCCAGCGCATGTTAGCCTTAAACTTTTTTGTTGAACAAGTTCAGTGAACATTTGATTTTTTTAATTACCTATACATTTATTAATCTGATATTGGTGTTGGGGCTTTGTGTGAGCAAAGCCTGTGCTTTACCCCCAGAGCTATACCCCAGTCCTAATGGCTTGTAGTTTTTGTCACTTGTTGGGCCTGTTTATTCTTCACCATTCCAAAAGAATAACCAAGAATAGGGAACAAAATCTTTATGTTTTAAATGGGGGAAAATTAGGAGTGGAGTCAGGTTCAAGTGGTAAAGCACCTGCCCAGCAAGCACAAGAGTCTGAAGTCAAAGCCTAGCCTTGCAAAAATAAAAGGGGGGGGGGGGAATTGATTAAGGCCTAATTTTAGCATTGCATCAGAACTTCCTTGCAAATAAGAATCACCAACCATAAACCAGACTGTAATCTATATGGAAAAAAGTAAAAATATGGCAAAACTAAAATGGATTACATTTAAGTTTGTAAGTTGCTTTTCCCCAAAGTGTGTGAGCATTTCCATGTGAGTTTTGTCTGTGTATATTTAAGCCATCAATAAATACTTTTCCACAGTACAATCTTCTAATTAATATTGCACTTAATTTTACTTATATTTGCTAATAAATTATAAATGTTTTATGAAGAAATCAGAAATAGCAGTGGAGCTTAGGTATTTATCTGTGATATATGCCAATTGTCAGCTTGTAGACTCTGAGTGTGTACCTTGCTCCTTATTGGGCAGGTAGAGGGCTCTGACTCTTAGGCTGGGCTCTGGGCTAGAATTTGGAGCACCAGGAGCTACCAACACACAGTGCTGGCCTGGACTTGTCCGTGTCCTGAGGGCAGTGCTGGCTACAGCACAGCTTGGTGCTCTATAGAGATACCCAGCACTCATGTAAGGAGAAGCTGGGAGGAGAGGTGGGAAGGCTGCCAGTCATCTTGGGCTAGTGCTGGAACCGCGAAGCAGGAAAGAATGCTGCCTCTGCCTGGCACCAGTGGCTCACTGTAATCCTAGCTACTCAGGAGGCTGAGATCTGAGGATCATGGTTCAAAGCCAACCCCGGGCAGGAAAAGTCCATGGGACTCTTATCTCCAATAAACCACTCAGAAAGCTGGAAGTGGCGCTGTGGCTCAAGTGGTAGAGCCCTAGCCTTGAGCTGAAGAGCTCAGGGACAGCACCCAGGCCCAGAGTTCAAGCCCCACGACCGACCAAAAAGAAAAAAGGAAAAAAGGAATACTGCCTCCAAAGACCTGAGTGTTGAGATGCTCCTTCCTCAGCCTACCAGAAGCCAGGATTACAGGTGTGGGCCACCAGGCCCAGATGGTATTTTCCCTCAAAGTATATTTGTTCTGATTTTTTTCCAGATTATACTGACCTGGCCATGAGTACTGTGAAACAGACGCAAGCCATTCCGTACACCGGGCCCTTTAATCTGCTTTATTACCAGCTACAGAAATTGACAGGCATGTCTGCTTACTTGTAATCGTTCTTTCTCTCTCCCTCTGTCTCTCAGGTCTCACTCTGTAGAGACTGCTTTAAACTTGTGATCCTCTTGTCTCGGCTTCACAAGTGTTGAGAGTGTAGGTGGACATCATCATGTACTTTGCCTTCCCTTTTTTAGTACACTACTTCTATTTCTATGAGTAGATATTGTTTAGTTTTGTAACTGTCTCCATTTTTTATTTGCACTTTACATCTTTTTATCATCTTGTTATCATCTTTAGGTGAAGTTTTTAAAAAAATATGCTCATAGATTATTTATCTATCTATTTATTTATTTATTTTTGGTCGGTCATGGGGTTTGAACTCTGGGCCTGGGCACTGTCCCTGAGTTCTTTAGCTCAAGGCTGGCGTTCTACTACTTGAGCCACAGTGCGTCCTCTGGTTTTCTGGTCGTTAATTGGAGATGAGTCTCACAGACTTTCCTGCCCGAGCTGTCTGTGAACCGTGATCCTCAGATGTCAGCCTCTGAGTAGCTAGGATTATAGATGTGAGCCACTAGTGCCTGGCTCATAGATTTTTTTTTTAATTCCATAATATCTCTTACCTTTAATCTACTCAGTCGGGAAAACATTAGTAGTCTTTGCTACTTGAGTCTAAGATCTGTTTTAATTCAATGTGCCTAACATTTTTAGCTGTTGTTTTCTTTGTCCAACGGAAATGGTTTTTCTGATTCCATTAGCACCTGTCTGTCTATACAACAGGTTTTTTAAGAGCTTCTTCTGGCCATTGGCCAAAGGCCAGGAAGAGAATGAACTTATTCATTATTCAATCTGTTCTCACCATTTTGTGTGAAAGGCTTTGTATATTCAACATGAATAGTGGCAGGGCCTAAAAAATATGGTATGTTCCTAATAAATCAAGAACAGGTCAGACTATAATGCTTCCTGTTTATGGTGTTCTTCATTGTTCACGCAGTACAGCAAGGGCATGACACAAACAGTAGACTGAAGATGTATTTTCCTCTCACATTGGTAGTACAATCATGGCTCACATACAGGAGTTAGTGAAATATGTCAATAATGATCCTTGATTATTGAGTGGATACCAGGAAGACCAGTGAACTCTGCTCTTCAATAGTAGATCTTCCTGGGCAATGCTAGAACCCAGAGATAGCAATCACTGTGAAAACAGTTGAACCTTATTTATACTAGATGCTAGTGGAAGGTCAGATCTCTTGTGTCAGTGTAGGTGTTTGAGTATCTCTTAAGTGTGCTACTGATAGAATAGTGTGTATGTGTGTGCATGTGCATGCACACGCGTGCGCACTGGTTCTAGAACTTGAACTCAGGGCCTGGGCACTCTCTCTGAACTTCTTTTGCTCAAGGCTAGTGCTCTATCACTTGAGCCACAGTTCTACTTCTGGCTTTTTGGTAGTTTATTAGAGATAAGTCTCACAAAGTTTCTTGCGCAGGCTGGCTTCGAAGTACAATTTTCACATCTGCCTCCTGAGTATGATAGAATCTTTAATGTCCAAAGTAAATCCTACTCAGTAAATCCTACCTAGTGATAGGAACTTTTACAATTAATGTGTTGGGATCATTTAGTACAAGCAACGAACATAAAACTTAGCTGTTTGATTATATAAAAGTGAGTTTTTATTGTTTCTATTACGTAGCAGGTTGATATCAGCTCTCTATAAACAAATGTCTCTAAAAGTTTATAAGATGGTAATGCAAATCTTAAAATTGTTTTGTTTGTTTCAGGTGATGTAGAAGAGTTAGAAATTCAAGAAAAGCCTGCTCTGAAAGTGTTCAAAAATATTACTGTGGTTCAGGAGCCGGGCATGGTGGTCCTGGAGGTGAGGGGGGGGGGGGGTGTTCTTAAGCCAGGAGCGTGCGCTCCAAAGAGTGGAAGAGACAGAACCCTCGGAAGTTATCTGTGTCTGTCTTTTCTTCTCAAGATGAATTTATGTAATCCCGCTGCGCATTTCCTATGTAGTTCTTAGAGCAAAGAAACCATTGGTGAATTGTGGCTCCATTTTAGTTTGTGTAATAAGGTAAGTTATCATAGAAGTCTCTGTGGATGTGGCCAGTTCAGGGTATCTCCTATTATATGGGAAAGCCCTAAAATACTGAATGTAAAATTTAATTCTGTTAAATATAAAACCACATAAACTTTATAGAGTGCTCCTTACAAGAGTGTTATTTTGAAAATTCAAACAACTCCCAAAAGGTTAGAAATGCTTGATTTAGGTAAAACCAAAGATGCAAAAGCACTGGGTTGTGAGCATATTGCAGTGCCTAGCACGTGCTCTGCCCTGGCCCATCCCGGCCGCTGGTATGCAAGTGCATGTATTTGCTACCTCTCACCACACGACCTGTGCCACTAAGTTTGGCTCTCTCAGGTTTGGAGGCCTTTGAAAGTCAGTGCTGGTCCTGAGTGCCCGCTTGGGGAGCAGCGGGTCCTGAGTGCCCGCCTGGGGAGCAGCGGGTCCTGAGTGCCCGCCTGGGGAGCAGCGGGTCCTGAGTGCCCGCCTGGGGAGCAGCGGGTCCTGAGTGCCCGCCTGGGGAGCAGCGGGTCCGCGTCAGTGTGGGGTGTGTGTATGACCAGCTGCTTTGTAAATAAAAAATCATCTGCCATTGCCAGTTCCACTACAGTTCTATACGTAAGCCTAAATTTGAATCAGGGCTGAAACTAAAGGAAACGTGAAGTCACACACAGTAGTGGGTAAAAGGTCAATGTCAGATAAAGAGGATATATTAAGAGACATATTACTCTTGTTACTAAGTATGGATCTGTTTTTGTTTTTGGAGTTGCTGTGTCAAGGGAGCTCTCAGAGTAGGTTTGTCAGGGTTTCCCAGAGCGCATTCCAGTGCTCTCTGGAGAGTGACATGGATAGGGAAGGCCGTGTTCCTGAAGTCCCTTACCTGGTCCACCTGAACCTACACCTTGTCTGGAGCCTTGAGCACCTGAAAGGTAACCAGGGGATCTGAGGCTTCACCTGTCAAACCAGAACATGTAAGAGTTACCTACCATCTGGCTTGTGGGTGTAGTGTGGAGCCCGAGCTTGTGCCCAGCGTGTGCTCAGCCCCGTGTTCCATCCCAGCACTGATATATCTGCGTACATGTTTATCACCTTCTTACCATGCCGCCCGTGCTACTGAATCAAGTAATTAGGAATTGGCGTTTGAGGCTAGCTGTCTTACACATGTTAACTGAGTCAATTTTCTGTTTTATAAAACAAAGTCAACAATCTTATTTGTTATGAGAATTAAGAGACAGCATACCTGGAACCTTTTGCCACAAACAAGTGTTAATGAGTTCAACTTTCCTGATTAAATGAGACCAGCATTGCTCCTTCTAGTGAGCAGGTCATCAATTTCAGTAAGAGTGGTAGACAGACACAGCATCTGTCTGTCCATCTGTAGTACCACGGCTGGACGGGAAGAGTGCAACCCGTGTTAGATCTCAGCTCTGCCTTCCTAACTCTGCTTTGCCTTCCAGTGGCTGGCAAACCCTTCCAATGACATGTATGCGGACACTGTGACAACCGTGATTCTGGAAGTTCAGTCAAATCCAAAAATAAGGAAAGGTACAGAATACTCCATTTGTATTCATTTGTTCTTCCATTTTCCCCGTTTCTGTAAGCTGTACAGCAGCAGTTCTAAAGCAGAACATGCAATCTCCCGAGTCTTTAAGCTACTGTATGCTCTTTCACACAGCTGCCCTGCTGCCCTTGGTCCTTTCCGCTAAGCCTGCACTTCTTTCTGCCTACCATGTGTGTTTCTGGTAGGCAACAAATGGTCAAACGAATTTTTTTAAAAACAATTCAGCCAGTCTGTCTTTTTTTTTGTCATGGGCTTGACCTCTGGACCTGGGTGCTGTCCCTGTGCTCTTCAGCTCAAGGTGTGTGCTCTACCATTTGAGCCACAGCGCCACTTCCAGTTTTCTGGTGTTGAATTGGAGATAAGAGTCTCACGGACTTTACTGCCCAGGCTGGCTTTGATCCATGATCCTCAGAACAGCCTCCTGAGTAGGATTACAGGCATGAGCCACCAGCGCCCAGCTTCAAGTCTGTATCTTTTGATTTGAGACCATTAACATTTAGAGTTACTATTAGATGGAATATAGTATTTCTTGCCATTTTGTTGGTTCTGTGATTCTTGATTCTTCCTTACTTCCCATTTTCATGATTGCATTTCTGTCCCTGTCCTGGGGTAAAATTTCTTTAAAGGTCTTCTGCAGCACTGGCGGGTATTTAGTAACATGCCAGGACACCGTTAAACTCCACATTGAGAACCGGGTACAGCCAGGCTCAGTGGCTCATACAAGCCTTGAGCACAAAGCCCTGCAATAGCACCCAAGCTCTGAGTTCAATAAAAACCCTCTGTTAAGGATGTCTTATCTTGCTGGATTGTGTAGTTTTGTAGTTCTAGATGGAAAACTAAAATAATTCAACAGACAAGTGAGTCTGAACATTCTTAATGACTCTGAGGTTGCTGACCACGGGTAGAATACTTCCTAGATGAAGGAAATGGAGTTTAATCCCCAGAAAAATGATAATATTTTTCATTAATATAATCATAGGCTTTTTTTTTGTTTTGGTTTTCTGGTTGTTGTTGTTTTCTTTTTCCAGTCCTGGGGCATGAACTCACAGCCTTGGCACTGTCCCTGAGTTGCTTTTACTCAAGGCTAACACTCTACCACTTGAGCCACAGCACTACTTCTGGCTTTTTCTGTGTATATGGTACTGAGGAATCGAACCCAAGGCTTTATGCATGCGAGGCAAGCACTCTACCACTAAGCCACATTCCCAGCCTCCCCCGCTTTTTTTTTATTAGTATAAATTAATTGTACAAAGAGTTTTAAGGTGACATTTACATATATTAATATAATATACTTTGATCAAGTTCACCCTCTTTGTATTTGTTTATTTAAAGAGTTTTTGGTGCATTTCATTGTGCTGTTTTCATGTGTATGTAATATTTACCATGTTACCCTCTCCTTTCCCACCCCCACATCTGCAGGTTCTCCCAGCATTCACTTTTCACAGTCATGGCATATTAGAGATAGTAGAATGTTAAATTTACTTCACATTTTAGATAGAACAAGAGATTTCAGAACCTTGCAGTTTAAGATGTGTCTTCAGAACTCCTATGGTTGCAGTTTTGCTCATAAATGTGAAATTTGAGAGGCTTTGGAAATACAGTTCATTTTAAATGTCTTTTTATGGTTCCCTAATAAGAACATAAAGTGGTGGAAATACCTGTTTGCCTTAGCGAGCTCATGATACAAAATATTTGCTTGCCACTTTGAGTATTCCATAGTTAATATTCACTTATCAAATAGTAGCCTTGTAGCTGGGTGCTAGTGGCTCACATCTATAATCCTAGCTACTCAAAAGGCTGAGATCTGAGGATCGCAGTTTGAAACCAGCCTGGGCAGAAAAGTCCCTGTGAGACTCTTTATCTCCAGTTAACCACTCAAAAACTGGAAGTAGAGCTGTGACTCAGAGTTAGCATGTAGCTTTGAGCAAAAGAGCTAGGGACAGTACCCATGCCCAAGTTCAAGCCCCACAACAAACAAGCAAAAAGTACTTTGCTTTAAGGCTTGATTTGGGACTTAGGTAAATAGGCGTTTAGAGATTGAACTCTCACTGTCTCTCCAGGTGCCGTGCAGAAAGTTTCTAAGAAGCTAGAGATGCACGTTTACAGCAAGAGGCTGGAGATCATGCTCCAGTAAGTGCCTCCTCTCCTTGTCTAGCCCTGTGGGAAGGATGGGCGGGAGGAACACACTGCTGTGGCTCGCACCAGGCACCCTTGCTGCTCTGAGTCATGAAAGCCAGCAGTTTGTTCTGCTGTGTCCAGCTTGGCACTCTGGCTGGTTCCAAGTATGCGTGTGCCCTGCCTGGTTGGCTTGATCCCCTGAGACCAGTGTCCTGGCTGTTTCTGAGATTGGCACAGCTGAAGCCAGTGTGCAAGAAGAATTACTTTCTATGTATGCTAAAGGGTGAATTCTTTGATAAGAAGGGTTTCTTATTAAGTACTTCTCAGGTAAAAGGTGTGTGACTGTGAGATGCCTTCAAACTCAATCTCTTCCCAAACACCAGCTATTGGGCCTTTCTCCTTTCTGCCCTGGAGCCTGATTTCAGAATGGTTTTCCAAATGAAATAATCGCAAAATTGCTTCCTGCTGCATTTCTACAGTATGTGATTTCAGCATCTTGCAGAGCGCCTTGAATACCATCCTCTCAAGTCCTTGAGTGACTGGCTGTGATGGTCAGGTTTTTGTCACTGTGACAAATACCGAGTAAAACAGCTTGAAGGAAGGACGTGCTTTGGGCAACTCCTGTAGCTTCCCCTGGGACTCAGACGGGGTTAGCCGGGCGCTGGTGGCTCACGCCTGTAATCCTAGCTACTCAGGAGGCTGAGATCTGAGGATCGCGGTTCAAAGCCAGCCCGGGCAGGAGAGACCGTGAGACTCTTATCTCCAATAAACCACCAGAAAACCGGAAGTGGCGCTGTAGCTCAAGTGGTAGAGCGCTCGCCTTGAGCTGAAGAGCTGAGGGACAGCGCCCAGGCCCAGAGTTCAAGCCCCACGACCGACCAAAAAAAAAAAAAAGAACTGTATGGGCAGCAGGAGTCTGCTGTCGCGAGCCCTCAGGACATGGGATGGAGACAGCGTCAGACAGGCTGTGTGGGAGGGAAGGCCTGGGGTGCGGGGTGTGGCTCTGCGGGGTGTGGGTGTCAGTAGTGGTGCCTGTTGGAGCCGCCCTTCCACCTGAGCCGTGGTGCCGGTGCCGGCGCCGGCAGGAGCTCACCGCCCCCTCTGTCTTCCCCCTGATCTAACTGACACTGCGCCGCCTCACCCCCAGCAAACACTTGCCCTGTTCAGCTATTGGGAACGGGCAGGACGAAGCTCACCCTCACCCTCACTCTTACCTCCTGAGCCCGAGACACAGCATGTCTGTACTCCAGTTCTTTCCTCAGTTGTTTAAGTAGGCAGGACTATATAGCAAGAAATATGGTCATTTCTTTAGACCAACCAACAAAGTGCGTGAAAACGACACCTCTTCCCTCTTCTTTTGGATATATTTCTCTATATAAAATACAAGGGTGTCGTAAAGTGCCAGGTTCCCTAGCCACGTTTATTCAAGCATATTAGTGAGACCACCTGCCTGAAGGAACAAGGGCAGTGTGGTGTGGGAGTCGCTGTCTGAGGACCGAATGTCTGCTGGGCCCCTGAGGTCTGATTGGCTGCTGCTGTCACTAACTGCGACCTGCGACCGTGCTGCAATGAATAATCAATCCGTCTGCACAGTGACAGGGTTTCCAGCGATGTCTACACCCTCAGCACAACACAGGGCATGCGCATCAGCACTGAGTTTAACTCCGGGGAGGCGGTTGGCACATGAGGAGAACTTGGGACCCCAGAGCTGAATTCGAGTTCTAGCTCTGTTGCTTCCTGTGAGCCTTTCAGCAACTTGTTTAACGTCTCTGTGTCTTATTTTCCTTGTGTTAAAGGCATCCTTACCAATCTCACCACATCTCCCTCTTCCCAAGTGTCATCACTCATGCCGTACCTCGTGTTTGTCTGTTTTAAGGGACATATTTGGAGAAGACTGTGTCAGTGCAAAGGACGACTCCTTCCTGAGCGTCACAGTGGACGGGAAGACAGCCAATGTTAACTTGGATACCCGGGTATGGCCCTGCTCCTGTGTTTCAGGACTTGTATAGTAATCTGTGACACAAGCCTGATTTTATTCTTGCAGTTCAGCATTTTCTTCCAGTGAGGTTTTCCCCATTCCTCTTTACATAGTGGTGCTTATTCCTATCACATGCGGAGTCTTCCCACATTTTCCCCTAGCTGCATGGTCCTCTTCCCAGGCACACAGCTCCCTGGCATGCCTTTTCCATAGCGCTAACTCGCCTCGGCCTTTCTCCAGTTGATATCTAATTGGTTCTGGATGTTTGAGGGAAGCGGCTCCTCTGTTCCACCAGCAAAGTCCAGGTGGCTGCGTGCACTGGGGGCCTGCTCATGCTCATAGCACAGCTTGCATGATAATCATGAGATAAACAGGAAGGTAGTCTTTTCCTTATAGGGGTGCATCTAGTATTTCTACTAAACGCAGTCTTTTTGTATAATCACTTGTACAGAATGCTTTGAGAAAACACTACATTTGTTTGACCACAATAGAAAAAGAAGAATTTGAACCAGGTAATTTACCAGAGAAGCGAGTAACCAAAAACTTCTCAGAAACCCTAATAGAGGAACTGACAGGAACTGTCACTGCTGAAATGGCCCCAGAGGGAGAGATGAATCAGGGACCTTAGAAGCAGCAGCAGCAGTTACGCTCAGGTGCCACTGGGGGGCGTGAGTGGAAGTTAAATGAGGCGGCACCTTCCACTGGATGCTGTGGAGCCTTCACCCACAGTTAATTCCACTTGCTGGATTTAACTAAAGAAAACGATTACACGAACGAGGAAAGACATCTGCACTGATGTCTAGTTTAACATTTATAAAACAGAAAGGAGCTGTCACTGGCTTTGTGCATGCAAGTATGCGAGGCCCTGCAAAAAAGGAAAAAGAAAGAACCCTAAATATCCAAGAGGAATAGATGATAACCAGTGTGTGTGGTGTGGCGTGTGGCGCGCGCTTGCGCTCGGGGCGCCTCAGGCACAGCCATCGAGGGCCATGGTGGGGAATCCTTCATGTGCAGGCTGTGCACCGCATGTCTCTGAGGAAAAAGTTACAAGAGAATACATGAGATGCAAATTATCCCCCTTAAAAACAGTATATGCATGAAACCAGCCCAGGCCTGTAATCCTAGCTACTCAGGAGGCTGAGATCTGAGGATCACAGTTCAAAGCCAGCCTAGGTAGGAACATGAGAATCTTAGCTCCAGTTAACCACCAGAGAACTGGAAGTGGCGCTGTGGCTCAATTGGTAGAGCGCTTGCCTTGAGCTGAAGAGCTCAGGGACAGTGCCCAGGCCCAGAGTTCAAGCTCTATGACCGGCCCCAAAAAAGTATATGCATGAAGCTAAAAGTCTAGAAAGGTCTAACTGAAATGCTAACAGTGGTTATGATTAGGTCTTAAATTGTTTTAATAAGGGAAGACTACATGATTTACGTGGTGTGTGTGTGCGCGTGCGCATGTATGCACACTGGCCCTGGGGCTTGAATTCAGGGCCTGGGCGATGTCCCTGAGCTGCTTTTGTTCAAGGCTGCCATTTGAGCCACAGTTCCATTTCCAGGTTTTTTTGGTGATTAATTGGAGATAAGAATCTGGGGCCTGGGAAGGTGGCTCAGTAGTAGAGCACTTGCCTTGCATGCCTGAGGCCCTGGGTTCGATTCCTTAGCACCACATAAGCATAAAGAAAAAAGCCAGAAGTGGCGCTGTGGCTCCAGTGGTAGAGCGCTTGCCTTGAGCTGAAGAGCTGAGGGACAGCGCCCAGGCCCAGAGTTCAGGCCCCACGACTGGACCCAAAAAAAAAAAAGAATCTGATGCGCCTTCCTGCCAGGGCTCATTTTGAACTTCGAGCCTCAGATCTCAGCCTCCTGAGCAGCTAGGATTATAGATGTGAGCCACTGGCACACAGCCCACATAATTTTTAAAAATTTAAAGAAGTAATTATAAAGGCTGGAGACATGAGTCAAGTGGTAGAGTACTTGCCTAGCAAGTGTGAGGCCTTGAGGTTAAACCTAGTACAGTCACATAAAGATTAATTGTAAGTTTAGTCATTTAAGTCGGTTAATATGTTGAATAGATTGCCACAGCTATTGCTTGATTTCTCCTGGTTTATCACCAGCTCGGTTAATTCTCGTATTATCCTCCCTTCATCTCGCATTCCCTCACTCAGCCGCTGTGGCAGGAAGCGTGCTGGGCCTGGCAATCCTGGGGCCCAGCCTCCGGGAATTCCTTTGTTCTCTGGACAGTATGAGGACGTGTTTGTGCTTCATTCGCAGACTGTGGAGTGTGAAGAAGGGAGTGAGGATGACGAGTCCCTCCGAGAAATGGTGGAGCTGGCCGCACAGAGGCTGTACGAGGCCCTCACGCCCGTCCACTGACCGCCTTCGACCGCCTCTGCCCAAAGCCGCCAGACGCCCGACTCCGCCGGTTACTGGAAATAAAATGCCTTCGTTTCCGGGCGGCCCGTTCTGCTTCACTGCCGCTCGCGTGTCATATTCCAGAGCTCCTCGGCAGCTGCCCGCGAGCGTACAGTTCCGTCGGCCGCTGTCTCCTCCATGGCTCATGGGTTCGGACCCGCATTCTGGATACTTCGGTGCCGTTTGTCTGTCCCCGGCCTCTTGGCGTCAACTTTCCTGGCCCAAGGCCTTCATTTGTAGGCCGCGCCGCCCAGCGGCTCTGCGGGCCTCCGGCCTGGCACCGGCAGCTGACCCCGGGGCCGCCCAGCGGCTCTGCGGGCCTCCGGCCTGGCACCGGCAGCTGACCCCGGGGCCGCCCAGCGGCTCTGCGGGCCTCCGGCCTGGCACCGGCGCCATCTGCGCCCACCAGCGGCTCTGCGGGCCTCCGGCCTGGCAGCGGGCGTGCCAGCCGCCCGCCGCGCCCAGCGGCACTCGGTTCTCCGAGCTCGGTCCCCGAAGCAGACGACCCTCGGGGTCGGGCTGCAGGCGTCCGACCGCGGCCTCCCCTGCCGGGCCTGCCGGGAGGAGGCGAGCGGGAGGCTGGGCGCCGAGGGAGGGGAGCGAGGCGGCGGGCCCGCGGGCGCCGACCTGCGGAGGAAGCCGCGGCCACCGGACCACAGCTCCCGCGTCCCGGGGCCGGAAATGTGGCGCGCCCCGCCCCTTCACGTCCCGCCTCCCGGAAGTCTCCCGAGGTCCCGCCCCCGGCCCGCGCGGCTCTTCCGCAGCGGCGCCATGGCGCTCTCCGAGGCGGCGGCCGGCGGCTGCCCTCTGCGGTGGCCTCGCGTGTTGCTTTTCGGTGACTCCATCACCCAGGTATCGCCGCCCCGAGAGACGCTCGGTCCGTCCCGTCCCTTCGGGACGCTCCGGGGCCCGCAGCCCCCGCCGGCCGCGGCCCGGGCTCCGCGCCCGCCCGGTGCGGCCCCGCGGCCATGCCCGGAGGCGCCGCCGCGTGGGTGCGGAGAGCGCGCGGGCGACGCCCCGAGGGAGCGGCCCGGCCGCGGCTGGCGCCTCAAGCAGCGGCGCACGCTGGCGGCGGCGGCCCGCGCCTGGCCCCGGGAGCGGCCTCGACTAGCCCCGCGCCCGAGCCCGCGCCCGCGCCCGAGCCCGCCGGCGGCCGCGCGCGCCCCCCGCCCGGAGAGCTCACCCCCGCGCACGCGCGCTGAGGGGCTCTCGCAGACAGCCAATGGCGACCACCGCCTCTGGGCAAGACGCAGTCGCGGGCGCGAATCCGGCTGAAGAGAAAGGGACCTCCTCTCCAGAGCCCGGCGGTCCCCAGGCGGCCTCCCCCGGGCGCGAGGGCCGCCACGGCGGGGAGCGCACAGCGGCCGGGACCTGAGCCCGCGCCCCGCGCCCCGCGCCCCGCAGTAACGGCCTCTCTTTCTCCAGTTTTCTTTTCAGCCGGGTGGATGGGGAGCGGCTCTGGCTGACAGACTGGTCAGGTGAGAAGTCGCTGGATCTTGATACCTGGCTGGCGGGAGGAAGTAGACAGCGTGAGCCCCTTGCTTATGGAGCTCTGCTCCACTTGCCCAGCCTGTGATCCCCAGCTGGAGGCCGGAGAATCCCACGCTGAAGACTGGCCTAGGCTGTGTAGGAAAACCCTTTTTCAAGAGTTTCTCTGTGGATCTAGAAAGTAGGGCTGTTTGCCACCCAAAAAAAGCCCGGTTCTTCTTTATGATGAGCATGACTAGGTGTTCAGTGGCAAAACTGTGGTACATCCGAGTTGAGCTGTGTTTTTAAGTGGGGTTTTTGTTTTTAATAGACACGGTGTTCAGTGCACACTCGCCCCTCACTCACGATCCTCCGGTTTCAGCCTCGCAGGGGTTGAGCTTTTAGGCCTGGGTCACTGCACTCAGCGATTCTTTTTTACACTAGAATTGACGCGTTATTTCACACGCAATCAGCCCTTGTGACCACTCAGTTGTCAGCTGTTAACACTTGGGGTGAATTTTTCTGCTGCACCTGCTCCACTGGCCCCTGGTGTTTAAAATCACCGCATTTCATGAAGCCATTCTTCCTTTAACTGCATCCCTATACTGCTTATGTAGACACTAGTTTTTAAAGTATAATAAAGTATCATTACATAGTGACATCTTAATTTTAGTTTAAACAAGTTGTAAACTCATTATTAAAAGCAGTTTTTAACAATTTTTAAATCCTTTTAAATTTTGTTATATATTACATCAGGGCTTTTTTAACTCTATAATTTTTTTTTAACACAAAAGTGTTTGTGTTTAAGGGGCTAACCTTATTCAGTTGTTGGGGTCCTGGGGGAGGGGGGAGGCACTGTTTTTGCTCCTGGGTTTTCTTTTCTCAAGGGGTGTGGTGTTGAGATTAGGGTCTCCCTGTATAGCTGGACTGGCCTCATACCTGTGATTCTCCTTACTCCGCCTCCCAAGTTCTGAGATTGCAGGTGTGCGCCTGCGCCCTCCTTGCTTCGGTTCTCAAGGCAGCAGCTGTGAGCTTCCTGTGTGGTGGCATTGGTCATCTAGAGGTTCAGCTCCACGCTGTGCTCCCCCCACCCCAAATCCAAGCGTTTTGCTTGTTTGCTTTTCATGTTTCTCACTCTTTCTTGCCCAGCTGGCCTCACGTGGTAGGTGCCCCGACTCCCAAGTAGCTAGGATTATAGATGCTGACTGCCACACCCAGCTTACTTTTGACATAGGGTCTCAAAAACGTTGCCAGGACAGGTCCTGAACTGTGTAGTACTAGTCCTTAGCCCGGCATGCTGCTTGCTTTCAAAGGTGCTGACAGCTGCTCTCCACTCAGCACCTACCCACATACTGCGCTGGGAGACAGTCAAGAGAGCTGAATGTTTGGAAAGGCATCTTCACGTTTTAACCTTTGCCCATCTTTGGATTTAAATGGTATCTTCTAGGATTTTATATTAAAAAATTCATTGCTGGGCAAGGTAGCTGGCACCCGGGAAGCAGAGATCAGGAGAATCACGGTTCCCGGCCAGTCTAGGTTAAAAAAAAAAAAAGTTCTCAAGACCTTATTCTCAACCATGAGAAGCTGGGTACAGCGGCTCAAATCCGCCACCCAGCTTCCACGGGGAAGTGGAAGAGGAGAACTCTGGGCCCACCCAGACACAAATGCAACTCTTGTTTGATAACTAAAAAGGAGCTGGAAGTGTGGCTCAAGTGGTAGAGTGCCTGCCTAGCAAGTCCCAAGTTAAAACCCCAGTACTGCCCCCAAAAGAGCGTTGAGTTTCCAGTTTCTTTAGCCTTCTGAGTAATGTAATCGGGCGGTGGACACTGCCCGGGGCCATGTGCAGTAGTTGAGGGAGGACCTGAGTGATTCTGAGCTTGGGTCTTTGTGTGTCGGGACTGGGGCATGAACTTGGGGTCTGTGCTTGAGAACAAGTTGGCGATCTATGACTTGAGCCACGTCTCCACTCCTGGCTCTGGTGGCTCATTGGAGGTAAGAGTCTCACAGACTGCTGCTTCAAGCCACAGTCCTCACATCTCAGCCTCCCGAGTGGCTGGGATTGCAGGTGTGAGCCCCTGGCGCTTGGTCTCCAGGCAATAACTTTGCCATGTTGATGAGTTGATTTCAAGGCAAGCCGGTTGTTAACAAGCAACTGTCTGGCCCTCAGCCACGGTTCGGTTCGGGGCAGGCCGCTTGGCCTGGCCAGGGAGGGCCTACGCTGCCCCCACCCCTGGCTTCCCTGGGCGGCTTGCTGGAAGAGCTGGGGCTCCTATTTGTTCAAGGCAGCAGAGGACACGCTAGGACCCGGGCTTCCTTCAGAGTAACCCGAGGTGGAAGGAGGAGCCGACTCTCAAGTCGCCCCTAAGGAGAAGGTGCTTTAGGCCGGGTGTGGTGGTACGCTCAGGAGGCCGGTGCACGAGTCTTACAAGTTCGAACCCAGTCTAGGCTGCGTAGTACACCCTTGTCTTACATTTTTATTTATTTTTGTTGGTCGTGGGGCCTGAACTCGGCCTGGGCGCTGTCCCTGCGCTCTTCCGCTCAAGGCTGGCGCTCTACCGCGGGCGCCACAGCGCCACTTCCCGTTTTCTAGTGGTTTATTGAAGAGTCTCGTGGACTTTCCTGCCCAGGTTGGCTTTGAACCTCGATCCTCAGATCTCAGCCTCCTGAGTAGCTAGGATTACAGGCGTGAGCCGCCGGCGCCCGGCTCGTCTTACATTTTAAATACAATTTTCGCCGAGTGAAGTGGTGTCCTGGCCAGCTTCCGGTTCGTGGAGATGCGCGCGTGCGCACGGGGGCGCCGGGGCGGGGCGGGGCCGTGGTCAGGGCGGGCTGGCGGCGTGACCCCGCTCACCTCCAGGCGTCTCGCCGCAGGCGGTGCGACGTGGTGAACCGCGGGTTTTCCGGCTACAACTCGCGGTGGGCCAGGCTGGTCCTCCCGCGGCTGCTCGGGGCCGGCGCGGCCGCGCCCGAGGCCGTCACCATCTTCTTCGGTGCCAACGACAGCGCGCTGAGAGGTAGGGCGCCCGCGCGGCGGGGCCGTGGGCGGGTGGTAGGCGGCGGGGTGCGCACGCGCGCTGGTCCCGGGCCTGGGGACCCGCTCACCCGAGGTCGTCCTGTCCCCACAGACGAGAACCCGAAGCAGCACGTGCCCCTGGCCGAGTTCGCCGCCAACCTGGCGGGCATGGTGCGCGTCCTGGCGTCGGCCGGCGTGCCCGCCGAGCGCGTGGTGCTGGTGACGCCGCCCCCGCTCTGGGAGCCCGCGTGGGAGAAGGAGTGCGCGGCGCAAGGTGAGGCCCGCGTGGGAGGGCAGTGCGCACGCGCAGGGCGAGGCCCAGGCCCGCGTGGGAGGGCAGTGCGCACGCGCAGGGCGAGGCCCAGGCCCGCGTGGGAGGGCAGTGCGCGGCGCAAGGTGAGGCCCACGTGGGAGGGCAGTGCGCGGCACAAGGTGAGGCCCGCGTGGGAGGGCAGTGCGCACGCGCAGCGCGAGGCCCGCGTGGGAGGGCAGTGCGCACGCGCAGGGCGAGGCCCGCGCGCTGCTGGCCGGTGGTCAGATACCAGAGGACCGCGGGCAGGGGCTGCAGCGGGGGTGTGGAGCGCTGGGGCGGTGCGGCTCCTCCTCCCTTGGTGCCCAGCCCCACGCACGTCGATCACCCCCCCCCGTACCCTCCCTGCCCCCCCTCCCGCCGGCTGCCCCCGCGAAGCCCTCCCCGGGCTGCAGCCAGCGCCACCCTGACTTCACTGCCCAGGCCCGGCCTTCCTTCCGCAGTGCACGTGCCTGGCGTTGCCTGGCGCCGTCTGGCGTTGCCTGGCGTCGCGTGCCCGGGCTCTAGGGCTCTGTCCTGGCACCTGGGATGGGGCCGACGCTGGTGTGGCAGGCGCGCAAGGGCTCTGCCCCACCGGCCGCCCCTCCTTGCTAGGCCTCACCCCAGCCACCCGCGCCTCCCGGCCCGTTCCCCCAGCTCTGCTGAAGAACACCTTTCCCATCACACGCCAGCGACGTGGAGCCCTTGGTAGTATTCCCTACACCCCACGCGGGGTCGGCGCTAGTGGACCCTAGACAGGTCAGCACACTCTCCCCAACAGGTTACAAGTTAAATCGCCTGAACTCTGCTGTTGGTGAGTATGCCCGTGCGTGTTTACAAGTGGCCCGCGACTGTGGCACCGAGGCCCTGGACCTGTGGACATTGATGCAAAAGGACAACCAGGTACGCGCCTGCCCTGTCCTCTCGTTATAACGCAGGGCACGGGGCCGGCAGGGCCAAGTGCTCAGCTTGCTTGGAAGCACTCTGCTAGCGAGACGGCAGCCGGCCCCTGCCAGGCGGGCACGGAGGCTGAGCACAGGAAGGGAGAGGGCTCCTTGAGCTGCTGCTCAGCGAGGAGCGAGCAGAGCCAAGTGGATGGCCAGATTCTTTATGTAAGAGGAGGCAAATTTAAAGCTCATTGGCAGCCAGGCACCGGTGGCTCACGCCTGTCATCCTAGCTACTCAGAAGGCTGAGACCTGAGCATCGCAGTTCAAAGCCAGCCCAGGCAGGAAAGTCTGTGAGACGCTTATCTCCAATTAACCATCAGAAAGCTGGAAGTGTCGCTGTGGCTAAGTGGTAGAGCGCTCGTCTTGAGTTGAAGAGCTGAGGGACAGTGCCCAGGCCGAGTTCAAACCCAGGACAAAAATTATATATATATATATAAAATTCAGAGCTTCAGGTAAGCACTTTTTTTTCAGGGCCAGAGGTGGGACGTGAACTCGGGCCCTTATGCTCTCCCTTAGCTTTTTAGCTGAAGTCACAGCTCCACTTCCGCCTTTTCACTGGTTAATCAGAGGTAAGTCACATGGGTTTTGGGGGGACTTGGCCTAGGCTGGCTTTGAACCATAATTTTCAGCTCTCAGCCTCCAGAGTAGCTAGGATGACAGGGTGTGAGCCACCAGCAAGATACATATTTCTGGCTGAATTATTTGAAAGCCTGGAAACACACATAGAATTAAGAGGGCGGTGGGAGTCCAGCTAGCCTTACTCAGTCTTGGCTTAGTTTCATTGGACAGTGACATACGAGGGTCTTCAGCTCTATTAATGGGTCACTGCCAAGTCTCTGTAGCTGGTAGCCATGTCACATGACCCAGCCTGCTGCCCCAGCGTACACAGCTTCCTGAAGCTCCTGCCCAGAGCACAGGGATGCTACTGAATATCCCAGGAGCTGCAGCCGGCAGCCTGCCCTGGGTGCTGTGCACCTCTAACACAAGCAACCTCTCCCTCCGGCAGGACTTCTCGGCCTACTTGTCTGATGGACTACACCTGTCACCCAAGGGGAACGAGTTTCTGTTTTTGCATCTGTGGCCTCTGATAGAGAAGAGGGTGTCTCATCTGCCTTTGCTGCTGCCATACTGGAAGGAGGTGTCAGAAGCTGAGCCTGAACTGAGTCTGCTGGGAGGCGGGGAGCACGCGTGAATCCCAGGGAGCCAGGACTGATGGGCCAGGTTCCACATCTTGAAGCCGACATTCCAAGGAGGCTCCAAACCTGCACTTACGCCCTGGACCAAAGCCACTAACATTTGCTCCCAACACTAATAATAAAGTCTTTAGAAGTTTTTCATTTCAGAGAAGCACTATTTGATCCATTAAGTTTTGATACTCATTTATTGATTGATGCAGGTATCAGCAATCCCACAGCTACAGAATATATACCCTGAGCAGCTGGGTAATCTCGTGCATGGCAAAAAAGGTAAAGAACGTTTTCTTTTTTAAAAAGTCACAATTTTATAAAAAAGAGTTTTCTTACATTCGGGTAAGAAATGCTTCACTCATACATGCACCACACACCCATTCACCTTGTATCAAACTCTGAAAGTATAACTAGAAGATGAGAAGGTTGTAACTACTTAAGGATGGCAAATACCATGAGGTACAAGTTCAAGTATTAGTGTAACAAGGATCTGTAACAAACATCCTTAGAGGAGAAAGGCACAGGTTTGGTTAACTTCCCTCAAAGTTTAAAAGTCACCTTGGTTAAGATGTGCTGTCTGGTGAGCACACTTCAGTTCTTAGGGGAAATGCTTTTTAACTAAACTTTTCCAGAAATCAGCATGAGAGTTTTTACCCTTTGAAAACAAAGCATCCAGAACCTAGAGCAGAAGTCAGTGAATGACACTGAGTCTGGAGGGGCTCCGGGGTGCTTCCAGGCCGGTACGCAGCACACTTCAGCCTGTCCAACAGTCTGTGAACACCTACCGCCTAGACAGATAGCCAGCCATACATCCCCTCCACCGACTCTTCCCTACTCACGGTCGCAGACAGACAGCTGTGTTCTTTCACATCAGGTTTGGCTGAAGTATGTTCGATTTTTGTGGATAGTGAACTTTTTAAGAGCATGGCAAACGATATTAGAAATACATAAATTTTATAAAACAACAAAACCCACCCAGCAAATTGGGGACCTGAACAATTGACAGAGTAAGTGTAAATGTAACTAGCTGTTACAGCTGTTATAGACCTCCAAGTAGAGTGAGTTCTAGCTTAAAATTATAGTTCTTAGAAAAGGCTTTGTAATATCTAGCAACAAGGTAACAATTTAGAGATAGTACGTAACTATCTCCCTTGCTTCTACTTGACAGAAATAAATAAGTAAATCTGTATTCCAGTTGTCCTCACACAATAATTGGCAAATGCTTTTGTCAGTCAGGGAATTGTTACAGTGTATTAAAAAAAAACAAAACTGATCACCTCCCAAATCAGTGCTTCATCAATTTAAAAAAGCCAGTTTACATGAAATATTCAGAACCTAATCCAGCTGTATATTCTGTTTTTGCACCAGAGGTCAAAGGATATGTTAAAAATTAAATACTAAACCTGAAGCCTCAAAATGCTCCGCTTCACCTTACCTCTTCCAAGGAGGAGGCTGGCCTCTGGGAGGAGGCACCTGCCCAGCGCAGGCCACCCGCTGGGTCACGTCCTCGCTCCTCGCAGGTCACCAGTGCAGGCCATGACCCCGGAACCTGCACCAACACGCCACGCGTGAGCCGGGCGCCGGGCTGGCTCCACTAGCACTCTGTCTCTTTGCTGTCCACGCGGCTCTGCCGCTGCAGCTTGAAGGACGCAGCCTTCTCGCTCCGGGTCACTGGGTGGCCGGTGAGGTCCTCGAAGGACTTGGCGGCGGTGCTGCTGTTGGGGAAGGGGTCCTTCTCAAAGCCGTCCTCGTCCACGTGCGAGTCCGTGCTGGGGTCCTCCTGGATGGTGTCCATCCTCTGGTGGTCCAGCCGGGGAGCCGCAGGCGCGGGCGGTAGCATGGCTGGCTGCAGGCGACCGGGAGTCTGGGGCGCGGGGAAGGGCTTGACAATGCGGACAGATGCCGAGTCCATGCTGCTGAGCATCTCCACGTTCTGGACAGGATGGAGAGATGAAGAGAGGTCAGAGGAACCGAACCCGTGCCCAGCCTTGCCACTCAGAGCCTGTGCCTCGGGACCACTCCGGCTAAGCCACAAGCCACAGAGAGACTCACGCAAGCCCAGCAGTCAGTCACCTTTGTGACACGAGGAACTCAGATCTATCTAGCAAGATCTGGGACCAGAGATGAGTGGAACCGATCGGTTCCTAGCTGGGGGGGGGGGGGGGGGGGGGGGGGGGGGGACGGCAGCCTGCCCCTCCCATCGACACAGTGAGCTGCCATGGCCTTGCCAAGGTCCTCCTCCACCCGGGACCCTTCTAGTGGGACATGGCCTCCACTAGCCAGGAGGCCCACAGCTCTTGCTAGGAGGCCCAATGAAGGCCTTTGCTTAACAGGACCAAACCAAACAGGAGACATGGTTCACGTGGTAAACTTACACTGGGGTGGAAGAGAGACAGGGATTCATACTGCTTATCCAGTTTCTTATCCTAGAAAGAAAAGAAGAGGAGGAGGTGACGGCATAGAAAAGCTCAGCAGTGCTCAGTGCTCACCTCGGGCCACCGCTGGAGCTAATGAAGGCTGGAAGGCTCACTGTGGTTTTATGGTTATTCTTGGCGCGCACCGCAAGCAGGGGATTTCAGAGCTCAGTGGCCATGTGGGCAGGGCAGAGGCGAGGAGGGCGAGCGTGTGACATGACGGGCACGGGCCACGAGGGCCAAGGTGCCTTTGTGCTGCTCAGCCCATTTCCAGACACGGAGCTCGGGGAGCTAGACCTTGTCCTCCTGCTCTTGGTGCGGGAGGCTGAGCGACCACCCTGTGAGGCGGTCGTGGGACCCTCCTGCCTGCCTGCAGCAGCTAAGGGGGAGCAAGGCAGAGCCAAGAATCCAGGCCATGAGCACCCACTGTGCGGCACACGGGGCACTGGCCGCGAGCTGGCCAGCAGCCCGCCAGCACGCGGTGCACGCGGCCACCCAGCTCCCACTGTGAACAAAATAGGCTCCAGTCAGCAGCAACCAACCCGCAGGCGGCGCTAGGGTCTGAGCTCCAGGTCGGCTCCAGGCCAAGGAACTGCCCTCTGCTCAGTGCTCTGCCAGAGGAGGGGCGGGCGGGGAGGGCACTGGAAGGGTCAGAGAAAGATCTGGACTCCCGTGCAACTTCTTCCGACTCAGCCCACAGACGCTCAGGATGAATGCGGAAGGAGGTCTGAGAGGCTCAAGATCTCTAACATGCCTGGAGCCCAGACGAGGCACGGCAAGCTTTGCGCTGGGACGGCGGAGGGCAAGCAGGAGGGCGCCCGCACAGCCCCGCTGGGGAGGGCCGAGCCCTGTGGTGGAGTCACGCCTCCCCTGCGTCTGGGAACCACCCCCGCGTGACGTGCACTCTCCCAAGCTGCAAGTGCTCGTGTCGAACTTTCCCCGTTACAGGGTCCTGACAGGTCCAGTCACGCAAGCGAAGACTAGTAAGTTATTTGAGAGTAAGACATCCCCACAAAAAAGTAACTCGTCTTGTTTGAAGACCATCCACTACGCTTTCTAGAAGGCAAGCTCTGAGGATGACACCAAAAATGTCGCAATCTTATTCAAACACTACCTGGTTGGGTTGAAGTTGCTCAAATTTTCAATAAAACATTACTTACGTATAGGTGACTTACCACACAGTGGACGAGAATGCTGAAAGGAATCCAAAATATCAAGGAGAAAACCAGAACAGACCCAACGATGTTGTCTGCTAGAAACTTCCCTGTGAAGAAATGCAGACAGTGAGCGTCCTGAGCCAGCTGGGGCTGGAGCCGGTGCTCAGCTCCCCACAGCCCTAGAGAAACGGCCTCTGCACCAGCAGGCCCGGAGGACAGAACTTCACTGTCTTTAGCTAGGCATGGTGGCTCACGCTTGTAATCACAGAGGCAGGAGGAACTCGAGTTCAACTGCAAAGTCAACGAGACCCTATTTCAAAAATAAATTGCAAACAAGGGAGCTGCAGATCAAGTGTTAGCTTGCCTAGCTAGCACGCGCACACACACACACACACACACACACACACACACACACACACACACGATCCTGATTTAATATCCAGTACTAATAAGAAATCAAACTTTTAAGAGACAATGGTTTTGTTATATGGATATTTTTGTAGCACAAACCTAAGTTCAGGCCTCCTGAGAACGTGATTCACGCACCCCCTGGCTTCCGCAAAGCCTGAGGTCCGCTTGCACGTATGTAATTCTGGGAGCAAACGATTAGATTTACAGTGTGCAGGATTGAAGCCTGCCCATTTTCACTACATATGCCCTTGGCACGTTCACAAACTCAAGCTCCACAGACAGAGCCTGTGCCGAGTCTTCTGTCCTGGGCAACAAAGTGGTTGCATAACACAATGGCGGCCATTTCCATTTTCTTGTTCTTTTAGGTACTGGGTACTCGTTAGGCATGCAGTTTACCACCGAAACCACATACACGTCTTTTTGCTTTTAGTTTTTCAGATATGTCTTCCTGGTTGGGCATACTGCAGTCCTCCTACCTCGGCCTCCTGAGCAGCTAGCGGGTTGTTTTTAAGATACGGTCTCGTTGACTTTTACCATGGTTAGCCTCTAACTGCAATGCCTCTGTCTCTGCCTCCAGAGTACCTAGTATTACAGGCATGCACTACCGTGTTTGGCCCAGTGTTTCTATTTTATCCTGAAGGATTAGAGCACAAATTCTGACGCTAGTTTTCTAGTGTCATTGTAAAAGCTGGCTCAGTTCTAAGTAAACAATCCAGAGAAATCCCTTACCAAAAGTATTGATGCTCAGTTGGTCAATGAAATCCCAAAACCGCTCAATTACATCCTGTACTCGTTTCTCACATTTGCCCTATGAAGAGAAAACATAAATCATGATTCCTAACAATGGTAATTTGGAAGCAATGTGGTTAAGTAAAATGGCCTGCAAAGGGCTTAACTGAAATCACCTAGGGGGCCATCTTTGACACAGCGTGTGACTTCAGTGTAAAGAGCACAGCAAGTGTATGCACTGTTCAAGACTCTCATCATTATGTTTTTATTTTGGCAGTACTAAGGTTTGAACTTAGGACTCTGCTTCCTAGGCAAGTGGTCTACCACTTGAGCCACACTCACAGCCCTAGTTTTGGCTGGTTATTTTAGAAGTCAAGTCTTGGAGTCTTTCCTGCCCCAGCTACTGTCAAACCTGACCTTTCTTCCAGGTCTCACCCTCTGCAGTGGCCAGAATTACACACACGAGTCACTGCTGCTGCTCAAGTCCTTTGTCTTCTGCGGGCAGGGTCTCTTCTGTATCTCAGACCAGGCTTAAGCTCTCGATCCTCTTAACTGAAGCCTCCCAGGACTGGAACCTCAGCTGTGCACGCCACGTCTGGCCTATGCTTAGTTCATTTTATACGTGAGTTCAGTGAAAATTATTAGACCAAGACTCAAGAAAACCAGCCGCTAACAAGCTATTCCATTCATGACAGATAGAATCAACCAGTGCATCTGCTTCTCCCCCTCCACCCCCACACCCCAGGGGAGGGAACACGTCGTCAGACCGGACATTTATACAAGTCCTTGGGGTTACAGATGGAAAGCAATAGGAACTCAAGTGCACGCTCATCTCTCTGACCCACTGTTAACTCATCCAGGGGACTTCCAAGGGCATCAGGAGGTTCACATGGGAGGAGACAGCCAAATGGACTGAGGCCAGCGCAGCTCCGGCTCTGGAGGCTGAGGACTCTGAGCTCAGTGGAGGCTGAGGACTCTGAGCTCAGCAATGGCAGGCCCGAGTCGGATGACTTGTGGCAGTGGGTCCTAACTGTGCTTGCCTAGGTTACCGGTGGAGCTAGGAGGGCTGGAAGCTACACACGGGTGTGGCTGGAGCAGGTGTGACCCGCCAGCGCCAGGCTCCCATGCACGCCAGCCAGGGAAGCAGGTGACATGTCGGCTCCACTACAAACCACACTCACGTTCACGTCACAGAAGCCCACTGTGCAGGGCTTTCCTTTCCTCAAAAACAAGTTCTTCTGGTCAGCGTCCACGTAGGGCGCACACCGGCCGGAGAGATCCCTGCAGCACACCTTGCACGAGTTGTCGGTCTCTGAAAGACAGACGCCGCGCTCACTGCCTTGTTCACAACACGGCGGCGAGGGGCGCGCGTGCCTCGCGGCATGCCGCCCAGGGGTCTGGCACCAGCGTCGCCCAACAGAAAAGCAGACACTGCCATCCTCGCTCCTCACAGCCCGAGCCCACAGTCTTTAGCCGCGGGAACCCCGAGGCTTAGGCTGTGAGAGATGGAAGGCGCTGTGAGGGCGCTAGCACTCTGCCGCAGGCCTGCGCCAGGCTCTTGTAAAGGAGCCCGCTCTGCTGAGGCCAGGCCCGCACGCACAGCTCCCCGCCCTCGCCTGCGCCCGGCTGCGCCCCCTCAGCAGCTGGAGAAGGTAACATGGGCACCACATGAGCCCTGTGGCACAGGCAGGACGCCCACAGTGACCCCAAGTGTAACTTAGCTGTTCTTCAGCGGGCTCGGGAGACTTCAGATGATGCTCAAGAAAAAAAAAAATCAACAATTCAAGAAGCAATGCTGCGCCCGACGTCTCCTGGGCACTGGGCACTCGCCGTGCCAGCACCGCCTGCGTCTGCTGTCTACTTATTCTGCGGCAGGGCAGGACACGCTCTTGTGCCTAGTGGAGGGGAGCCGGCAAGGGTGCAGGCCTCGCCACCCTCCCACCCGGCAGCCCAGGGTCCGCGCGGTCCCGAGCGGCAGCGCCGCCTCCCTTCCTGCCGCCGCCGCCTGCTCACCGTTGCACGCGCAGGACTCCAGCTGCCGCTCCCGCTCGCAGAAGGGGATGCACTTCCCGTCCTTGCACCGGCCCAGGTCCAGGCACACCGTGTCGTCCTCCGCATTCCCCGGCGGAGGGCACTCGCTGCTGTTCCCTGTGAGCACAGCCAGTGAGGAAGCAGCACCTGGCACACCGCGGCCGCCACGGGCCGCTTCCATCCCAAGGGCACACACGCACACGCACACACACACACCCCGCTCCACTTCACACTTGAGCCGCAGGATCCCAGAAGCAAGAAACACACGCACACATGTAGTGTGACTCAAAACATACATGCATGTGTGGAATGACATGAAACACACACAGTGTGCAGGACCCGAAACAGACATGGAATATGACATGAGACTCATGCATTATGACAGAACACCTGTGCAGAATGACACAGCACACGCCGCGTAGTATGACACTTCACACACCTGTGCAGAATGACACGCCTTTGCAGGTAGCATTAATGGCCTCCTGGCACTTCTTCTGCGCGGTCTCAAAATGACAATTTTTACAGCAAGGACTGTTCCTGTCACTGTGGAAGAACAGACGGGGACAGATCAAGACCCAGGACAGCCCTACATCAAACAGTATATAGAGATGGATCTCTGTGCCCTGAACATCTGGAGAACACACGTGGCTGAGTCACGCCGCCTGCACGTCCAGACCTCGAGGGGCAGCACACACTGTCTGTCCCCCAGTGTGGGAAAGGTGGAGTCCGTGCCAGGCTCTCCGGAAGGGAAGAGTACACGGGCTGACCTCCACAGCACCTGCGTGCTTGGTTTTCATTATTTTAATGCATTAATTAAAAGACGAGGCTGGCCAGGCAATCAATGGCAGAGATGAGGCAGCCTGCGGGCGTCCATCAGGACTTGGTGAGACCGCACCCTCAACATCAGGGGTCCTGGGATCTCCAGGGACTCAAAGCGCTCCTAAGCCAAGCACAGTACATCAGCACATACAACGGAAACACGGACCTCCTAGTTTGGGACCCCCTTCTCTAGATTTCATTTATTTAAACAAAACTGCACACTATTTACTATATAGATACAGCTCGCTGTCATTCTGATTGCTCCTTGTACTTTCTATGGAAGGATGCAGCCCTGCACAGCCTTGTTGTCTGGCTTATACATACACTTGTGCTTAGAAGATACAGGGGGCCAGCAGCATGGCGCAAGGAACCACAACTCACGCCTGCCAACTGTGAGGGCCGGAGCTCCAAGGCCAGCATTGCGAAAATGAAAATACAAGTTGCGTTGTAGAACGGCTACATCATACAATATGCCCTTGCATATGTCCTGTTGTTTTTGTTTGTCAGTACTGGGGTTTGAACTCAGGGCAACACTGAGTGACACTTCTGGTCTGCGTGTTGCACTGTTCATAGAATAGCATCTTGCTGCCTGCCTAGGCACATGCGCGGACTGCAATCCCATTTTCCACTTCCCGCTGTAAGTGGATGACAGAACGCCACCATTATTCCCATGGTTTCTTCTGTTGAGATGGAGTCTCACATATTTTTCTGCCCAAGCTGGCCTAGAACCATGATCCCCTGATGGGTCTCCCATGTAGCTGGAGAGGTGTATGCCATGGACCCCAACTACGTAGTTGAGAAGGAGTCCTCTCTTGGTGAACTTCTCTGCCTGGGCTGGCCTTGAACCTATATCCTCCCAAGAAGCTGAGATTACCACTGTGAGCCACCAGCGCCCAGCTCAAGGATAGGTATGGGTGTGTGTGTGTACAAGTACCAGGTCTTGAACTCTGGGCCTTGTACTCTTTTTTCACTCACAACTGGAGCTCCACCATTTGAGCCATGCCTCCACTTCTGGTTTTTTGCTGGTTAACTGGAGGTCAGAATTTCTCAGATCTGAGGAGGTGAGGAAGGCAGGGATGGCAGGAGAAAAACAAAGGAGGGGTAACAATGCTCGATAGGAAATGGCCTCATTACCTTACTCATGTAACCGTAACCCCTCTGTACAGCATATTTACAATAAAATATATGTATTTTTTAAATAATTTCAGATCTGTCTGCTAGGGTAGCTTCAAGCCATGATTCTCAGTTTCCTGAGTCATTAGGATGACAGACGCCCAGCTTCAAGGAAAATTCTCTGAAGTTTTATGTAAAGCACATGCTTTATGGGAAGAGCCAATGCCCTCCCCGCGGGGGCGCGGCTCACCTGCACTGCACGCCGGGCTTCAGGGTGCAGTCGCTGTTGCAGCACGTGTCATTGTTCAGGTGCATGATGCCGGGGTCACACTCCTCCCCTTCGTCCACTCTGGAGTTCCCACACACCTTGTTGCTGCGTTCCTGAAAGCACTCCTGGGCCTTACTTTCAATGGTCTTATAGATGGACTGTTTACTACAGTTGGAAAACATCTTGAGAGAAAAAAAGCCGCCAGAGAGCAACACAGTGAAAACCCATTTCCATGGGGTGGTTGTGCTTCTATTCCAAGAACAATTACGTGGTTTTTTCCTTGGTTTTTTAAAAGGCAGTATGGGGTTTGAACTCAAGGCTTTTTTTGCATGTTTGCAAGAAAGATCTCCTACCACTTAAGCCATACCTCAACTCATTTTCATTCTGGCTACTTTTCTAACAGTCTTGCTTTCTGTCAATACTGCTCTGCACTGCTCACAATCTACCCATTTCTGCTTCGCATGCAGCTAGGACAACAGGTCTGTATCACTGCACTCAGCTCTGCCTCCTCTCCTTCCTTCCTTGTTCCCTTCCTCCCTCCCTTCCTTGCGTGTATGTGCTTGTGTGCGCATGAGCATGCGCACACACCAGTGATGGGACTTGAACTCAGGGCCGCACATTCATGCTGGCAGCTACTCTACTACTTAAGCCTACCTCCAGTTCAGCTTTTTTGCTGGCTGAATCTCATAGATTTTTGTGGCTAGTTTTGAACCTTGATCCTCACATCTCAGCCTCCTGAGTAGCTAGGCTAACAGGTGTGAGCCACCGACGCCCAGCTCTGTTTTTTTTCTCCAGTGTCGTCCCCTTTTTATAGACTACATCCCTGTTCCAGTTGGTCCATCTGGTGAGGGCAGAGCTGTCAAGAAAGGAAGTGCCTCATTTCTGTCCAGTATCCTTTTTAGTGTTAATGGTTTTATTAAAGAATTCATCTAAACATAAGATTAGAAGATATCCTTCAGACAAAGGGAATACTGCTTGGGAAAACCAAACATTAAGAAAATGTATGAAATAGGATGTGTTCAGGAAAAATAAATTAACTTCCAGAATCTCCAGAAAGAAAATACTCTGCCAGGCTCTGCTCACTGGAAAATTCTTACAGGGCACTTACAAGGCCATGGGAGAATCCTATAGGAAGCCGCAGGCCTGCTCCCTTGGGGGAGGAGTCTGCAAAGTGCTGACATCATCCGATTCCACAGGAAGCAAGGTGAGGCAAGCAGATAGCACAGGGTTCCTAGCAGTCCCTGGCTGCTGGGCAACAAGCTGAACAACTCTCGTGATTACCAGGGCCACTGGTAAGACAGGAGCTGCCCCAGAGAAACACCTCTAACATTCAAACCTATCCAAAATCACCAAATAGTACTACCAAAAGGAGGCTAATAAAAAGCTGATGGCATTCTTGGGGCCAGAGACTGACTGCATTTAGCCCAGAGACTGAATGAAGAGTGCTCATCTAGCAAGTGAGGCCCTGAGTTCAGTTCTCAGTACCATAACAAACGACCTTGGGCAAATCAGGTAGGAGGGATCAATCCCAGCAGAGCAAAGCCCTTACCCAGCCACACGCCCAGGGAACACAGGCTCCATCCCACAATGAATCACTTTTGGCCCCTTGACCCCAAGCCCTCACTCAGTTTGAGGCTACCCAATCCACCCCCCCCCCCCCCCACTGCATGTGCACAGCCCACTGCACGAAACTGGGCATGCGTGGACGCACTTATCACCCTGCCCATCAGAGTCCATGCCAATTTTTTTTTTTTTTTAATTTTTTGGTTCCGGTCGTGGGGCCTGAACTCTGGGCCTGGGCGCTGTCCCTCAGCTCTTTAGCTCAAGGCTAGTGCTCTACCACTTGAGCCACAGCGCCACTTCCGGCTTTTTTCTTTTGGCTTATGTGGTGCTGAGGAATCGAACCCAGGGCCTCAGGCTTGCAAGGCAAGCGCTCTACCACTGAGCCACCTTCCTAGCCCCCCATGCCAATTTTTTACATAAAGCTAAGTGAACCATATCCTGGGACCTGGATTCCAACCAAAGTTATTACTCCCGGTAATTTTTTTAGAGCCCAGATGTACACCCAACGTAATAACCTTGATAAATGTCCAAACGATAGTCTTAACTGCTCTCATGGGCCATGCTTTTCCTGAAACCCAGTGTCGAGACACTTTGTTGTTGTTATTGTTGTTTTTTGCCAGTCCTGAGGCTTGAACTCGGCCTGGTCACTGTTCCTGAGCTTTGTTTTGCTCAAGGCTAGCACTCTACACAGTGCAACTCCTGGCTTTTTCTGAGTAGTTTATTGGAGGTAAGAGTCTCATGAACTTTCCTGCCTGGGCTGGCTCCAAACCACAATCCTCAGGTCTCAGCCTTCTGAGCAGCTAGGATTTTAGGCATCAGCCATCAACACCTGGCTATAGGAATGGACTGCCATCTTGTGTTCTCATTCTGCTGACACTGCAGCCTCCCCTTTTTGCACCCACATAGAAAGCTGGAAAACATGCTTACCTTGTTGTTTTCATGGTCGCCACTCACAGCTATGGGATACATGACGTACTTCCCTCCCTGGTCCTCACTGGGTGCACATTCTGCCAGACCGTCCGGGTCATGTTCTGCACCAAAATTGTGTCCCAATTCATGTGTTGTAACCAGGTCGGCTTCCTTAAGGATCAAAGAAAACACTGAATTACAACTGGATCCATGCTGCTTTCAATAAAGCCCTTTAACAGACTATCAAAAGAAGAAAATTTGTACTATGATTTTTTTAATCCATTATAGAAATTAAACAGAATGAATAGAATTCTATTTAAACGTGAATCATATCTTTACAAGGATTAACTTAGGCTAATTTAAGGAACTAAAACTTGTAAGATGCTGACAGTCAATATGACCCAACACTGGCTTGTCCAGCTGCACGCTGGCACCGACAGACCACATGCACCTCCCTACAGGCTTTCAACAGAAGGGGACAAAAAGGCAAAACAACAACAAAAATCAAAGACAAGTAAGGAATAAAACCACAATGCTTCTCAGTCTCCTGTCTTATGACAATGTCAATAATACAGAGGATCTGGTTTACTAGGACCTGGTTGTAAGCTGTATTTAAAAGTTGACTCAGCAGAAGATTTCTCTCTACCAGTAGTAATGAACTTAGCAAGTAAATCTAAGTTTCTTCTCATGTATCCTGATTTGGGAAATATCACTCTACAGAACCAGAAAGATTAGTATTTTTCACTATACGAGAAGATTCTTGGGCTGGGAAGGTGGCTCAGTGGTAGAGTGCTTGCCTTGCATGCATGAGGCCCTGGGTTCGATTCCTCAGTACCACATAAGCAGAAAAAGCCTGAAGTGGTGCTGTGGCTCAAGTGGTAGAGCGCTAACCTTGAGCTGAAGAGCTGAGGGACAGTGCCCAGGTCCAGAGTTCAGGCCCACCACCGACAAAAAAAAAAAAAAAGATTCTCAAACCCTGAAGATATGATATGAAGTAATTTCTAACTGAATAATGGAGGAATCCATTAGTGGACCTGCTGAAAATACTAAAAATATCTTTAAAATTCCAAAACAATGTTATAAAATTCTGGAATGCTGAGAAAATATGTGAAATGAAACCATAAAGATGCTGTCACCCCTAAAGGGTAAAAGAATAAGAAAAATAATTTCAGAAGATAAAAGGTGCCTAAAAATTGAGTAAGGGTTTCCTCTTCACTCATGTTACATTGCTTATTAAACACTGGTCCATAGTTTATATTAGGGCCATTTTGTATGTTCTGACAAATGTGTTATTGTTGTTTTTCTGCCAGCAGTGGAGCTTGAACTCAAGAGCTCAAAGCTGGTGGGCCCAGTCATACCTCCACTTGTTTTTTCTCTTCCATCTTTCAGTTTTTGGTGTGTTTTTGTTTTTGTTTGGTTTTTTTACATAGGATCTTGGTATGTTGCCTGGGCTGTCTTCAAACTCCCTAGAAACAAGAGATCTTTCTGCCTCAACCTCCTGAGGAGCTGAGTCTGCAGGGATCTGCCACTGTGCCAGCCTGCAGGGCTATATCCTCTGCTAGTGTTTTCACTGCTTTAGAAATCCTGTGGGGCTTGGGGTGTAGCTCAGTGGAGGGGTGCTTGCATTCCTGGGCCTACCTCCCAGTATCATCAAAACACACAGATTCTCCACATCTTTCCCTTTTTTTTCTTTTTGTTTCTACAAGTCGGGATGTGCCAGTTTACCCACTCATCTAAACAAGGACAAGGCTGTTTCCAAGTTTTGCACATGTGAATTAAGCTGCTATAGTGATTATCTGTGCAGGCTTTGTGTGGCCGTCAGTGTTCAACGTATTTGAGGAGACACCAGGGATTATGATTGCGAGGTCATGTGTGAGCCTGACTGTCTTCCAGAAAAGCAGCCGCGCCATGCTGCATCCCCACGGCCCTGAGTCAGAGCTGCTAGTGCTGCACACCCCTGCGGCAAGGGACGCCAAGTCCGTACTTGGGCTTTCAGCCATTTTAACAGACATGCAACACAATGTCACTGCTATCTTAGTTTACAACTCCCTTATGACATGCGCTGGTGAGTACTACACTGTGTGTATATGGATTTGCTATCTGTGCATCTTCTCTAATTCTTTATATCTAAGTTGGGTTCTTTATTTTCTTATTGAGATTTAAGAGTTCTTAACGTAATTTAGATAGTAGGCCTTCATCAGCCAAGCTATGGCCTGACTGACTTTACATTTTAATAGTTCAGAATAGGCCAATCCGAACTGGTAGTGTGGCTCTAGTGGTAAACACTTACCCAGCAAGTATGAGCCCTGAATTCAATCCCCATTCCCCCCAAAAAAGGAGTCCATGTTCTTGTCCTTTCTGTCCTGTTCTTTCTAGAGTCCTAATAACATTTTCATTGCAAGTTCATATGCGTCTTGGTTCATGGTGGGGAAGGTGTTTGGTATGTAACCAACTTTTCAGAAGGCTCAGGAAGCTGGAAGGACTTACAGCACACGTGCATGTGTATGTATGTGTGCACGCGTGCATGTGAGCACACGATCGCATGATCACACGATCACACACACACACACACACACCTAAAACTAAGCCAGGCACAGAGATCAGAGTGTGAAGCCAAACCAGGCAGGAAACTCTATGAGACTCTTATCCTCAATGAAGTACCAAAAAGCTAGAAGTGGAGTGGTGGCTCAAGTGGTAGAATGCCAGTGGCCCACACCTGTAATTCTTGCTACTCAGGAGGCTGAGATCTGAGAGTCACAGTTGAAAGCCAGTCCAGGCAGAAAAGTCCCAGTGAAATTTTTATCTCATCAACCACTCAAAAAACGAGAAGTGGAGCTGTGGCTTAAAGTGGTAGAACACTAGTCTTAACAAAAAATAACTTAGCTCAGGGACAGTGCTCAGCTCTCAGGGACAGTGCTCAGCTCTCAAGTTTAAACCCCAGGACTGACACACGCAGACACATACATACACACATACACACGTGTGCAAACACACACTAAAACTAAACACTACCCATTTCTATAATGAATGCTCCAACCTCCCATGATTTATTTTTCTCTCAATTCTTCCCCCAATACCCAAATTAAGAGTATAAATGAATGAAGGGTACCCATTACTTTGCTCATGTAACTGTAGCCCCTCTGTACAGTATTTTTACAATAAAAAAGTATTAAAAGAAACAAATGAAGGGGAAACTACCAGCACAAAAATGCACAATGCTTTTACGTTTATTCTTTCATGAAATCCCACTAATAATCACATAGGAATAACAAGTATATTACCCACCAAGGATAAAGAACAAGAGAGGAGACAACGGATATAAACCAAACTTTGGGACATGAAAAAAGTTCATTTGTTAAAGAGGTAAAATAAAATTCTACAATGATGGAAGAATACGAAGTTAAAAAAAAAAGTAGGGGGAAATGGTACAAGTTGTAGTATATTTCGATAATCCCTATACTCTGGCTAAGGGAGGAAGATAAGCAAGTTGGCTAGTCTGAGCTACTTAATAAGATGCTCTTAAAAAAAAAAAAAAAAAGGCGGTGGGGTAAGAGAACAAATGGACTATTGAAACCAAAAAAAATGTCAGAAGGGATTAAAAATGGAAATGAAGTTCAAGACATCATCCAGAAAACCAGAACCAAAAGACAAATAAATGGAAAATAGGAGGAAAAAAAAAAAACTCAGGAAAACACAGGTGATCACTCTCGATGGTCAAATATCTGTTTTTAAATAAGAAACAAACAGACCAGAAAAAGACAGTTGGGCCCTACCTGTAGGCCCAGCTGCTCAGAAGGCTGAGACAAAAGTCGCACGTGAGCCCAGGAATCTGAGGCCAGTCTGAGCAACACAGCAAGAGAAAGAAGAAAAAAAAAGACAACTTATTTTAAAATAACACAAGCTATTTTAAGCCAGGTACGGAGGCATATGGAGGCATAAGGAAGGCTGAGGGACAAGGATTTACCATTGAAGGCCAGTCTATGTGAAATTTATAGCAAGACCCCGTCTCAAAAAGAAAATTACAAACAATTTTTTTTGGCACAAAAAAACACAAGTCTCTAGAGTCCAGGTCCACTTACCCAGGACAGTGAGGCGTGGGGACATATAGCAATCATAACCTTAAAATTAGTACATCAGTGTATTAGATACCAATATTGCTTACCAATATCTACTCTCTTCACCTTCCTAACTTAACAAGCCCCAACTGTGCTCTGAGCACCAACATGTTCCGTTAAAATAGCCACATTCCCACTCTGGGAGCGTCCTGGTGCTACAGGTACCATGTGTTCCGCTTCTGTCCAGAGACAAGCAGAAGCCACTGAATGGAGCTGCAGGAAAGTGTTTAAAGGGGACAGGCTAGACCAGTTATGATCCCTTCTTTCTCCTTTATCCAACTCAAAGGAGAAGCATGTTGTGACTGGGAGGTGACAAGCATGAGGACAGAGGCCCAGGACTTCTAAGAGCATCTCCGAGCAACCCAGAGAGGGTGATCTCTGAGCTTCTACTTGACTGAAATGAACCCCTCATTTATGTGATTGTTTATTGGATTTTCTGTTCAGCATAGCCCAACATATTCTGAACAGATATAGCTGCACAAAAATAAGTTCTACAAATCTTCTAAAGAAAAAAACTAAGTCACATACAAAGTTGAAGACTGTAGATTCTTCTAACAACATGAATACCAGAAGACAATGGAGCAGTGACTTTAAACACTGAAATTATAAACTAAGTTTAAGAATAAACAAGATAGACACGGAGACATGCTGCTGTAATGCCAGCATGTAGGAGGCAGAGGGAGGCAGGACGATGAGCGTTGGAGGCTAGCCTGGGCAACAGAGCAGGCGTTAGGCCGATCCGGGCCCTACAGTGAGATCTTATCTCAAAACAAACAACTGCACGCTGGTGGCTCACACCTACAATCCTCGCTTTCAAGAGACTGAGATCTGAGGATCAACAGTCAGAGTCAGCCCTGGCAGATAAATCTCTAAGACTCTTCTTTCCAATTAGCCAACAAAAACTGGAACTGGAGGTGTGGCTGAAGTGGTAAAATGTCAATCATGACCAAAAAGCTGAGTAAGAGTGAAAGGCTCTGAGTTCAAACAAACAAAAATAAAGTCAGTTTCAGATATGCAAAATCTCAAGAATCTGCATTTCCTAAGACTATTTGCTATTCATTAAAAAGGAGGAAAATCACAGGACCAAGAAATGAGCACATGCAGGGCACCTTAGAATGACAACTGCGCTGCAGGAAAGACAAGGAACCCTGGGCAGCTGCGCGAGGACTCCAGGAAGAGGTGTTTAAGAGCACAATACTGACACGTCCAGAAAGGAGGTTCTATTTTCTGCTCTACATTTTACTTCTCATATTTCTCACAGAAACATGTGATTTCTTAGGGAGAAATCAAAACAGTATACATTGTCAATGATACTTTTATAAAAATATAGTAACTCCATATATATTATATATCAACATACCTTGGTGAGGATGGTTTTACCATAATTCTTTGTGCTGGTTAAACCACTATTCAGATAGATATTTTTCCTCCCAACTGGGCTATAATAAGCTACAGGCAGAAAGGAAACAAAACATGCTATTAAACACAGAACTGCAGAAAGCCCCATCATCTTCCCACAGAGCATCATGGTCACACAAAAGGGACTTACCCTTGGGACAAACACCTCCATGACTGTTTGCTTTGGGAGAGCCAACATAAGCCAATCCAAGCGTTCCCATATCAAAATCCTGGTATGTGAAAAGATGTGCTAGGCAGACCTTAGACGCTTCCTCAGCTATATCAAAGCTGAATTGCTTTAAAAAAAAATAGATCAACAATTATACCAGACTAAAAGGTGTTTCAACGGACTATTCCAGAACAGCACGGGGACTGCTGCAACCGTGCAGCAGCGTGCACCATGTCTGCTTCACACGCTTGGTGCAGGCAGGAAGCAGACACTGTGGTTTGGGAGGGTAGGGCGAGAGTTGGGGGCCTTTCAGAACTAACTCCCTACTTCTCTGTGGAAGAGACCTACAGGCAGGCCCAAGGCACCCCAATTCTACCAGGGGACTGAAGCATACCCAGACAGATCTTCTAAAGGGTCCAAGGGTTCTACGGGTTTGCAGCGACTGCTTTGTTTCTGTCGATTTGAGCAGGAGTATATTTTCTAATATTTCTAAATTTTATAATACCAGGCAGACAGAAAAACACAAATAGTTATTTTCATGTTACTAAAATAAAAAATTTCAACCTCTTAAATCAACACTGGATTTATGAAAGTTTTTTTCCTTATTTCAAAACAAGTTAACACATTTTAAAAAAAGAACAAAGAAAAAGAAAACTTCTACTTTAACAGTCCTGAGACTCTAAATTAAAAAAAAAACTCTTGGGAGTTAAAAAAAAAAAGTTTTAAAGGAATGACCAGAGTGCACTGTGTAAGGTGGAATGGCTCCCACAGGGCTCCGTGGATTTAAAGACAGATGCTGTCACTGCATTGTAGGTCACTTTACAGCAAACCAACAGTACATACCAACTCAAGACACTGGAATTCTGTGGCAAGATTTCACATCACACAGGATGGGTAAGGTAAACTACTTTTAAATTTATTACCAGAATGAAAACAAGAATGTTAAATTGCTTAGAGAACTTACAGATCAGCCGGGCTCACACCTATAATCCTAGCTACTCAGGAGGCTGAGATGAGGATCGCAGTTCAAGGCCAGCCCGGACAAAAAAGTCCATGAGACTCTTATCTCCAATAAACCACCAGAAAACCAGAAGTGGTGCTGTGGCTCAAGCAGTAGTGCGCTCGCCTTGAGCTGAAGAGCTAAGGGACAGCGCCCAAGCCCAGAGTTCAAGCCCCATGACCAAGAAAAAAAAAAAAGAACTTTCAGATCTCCAGCTTGTATTTCTATCATCTAATACATTAGTCCATAGCCTATCTGACTATTGCCTAAAAGATCCATCAATGAGCTTTGGAGACACCTGTTACAAAACAGTGAGGGATGAGGACAGACCTATAAAAATCTCCATACTAGGTAATATGTTACCTTCAGCATGGACTCTGCCTACTTTATCAAGTACAAAAGTTAAGGACTGCTTAGTAGCATTTGTTTTTTCACAACTTGTTTTGCCAGCTGATGTCTGCCCAACTACAGGGGATGGGTCACTGCTAGACGCACAGGGTGGACTGCTCCAGGTTTTCCATCATCTTTTCTAGTATGTTTCCCATTAGTGCAGTGTACATAATCCACAAAGGGTAATCAGGAACACCAAATCCAGGATGCCAAGACCTACCTCTAGTAACATCTTTACGTCCCAAGCATCCTTATCTTCCTGTGGGTAACTTTTGGCCATGTTGTAGTGCTTTTCACCAGGTTTTACCTCTTGTGGAGACTTGAGAATGCGAATCTATACTTAAAGAGATAACACACTTAGAACACTTAAAACAAAGTCACCTGACTCTGAGTATATTATTTTAGCTGAGAAAAGTGCAAGTTTCAATTCAACATGGAATAAACAGAAAGATGCTGTATCAAAAACAAGTCTATATTCTAGAAAAAATGTTTTAGAAGCAAAATCCAATCAATTGTTCAGCTCTCATATTCAAATTTTAACTGAAAACCATGTTATAGACAATGTGTCAATGAATTATTTATAAAGTTATCAATGTGCTAAATTTCCTATCCTCTACATTTATTTTTAAAAAGTGAGACTTTGGATAATAAGCCTAAAATGCTACCAGTACAGTCAATAATTTAGAAATAGACTATGATGGACAGCACTCTGTGTGGCTTGAGTAAGGGATTATACAGAACTAGAGCTTCTCCTTGCATATACACTGCAAACAAATTCATATTAAACTTGCTAAGAAGGAAAGAAAGGAACAAACGTTTCCCACTGGTGAGTTGGGGAAAGGAAGGAGGCCATGCTGACCTGTTTCTGGCAATCTGGCTTCCTGTTTGCACCCAGGGCCCACTCTGCACAACCACAGGAGGTAAGTTCTCTGATTTGGGGGGACAGGGGATGCTCTGCAGTATTGGTGGTGGGTGAACGGGGTCGATTCTAAAAGCATGACTACACATCTAAACCAGGTCCTCCACCCGTTATGGGCTAAGGAAGTTGGTATGTCTGATTTCTACATTATCATGTTCCTACTGTATTTACTACTAGTCCTTGAAAACCTGAACATGATGAAGCTGCTCTGAAACAGCTGCAGTTGCTTTGTACATGTGCAATCTGCTGAGGAATAAAAATGCAACGTGAAAAAGAGTACACATACCCCAGTGCATCAAATATAGATTTCTACTTGTGTGTGCTGGGTATACATATCATACCTCCAAGAAGATCCATACTGAACTACTGTCTTCTATCATTAATATGTTACCCCTGTTCAACTAATAACTTTAAGAAGAAAACGCAGCTGGGTGCCAGGGGTTCACACCTGTAATCCTAGCTACTCAGGAGGCTGAGATCTGAGGATCATGGTTCCAAGCCAGCTCCAGCAGCAATAACCATGGGACTTTTATCTCCAATTAACCACCTACAAACCAGAAGCGGAGCTATGGCTCAAAGTGGTAGAGCACTAGCCTTGAGCAAAAGCTCAGGGACAGGGCCTATGCCCCGAGTTCAAGCCCCAGGACCAGCACCAAAAAATAACATAAAATAAAATGAAAATGCAAAATGGTAGAAGAGAATGGAAGAGGGAAAAATAATTGTTTTATACTAACACTATCAAAATTTAAATATGGTACATGATTTCAGAGATCACTTAATCTTTGAATTCTATGCTATAGAACGTATAAAATTATTCACATAACTAATACATCAAAATGTCGATTTAGCCAAGGCAATATTCCATTTCATAAGTCTCTTAAACTACACTGAGCAATCTGGAACAACTTTTACAAGGAGACGTAATTAAGAAAGCATTAGAGGCTTCTACTAACAGCTCATAGGGAACTAGAAGGAGGTGCTAAGAGATCTACTGTTCTATACACAAAAATACCCATGCAGTATTTCAGTAAATTTTCTAACTCAATAGTACATCATCCTAGGAGATAAAGGACCCAAAAACTGAGCAGAGTGGGAATAAAATGGTACAAAGAGCCTTCTCCCTCAACAGGCCCCAGGACAGAAATCTTAACACTCTAGAATTGAGTGTTATCAAGAACACTGGGCAACTTACCAGAAAGAATTAAAAATCAGTGAGAACTTGAGAACAGTTATAACTAATGGGGAAAAAGGTTTGGGGTTTAAAATTAATAAAAATGTTTACTTCACCTCATCAAGTAATATATGAAGCCATGTCTATTGATAAATACCTGCTCTATCTGTATTCCATAACCTTTAAAACCCGCATTATCCCACGAAGTGTTCCGATATATGTCATCAACTCTGTCAATTAGTTCTATCTGTATGAATAAAAGAAAAAGATATTAGGAAACCCTTATCACTCTTCACAATGTAACACAAAAATCCATTGGAAAAGGTCAGTGCCAAAGTCTGAACTAATTAGAAAAAGTACCACTAGGATGTTAATCTTTATCACCAAAGAAGTTATTCTGGTCTCAGACTTACAGTGCTATTATCGGAATAAAATAATGGTGCAAATGACTCCAAATTTTAGGTAATCAGATATATATAGAACCAAAATATCAAGTATCAAGCTTTTTAGAAACTACTTCACAATGAACTATGGAAATACAAGTCAATTGATATCAAAACCTAGTCCCTTCCAAGTAGGGTGCCTCCACCTCCTCAGTGTGTCCTGGAACAAGTAACAGGGCATGGTGACCACTGCTGTCCCACCCCAAGTGCACACTGAACTATTAACGGGGACTGAGGGATGAGGTACACTGCACCCTTCCTCCTCCTCCTGGTCTAGGTCCTGGAAGCTGGACCTGGAGGGACAGTACAATTACAAGATGACTTGAGAGGAATTAAAAATGCTAGTGCCTGGCTTTGCCTCAAGGAGAGCAAGGCTCTGCTCAAAACCTGAGGTGACGAAGTTTGCTCCAGGATGGTAATGACAAAGGTCTGATAAATCCTGAAATGGTTTTGCTTGCAAGTAATTAGAAATACAACTTTTAAAAGTAGACCTCTCGTTATACTCACGCTCATGGCATAACCTACACAAAAATACAAGACTGGAGCCCAGATTAAGGAGGGGCACTTTCAGGAAGAAAGTACAAGACGATCCTCCCTCCCCCACTGTGCTGCTAGCAAATTCTCTCACTTGACATGGAGGAGAGGACAGAGGGGCGACAGAAGGGTTCAGTGGAAAGCATGAGAAGGGACTCTACTGTACTGGCTGCTGGTTCATGGATAGCCGCATTGTCTGTCCACTCAATGGCAACATTTTCTTCAAGGCCAAGTTTATCATGATGAATGAGGTCATACTAACAAAAATGTCGATGAAAAGTTACTGCTTTGACATTAAAAAAAAACTATAATAGTTGATGCGTAAAGCTCCAGTGCTGGCTTAGGGATAGAGTAGCATGCCTGGGACCCGGGGCCTGACCCGGCAACACCAGGAAAATACCCAGTGTTCTCAGTGCTCCAGGCTTTCCTTCGTATCTCACCTGTTTCACAAAGTTACAGACTGTGATTAGCTCTTTAATTTTGCCATGGAATGTGCATAAATGCAAAAAGATATGCACAGGTTCACACAACAGAGCTGTAGAAATTACTAGCTTAGCCAGTGCTAGCAGCTTACTCATGCAATCCTAGCTACTTAGGAGGCCAAGACTGTGAGGACCGTGGCTTAAGGCCACCCTGGCAGAAAAGTTCATGGGACACCTTTCTTAACCCATAGCTGCGCACAGTGGAGTGTGCCTGTCATCCCGCGCTGACTGGGAGAATGGCTGTTCTAGGCCAGCAGTCAGGAAGCTAGATGTGCTGGCATGCACCTCTTCTGCAGTTCTCGCAAGGACAGGAACCACACATCACTCAGGTGAGCATCTGCTACCCTAAGAATAACCATAGCAAAAAGCAGAGCTGGAGATCAGCTCAGTGGTACTGTGCTGAGTTCAAGTCTCAGTACTGCCAAAAATAATAATCGTAGAAAAGATTCTGAATAGAGCCAGGCACAGTAGCCCACATCTGTGATCTCAGCTACTTGGAAGGTAGAAATAAAGGGATCACATGGTGGGGTTTGAGGCATGCCTCAAATGGTAAAGTACTAGCCAATGAGCAAAAGCATCAGATACTGAGTTCAAGTCCCACAAAAGAAAAAAAAAAAAAAAAAGGAAGCCAGGCACTGGTGGCTGACGCCTGTAATCCTAGCTACAAAGGAGGCTGAGATCTGAGGATCACAGTGTGAAGCCAGCCCAGGCACGAAAAGTCCCTGAGACTCTTACCTCCAATAAACCCCCAGAAAAACCAGAAGTGGCGCTATAGCTCAATTAGTAGCACTAGCATTGAGCTGCAGAGCTGAGTGACAGTGCCAGGCCCAGAGTTCAAGTCCCCAAGACAGACAAAAAGAAAAAAGAAAAAGAAAAAAAAAAAGAATAATGGTTACAGGACAGCCCTAGCAAAATGCTAAGAAGATCCTCTTCTCAACAAGCAAGCTGGCAGTAGTGGTGTATTCTTTAACCACAGCTATATGAGAAGCATAGGTGGGAAGATCTTAGGCTGAGGTTAGCGCCTGGCAGTGAGCAAGACACTATCTTAAAAATACCAAGAGGTGGGGCTGGGAAGGTGGCTCAGTGGTAGAGCACTTGCTTTGCATGCCTGAGACCCTAGGTTTGATTTCTCAGCACCACATAAGAAAAAAAGAAAAAAGCCGGAAGTGGCGCTGTGGCTCAAGTGGTAGAGTGCTAGCCTTGAGCTGAAGAATTGAGGGACAGTGCCCAGGCCCAGAGCTCAGGCCCCACGACCGGACCCAAAAAAAAAAAAAAAAAATACTAAGAGGTGTGGCTCCAGTGGTGAGTTCAACCCCCATATCATCAAAATAAATAATAAAAGTATAAACAGATTTTGTAAAATTGAACCTATGGTTTCCATATACTAACAGAACCCGAGAGAACATTCCGCAGTTATTTGAAGAGAAATGACAGAACATGTGGAACAGAACTGGTTTCATTAAGTTTCAAATTACCAACGCCTTCTTCTAATGGAATTTACCCACCTACATAAATTATTTGTCCAGTTACCTTATGCAATCTCAAATACTTACTAAGTAATTGGTAGTGGTGCTCTCTTCCCCTCTGCCCATGTATTTATAAAAGCGATGATCTGCTACCACCAATAATTTACATGTGTTCTTCATGGGGTTAGGACCAGTTCTTCTCTTCACCCGATGAACAAACTCTAATATGAATTTGTATGCACTATTAAATCAAAATTCATCAAAACAAGGAGGGTTTTTTTTATAGTAACACCTTAAATCTAGTATATTTGTGAAACAGACAATATTTAAGCTTAGTATCTTTTAAGACATCTTGAATAAAAAAACAGTTTAGAGGAAGACAAAAAAGTAAAAAGTAATACGAGTTTTTAATATTGTAGAATTTAGAACCATCAAGGCTGGAGACTGGGTGAATGGCAGAATACTTGCCCCAAGTTCAATCCCTCGTATCACAGAAGTGTTAACACAGTAAGGTGACTGTCTAGTTCTACACTGTAAAGCCATCATAGTTTTTGCCTCGAAGCTGATGAGTTAATCAAGGTCAAAGTGAAAATGTCAAGGCAACCACACATCAAAAATTAGCCCTGCTGGGATCTGCAGGTGCCTCAGGTCATTTGCACTAGACTGAAACCCCTACAGCCATCTCCACACAAGCAGGCTGTCTGCTTAGTGCATACACATATTCCCAAGCAAGAGACCATTTATGAGATATGCAGAAGCATGTATCCACAGGGACACATGTATCATAAATGCACTCAGTCCAGATGGAGCTCTACAAAGCCATCAGTACGTTTTTTTGTTTTTTGTTTTGGTCCAGTCGTGGGGCCTGAACTCTGGGCCTGGGCGCTGTCCCTCAGCTCTTCAGCTCAAGGCTAGCGCTCTACCACTTGAGCCACAGCGCCACTTCCGGCTTTTTTCTTTTTGCTTATGTGGTGCTGAGGAATCGAACCCAGGGTCTCATGCATGCAAGGCAAGCGCTCTACCACTGAGCCACCTTCCCAGCCCAACAGCAGTACGTTTTATGTGGAATTACGAATACACAGCTACAGATACGCTTTTGTAACAAATGTTAATGAGATCTTTCTTAGCAAGTCATCAAATTATTTAAGAGTTTATTCATCGATAGGCTAAAATGCTAGTAATTCTATTTTGGTTCCCTTTACTCAGGGACCAAGTAAGGTTTACTCCAAAAAAGGATAGTGTCACATCTTGAATGTAGTTTGTCAATTAAGAATCAACTGATGAAAATGAACAACTTCTGATGTAAAATAAAATTGAAAAAATGTAGCTAACAAGAAGTAAAGGAAACTTGCTTCATCTGGTAAAGAACGGCTCCCAACAACACTACAGCAAAGGCTGCATTTAGTAGTAACTGCCAAGAGCTGGCCCAGTGAGACTGGAGCTACAGACTCGCTTCCACTTGCTGGGCAAATCAGAAAAACACCATGAAAAAAATATTGACCCCTAACTCACACCATACACAAACTCTAGTCCAGGAAGATTAAGATCGAAATGTCAAAAGCATAATAATAAAGTTTCTAAGTGATAGAAGACTTGGCCTTTATAGTAGGGAAAGATGTCTTAAACAGGACACAAAAGCACTAACCATAGCAGAAAATAAATGATAAATTATCTACATTAAAATTAGAAACTGCTGGGCTGGGAAGGTGGCTCAGTGGTAGAGCGCTTGCCTAGCATGCACGAGGTCCTGGGATTGATTCCTCAGCACAACATAAGCAGAAAAACCTGGAAGTGGTGCTGAGGCTCAAGTGGTAGAGCACTAGCCTTGAGCTGAAGAACTAAGGGACAGCGCCCAGGCCCAGAGTTCAGGCCCCACAACTGACAAAAAAAAAGAAACTGTTGTTCCCAAATACAACATTGTTAAAGGAGAAGACATCACACATAACTGGGAGAAAATGAGCTTATCCAAACTATTAGACAACATTTGCCTAACAGTTGTATAGACAACTTAATTTTTAAAAAGCAGGGAAATTTTTATATAAGCATCTTACTTACAAAGGAGTTATTCAAATGGCCAACAAATGTTTAAACAGTTATTAAACTCAATAGAAGTCAAGGGAAAATATTTTAAAACCATATAGTACTGTAATATAGCTTAGGAGCTAGCTATTCCAATTACTAGTGGGCATGTGAACCCCCTGCACCCCGCCTGAATGGACAGTGAGGGTGTGAGCCAGCATATCCAGTTTAAAAATGACACTACCCACTGACGTTGAACATACCCATGGCCTGTAAAAAGTAACTCTATTCCAACGTATAAACCCAACAAAAATGCCAGCATACATGCACCAAAAACCACGAACAAGCAAAACATGTACAGAAACAAGTCAACCCGAGCCAGACCAGGGGCTCACACCTGTAATCCTAGCTACTCAGAGGCTGAGATCCGAAGGACTGTAGTTTGAAGCTAGCCTGAGCAGGAAAGTCCGTACGGTAGAGTGCCAGACTTGAACCAGACTTAAGCCACAGGACCAACACAAAAATACATAAACAAACAATAAAAACAAATCAGCCTGTAAGGTGCTGGTGGTGGCTCACAACTGTAATCCTCAGAAGGCTGAGATCTGAGGATTGCAGTTCAAAGCCTGCCCAGGCAGAGAAGTCTGTGAAACTTTTATCTACAATAAAATGCTCAGAAAAGGCCAGAAGTGGTGCTGTGGTTCAAACAATAGTGCTAGCCTTGAGCCAAAGAAGCTCTGAGAGAGGCTGGGAAGGTGGCTCAGTGGTAGAGCGCTTGCCTTGCATGCCTGAGGCCCTAGGTTCGATTCCTTAGCACCACATAAGCAAAAAGAAAAAAGCCGGAAGTGGCGCTGTGGCTCAAGTGGTAGAGCGCTAGCCTTGAGCTGAAGAGCTGAGGGAGAGCGCCCAGGCCCAGAGTTCAGGCCCCACAACCAGACCCAAAAAAAAAAAAAAATAATTAAAAAAAAAAAAGAAGCTCTGGGATATTTGAGTTCAAGCCACAGGACTGGCAAAAAATAAACACATAAATCAACACAATATTAATCAACAAAGAATACATTAGTATACTTACAATGAAATCCTACACAACAACATACTACATTTCTATAGTAATACAGTAGTACAGACTATACTACTGCTACATGCAGCAATATAGAGAGATCTCTCAAGCAAGATGCAGAGCAAAAGCCAACCAGGAAGGAATAAAGGATCTGAAATGTGGCTCTGTGGTAAGTGCTTGCTAGTACGTATCTAAATCTTAACCATGAAAACAGTAAAGGGCAGGAACAGGCATCTGTAGTCTCAGGAACTCAAGAGGCTGTGGCAAGAGAATCACTTAAGGGCTGGGAATGTGGCTTTGTGGTAGAGTGCTCACCTAGCATGCATGAAGTCTGGGTTTGATTCCTCAGCACCACATACACAGAAAAGGCCAGAAGTGGCGCTGTGGTTCAAGTAGTAGAGTGCTAGCCTTGAGCAAAAGCAGCTCAAGGACAGTGCCCGGGCCTTGTGTTCAAGCCCCAGGGCTGGCAAAAAGAGAATCATTTAAGCCCAAAATTCAAAGCCAGCCTGGCAACATAGTAAACCCTCTTTTTTTTTTGGTCGGTCATGGCTTGAACTCTGGGCTTGGGTGCTGTCCTTGTGCTCTTCAGCTCAAGGCGAGCACTCTACCGCTTGAGCCACAGCGCTACTTCCAAGACCCTGTTTCTTTACAAATAAATAAATAATGAGAGTAGACCTTTTTCAAAATGGTTATGTTCTCTAAAATGATCCCAAATAGATGCTCCAAGACCAGTATCCTCCTTAGATTATAAGCAGTATGCATCTTTCTTGATACCAAATAATTTTTAGTGCTTTTTTAAATGTCTTTTAGATAACTGACCTGATTCCTTTGTTTTATCTTCAATCCCTGACACCTTACTTTCAACTTAGTATGTTCTATTAGCTAGGCTTTCAACTGATTTTCATTTTTTTATTGGTCATGGGTTTGAACTCAGGGCTTAGGTCTGCCCCTGAGCAATTTTGCTCCAGGCTAGCGCTCTACTGCTCTCTGAGCCACAGCTCAGCTTACAGTTTTCTGGAAGTTAATTGGAGTCCCTAAGTCTCATGGATTTTCCTGCCCAAGTTGGCTTTGAACCGTAAGCGCCTGGCTCAATTGATTTTTTTTGTTTGCTATTAACCTCATTTCTAAGGTTTCAATGATTTTTTTTCTTCAAAATTTCCATATTCCTGCTTAATTCCTCTTTCATTTGCTGCCTTGTCTACTTTAGTTCACTTAGCTGTCTGAAATCTCTGAGCTCAACAGTTGCTTGTATCCTCTGGAAGTCATTCAGTTATTTAAACATCTCCTCTTTAATTTCATTCATCATTCTTGTCACTGTTTTTTATTCAAATTATTTGAAACTACTTTCTTTTCACTATCCCTTAAGTCTTTGTGAAATTGTTTGCTTTCAAGGGAGGCATGTTGCCTTGCTTAATCATGGATTACGTAATCTGGGGGAGGGGGCTGGGATTTATGTACATGGGACCTAAGTTTTAAGTGGAAGTTTGCCTTCTATCTCCTTTCAGTAAGTATTTCACAGAGACTCCCTAAGACTGAGTAGTGGCTTGGTTGAGGTATATTTTCCTGCCATCAGATTGGAGAAATGTGGCTCAGCAAACACTCCATTTCAATGCTCGACACTGGGCATAAGCCTGTTCTATACTTCAAGGTGCGAGCGGGAGAGCCAGACTGCAAAAGCCACTGCAGTCTTGTGTCTGGGGCAATCCCAAGTGAAGATCAGTCACCACTGCTTCTCCAGGACAGGCACAGACACCCTCGTGATGCAGGACAGTCACAGACACCCTCGTGATGCAGGACAGTCACAGACACAGACACCCTCGTGATGCAGGACAGTCACAGTCACAGACACCCTCGTGATGCAGGACAGTCACAGACACAGACACCCTCGTGATGCAGGACAGTCACAGACACCCTCGTGATGCAGGACAGTCACAGACACCCTCGTGATGCAGGACAGTCACAGACACAGACACCCTCGTGATGCAGGACAGTCACAGTCACAGACACCCTCGTGATGCAGGACAGTCACAGACACCCTCGTGATGCAGGACAGTCACAGACACCCTCGTGATGCAGGACAGTCACAGACACCCTCGTGATGCAGGATAGTCACAGACACCCTCGTGATGCAGGACAGTCACAGACACAGACACCCTCGTGATGCAGGACAGTCACAGTCACAGACACCCTCGTGATGCAGGATAGTCACAGACACCCTCGTGATGCAGGACAGTCACAGACACCCTCGTGATGCAGGATAGTCACAGTCACAGACACCCTCGTGATGCAGGACAGTCACAGACACCCTCGTGATGCAGGACAGTCACAGTCACAGACACCCTCGTGATGCAGGATAGTCACAGACACCCTCGTGATGCAGGACAGTCACAGACACCCTCGTGATGCAGGATAGTCACAGTCACAGACACCCTCGTGATGCAGGACAGTCACAGACACCCTCGTGATGCAGGACAGTCACAGTCACAGACACCCTTGTGATGCAGGACAGACACAGACACCCTCGTGATGCAGGACAGACACAGTCACAGACACCCTTGTGATGCAGGACAGTCACAGACACCCTCGTGATGCAGGACAGTCACAGTCACAGACACCCTCGTGATGCAGGATAGTCACAGACACCCTCGTGATGCAGGACAGTCACAGACACCCTCGTGATGCAGGACAGTCACAGTCACCCTCGTGATGCAGGACAGTCACAGTCACAGACACCCTCGTGATGCAGGACAGTCACAGTCACCCTCGTGATGCAGGACAGTCACAGTCACAGACACCCTCGTGATGCAGGACAGATACAGTCACAGACACCCTTGTGATGCAGGACAGTCACAGACACCCTCGTGATGCAGGATAGTCACAGACACAGACACCCTCGTGATGCAGGATAGTCACAGACACAGACACCCTCGTGATGCAGGATAGTCACAGACACAGACACCCTCGTGATGCAGGACAGTCACAGACACCCTCGTGATGCAGGACAGTCACAGTCACAGACACCCTCGTGATGCAGGATAGTCACAGTCACAGACACCCTTGTGATGCAGGACAGACACAGACACCCTCGTGATGCAGGACAGTCACAGACACAGACACCCTCGTGATGCAGGACAGTCACAGACACAGACACCCTCGTGATGCAGGACAGTCACAGACACCCTCGTGATGCAGGACAGTCACAGTCACAGACACCCTCGTGATGCAGGATAGTCACAGTCACAGACACCCTCGTGATGCAGGACAGACACAGACACCCTCGTGATGCAGGACCGTCACAGACACAGACACCCTCGTGATGCAGGATAGTCACAGACACAGACACCCTCGTGATGCAGGAAAGTCACAGTCACAGACACCCTTGTGATGCAGGACAGTCACAGTCACAGACACCCTCGTGGTGCAGGATAGTCACAGTCACAGACACCCTCGTGATGCAGGACAGACACAGACACCCTCGTGATGCAGGACAGTCACAGACACAGACACCCTCGTGATGCAGGATAGTCACAGTCACAGACACCCTCATGATGCAGGATAGTCACAGTCACAGACACCCTCGTGATGCAGGACAGTCACAGTCACAGACACCCTCGTGACGCAGGACAGTCACAGTCACAGACACCCTCGTGATGCAGGACAGACACAGACACCCTCGTGATGCAGGACAGTCACAGACACAGACACCCTCGTGATGCAGGACAGTCACAGACACCCTCGTGATGCAGGACAGTCACAGTCACAGACACCCTCGTGATGCAGGACAGTCACAGTCACAGACACCTCGTGACGCAGGATAGTCACAGACACCCTCGTGATGCAGGATAGTCACAGACACCCTCGTGATGCAGGACAGTCACAGACACCCTCGTGATGCAGGACAGTCACAGACACCCTCGTGATGCAGGATAGTCACAGTCACAGACACCCTCGTGATGCAGGACAGTCACAGACACCCTCGTGATGCAGGATAGTCACAGACACCCTCGTGATGCAGGATAGTCACAGTCACAGACACCCTCGTGATGCAGGACAGTCACAGACACCCTCGTGATGCAGGACAGTCACAGTCACAGACACCCTCGTGATGCAGGACAGTCACAGTCACAGACACCCTCGTGATGCAGGACAGTCACAGACACAGACACCCTCGTGATGCAGGACAGTCACAGACACCCTCGTGATGCAGGACAGTCACAGACACCCTCGTGATGCAGGAAGAGTCAGGGCTGATGGGTTAACACCAATGAACAATACAAGGCACGCATTTACACATGGAAAGAAGCTTAACAGAAGAGGTTAATGAGAACACAGAGACAATCTATTAATGGTGAGGGAAGAGGGGGAAGAGAGATGAAAACAATACACACACACAAAATAAGGGAATGATGCTTGGGGCAACTCAAGTTACCAGCCAAGAGTGGAAGGATTAGGGATAGAGTAGTTCTCTCTCACACATTAGCAGTGAGATAGCAATAGGAAGAAGACGACATGATTTCAGATTCAATACTGAAAAGGAGGGTGCTGTGGCTCAGATACTGTGACTGCAGAGAAAAGGAAGGGAAGAAAACCAGAGCTAAGAAACAAACAGGAGGGAGAATGCAAAATTACCTCCATCAGATAAACAAGCGATACAAACAGAAAGTTAAAAATAATTCAAACAACCACACTCAAACAGCAAGCAACAAAAACAAACTATGAAAATACAATGTGGATTTTCAATTATTTCTGTGTGTCTGTGTGTATGTGGGAATTGCAGGACAGAGGTCTGGGTGTAACCCGCCCAGCAGTCAATGCGTGGAACCGGGGCAGACCCTGGGGAGTGGGTATGAAGTCAAACCTTAGGCTCCAGGCCTTGCTGCCACCCTGGCCTCATTCAAGAGATGAGGCCACTAATCAGAGGGTATGGAACTCCCAACAACTACCATGCCCAAGCCTTCAGCATCCTGCGGCCTCTAATGGCACCTCTGCCAGCCGTGAGCCACGCTGCGCTCCTCTGAGGACCAGAACAGCGTCTTGCACTGTGCCTCTGCTGCATGTCTCTGCTGCATGTCTGCAGAGACCCACGCTTCTTTTTTGCCCAGTGCAGCCCAGCACAGCCCCCAGTGTTCAATTCTCTGCAGTGCCTTGTCAAACACTTCCCTCTCCTCAACCACATCTTGCCATTCACTTATGCCCAAACTCTAGGGCAAGGTGTCCTGTGACTCCTTTGACTGTGATAGTTTTTTATTCCCAGGATCCTAGAGTAACTCAGCCTCCAACAATGAGCACCGTCTCAAGATGGTGCCTCACTATTCCCTACCCAACCCCCAAGATAAGGGGAGCCACTGGGCCTTTTTCTAGCTGCTTTCCTTCGACTGTGCTGGTTTCTCTACGGCTTTCTGCTCCCCCACCACCTTCTTCACAGCTCCTGGTTGGTGTTCTCTCCTCCTCTCTTCACAGTCTAGTCTCTTCTGTTAATGGACTTTTCTCCTCTGCCATCCATCACCTTGCCACATATCTCCTCAAATTACTTATGAGCTCTAAGGATGAATTCTACAAGTATTGTTTTGACATTTCTAAGAATTCTGCCTCCAGCAATTTCATTTTCTTTTGCCCAGATTTTTTTTTTGAGGGTACTAGGCCTGGGCACTGTCCCTGGATTCTTTGGCTCAAGGTTAGCACTATACCACTTGAGCCACAGCATAATTTCTGGCTTTTTCTATGATTAATTGGAGATGAGAGTCTCAAAAACTTTCCTGCCCATGGTAGCTTCATACCACAATCCTCGGATCTCAGCCTCCTGAATACTAGCTAGGATTACAGGCTTAAGCCATCAGCTTTCCCCATTTTTTTTCCAGTCTTGGGGCTTGAACTCAGAGCTTCTTTTGCTCAAGGCTAGCACTCTACCACTTGAGCCACAGCGCCACTTCTGGCCTTTTCTGTTTATGTGGTACTGAGCAATCATGCCTGGTAGGCAAGCACTTTACCTCTAAGCCACATTCCCAGCCTCGGTACTTTTTTTTTGTTTTTTTGTCGGTTGTGGAGCTTGAACTCTGGACCTGGATGCTGTCCCTCAGTTCTTTAGCTCAAGGCTAGCACTGTACCACTTGAGCCACAGCACCACTTCTGGCTTTTTCTGCTTATGTGGTGCTAAGGAATCGAACCCAGGGCCTCATGCATGCAAGGCAAGCACTCTACCACTGAGCTACCTGCCCAGCCCCTTCCCTACACTTTTTAAGACAAACGTTTTATGTATAATCATTGTTGCTCCTACTGTTTTCTAATGTTTCCAACTATTACATTACTGAGAAAAAGAATTCCTGGAACAAAACTATTTTCAAGCCAAATACTATAGTTACTAGATAATCATGTTAAATATACAAATATCCCTATGCAAATAAAGTTATAAGGTGCTTATTTCTTATGGAAAAATACTTTATGAAGTCTTACCTTGAGGTGGCTCTCTGTCTATAAGCCCTTTGGGAATCAACTCTTCCTTATCTACATTTACATAACCACACACTTTTGGAGACTGCAAGCGTGAAACATTCTTGATATCTTCTGATTTATAAACTAACATTCTTTTGTCTTTGGTATCATTAACAAACCTCCACAGTGGCTAAAACAGAAAACATACATGGTGAGATGAGGAAAAAATCCAGGAAATCCACAATAGTATAACATTCTTTACTTATTCTTAAACAATATTTATTTCTGGATCAAATTTACTAGCAGTTTATGCAGAATAATCATTTCAGTTTTATTTGTTTTTCTTGTACTGAAGATTAAACTCAGGGCCTTATTTATGCAGGGCAAGTCCTCTACACTATGCCTGTAGCCCTCATCTTAGAGAGTGAGTGAGTGAGTGAGTGTGTGTGTGTGTGTGTGTGTGTGTGTGTGTGTGTTGGGCAAATCCTCTACCTCTACACTATGCCTGCAGCCCTTATCTTAGTGTGTGTGTGTGTGTGTGTGTGTGTGGTGTGTGTGTGTGTGTGTGTGTGTGTTAGCACACACACGTTTATGCTGGTCCTGAGGTTTGAACTCAGGTCCTGGGCACTATCTCTGAGCTTTGTGCTCAAGGCTAGTGCTCTACTACTTGAGCACAGCTCTTCTTTCAGCTTTTTGGTGATTAGTTGGAGATAAGAGTTTCAGGAACTTTCTTGCCTAGGCTGGCAATAACTGCTATGGTCTGAATGTGACCCAAAATTCATGCTTTGGAAACTTACTCCCCCAATTTACATGAACAGGCTCTGAAGTGGAGTCTTTGGAAGGTGACTGGGTCATGAACCACTCACAGATGAACAGGTTCTCATGGGTGTGGCATTGTTATATAAGTGAATTTAGGGCCTGGGCATGTGGTTTAGTGGTAGAGTGCTTGTCTAGCATGCATGAAGCCCCAGGTTCGATTCCTTAGTCCATATAAACAGAAAAAGCTGAAAGTTACACTATGGTTCAAGTGGTTGTGTGCTAGCCTTGAAAAGTTCAGGGACAGTGTCCAGGCCCCAGTGTTCAAGCCTCATGACTGGCAAAAATAAAAGTAAAAGTGAATTTAACAAGCATACCCTCTGCCATGTCTTAATGTTGTAAGAAGACACATCAAGGAGATGCCAGCAAAAAGCTCTTGGATTTCCCAGCCTTCAGAACCATAAAGCTTCTCTTTTTGATAATTTACTGAGTTTCAGGTATAGTACCTGAAAAGGTACTATAACAATAATCTACAGACTATAACAAGCACATTACAAGGCCATAGATTTCTTCTTCCTAATGATGGATAGACCAAAGACTAATGGCCATGTAGTCTGCATGTTATTACATGTATGTTTACAGGTCTGGAAGAGTAGGCTCAGCGGTAGAGTGCACAACAGCCTACAAAATGCAAAGCCCTGAGTTAATACTCCAGTACAACCAATAAAATAAATAAAATGGATATTTATAATACTAGCACCCTGGCTTAACCCTATCACCAAATAAACGTGAAAATTTCTAGCTGAACAATCTTATAATTTTCTTGCAAATGATCTGCTTTTGTGATATCTTCACCATTACCCAAAGGATTCCTATTTTCCAAGAAAACACAAAATCCATGTCAGTCCACAAATACACGGCAAGTTTGTTTTCTAGGCTAGCCTCTGACATGTGGATTTGTGCCTGATATTAATTTGGTTACTTTGCTCTTGTTTCTACTATTTGGTTAAAGAGTGCACAGAGATTCTTTTAACTTCTCAGACTAAAACTATCAGCCTTTTTTTGTTTGCTTGCTTGTTTTTTGGGGGGGAGGGTCAGTTGTGGAGCTTGAACTCAGGGCCTGGGCACTGTCTATGAGCTTTTCTGCTCAAGAGTAGCAAGCACTCTATCACTCTGAGCCACAGCTCCACTTCCAGTTTTCTAGTAAACTGTCCATAAGAGGCTCATGGACTTTCTAGCAGGTTGGCTTTGTACTGCAACCCTCAGATCTCAGCCTACTGAGTAGCTACTATTACAGGCATGAGCCACCAGCACCCAGCTTCTATCAGCCTTTTATTAACCTAGAATTCCCAGAGTGCCTAACAGAGAAATAAGACTTGACTATCATCTTTTGAAATACTCTTACAGTAAGACCACTCGACAAAGAATCTTACAATGAGTTTTCTCTTCCTAAGCCCACCCCAACGTGTGCTTCTATTATGTACTAGGAAACAGAGTACACCCAATGATAGCTTCTTAGCGATGCAAAAAATATTCTTGTTCTGTACAGTCATCTACTTCCCTAGTTCAAAAAGAAAAAAAAAAACCTTAAATTTAAGCAGAAAAGAATGACCAATTACAACTTTTGCATTTTAAACAACTGAGATGCTTTTTAAAACTCAGATATATAAGCCACTAAAAAATTAAAATTTAGGGCTGGGAAGGTGGGCTCAGTGGTAGGGTGCTTGCCTCTCATGCATGAGGCCTTGGGTTCGACTCAACACCACATAAACAGAAAAAACCGGAAGTAGCACTGTGGCTCAAGTGGTAAAGCGGTAGTATTGAACTGAAGAGCTGAGGGAGAGCACCCAAGCCCAGAGTTCAAGCCCCATGACCAACAAAAAAATAAAAATAAAATTTTATATAAACTTACCTCTATGTTATATTCTGCCCCGTCTGTGTAGATTCTTATTGTAACATCATCATCTCCTATGTGGGCCAGAACCTTAGAGTCAGGCTCACCTTGACAGAAAAAAAAAACCAAAAACATGTTTTTTCAATACCATAAACTATGCATTACTAACAATAAAGAAAAATCAATCAAACTGTTCATCACACTTGCATTCACCTTGAGAGCTCTGCAAAAAAATGGAGGACAAGCCATACACCGGTGTCTCATGCCTGCAATCCTCCTCAGGAGGCAGAGAACAGGAGGATTGTGGTTTGAAGCCAGCCCAGGCAGAAAAGCCTACGAGTATCCATCTTCAAAATAACCAGCAAAAATGCTAGACTGGTAGAGCAAATGTTGGAGCATCAGCAGAGAGCAAGAAAGCTGAGCAAGAGTGTCTAAGTTCAGGCCCCAGTAGTGGCACCAAAACAACAAAGAAGACCCAGAAGCTAGGTAATTCTCACCTCCAAAAGAGCAGCCTCAAGTCAAGTAAAACTTTCCATTCCCATAATTAACAAACATCTAATTCTGCAGATGTTCTTCTGGAGTAATGCAACCCAAATTTGGTGGAGAAGAACTAAGAGCAGGCAGAGGTGTGACCTAGAATATACAGATCTTAAACTGTACTATTTGGAGATTGTGATGTCTTTTTGGGGGGGAAGGAGGGCATGACAGTAGCAGGGCATGGCTTTCTTGCTTATGGTTGGCATTCCACCATTTGAACTATGCCTCCAAGCTGCCATTTTGCTGGTAAACTGAAGATGTAGTCTTGCAGACTTTTCTGCCTGAACTGGCTTTGAATTTCTATCTTCCATATCTCAGACTTCTGAGTAGCTAGGATTACAAGGCATGAGCCCTGGTGCTAGATCCTACTTCTTTTTCTTATTGAAGAACACAGTCCAAAAGGTAAACTGCAATGCTTGTTTGGTACTTTCTCACAACTAGATACATAATAAGAGCATAAAGTAAATTTTATCTACCTTCCCTATTTAAATCTAAGAAAAGCACAATCCTTGCCTAAAAAAGAAAGTTAAATTCTTACCACTTGAGAGGAAATTCATTTTGTCATCAACTTAGCCAGCAAGTGTGACATAGTAGAAAGTACCTACTTTCTATTCTTAGAACAGTTCTGCTTCCCAATTTGCATAGCTCAAAAAACCGCTCACAGAACAGCATTCCTATGACACTCCTTTACTCCTACCCACCAGACAAGACAACTTCAACTTAGATTTGAAGACCCATCATAATTTTAATCTGATATCCCCCAAAAGTTCATGCATGAAAAGGCTGGTTGCCCAAGATTTAGAGGCAACTAGATAATGTGGGTTCTAACTTCATCCACAGATTAACCACTAGTACTCACTGCTCTGTGGGCCATTAGGACATATGGCCTGGTTGCAGAAGTAGGTCATGAGGGTGTGCCTCTGAAGGGTGTACCTTGTCCTACACCACTCCCTCCCACTCCCTCTCAACCCCCCCCCCCCCCACCTCGATGCTTTGTGGCTGCTGTGAGAAGAGCCTCCTCCACCACAGGCTTCTGACACCATGGTGTCTCTGCCGCACCACAGGTCCAACACATGGAAACAGCCACTGGAACCATGAACCAAAATGAACCTTTCTCTTTCACATTGTTTCCTGAGAATTCTGTCATAGCAAAAAGGATGACAAACTATGACTAGTCTAAATTTGCATAAAGTACACTTTAGTGTGCTTACTATATATGGAAAACTCAGTTTCTAAAATTAAACTTTTTATTTGCAATTTTTTGTTTTTTTGTCAGTTGTGGGGCTTGAACTCTGGGCCTGGGTGCTGTCCCTCAGCTCTTCAGCTCAAGGCGAGCGCTCTACCACTTGAGCTACAGCGCCACTTCCGGTTTTCTGGTGGTTTTTGTCTCCTGCCCGGGCTGGCTTTGAACCGCAATCCTCAGATCTCAGCCTCCTGAGTAGCTAGGATTATAAGCATGAGCCACCAGCGCCCAGCTTTATTTGCAATTTTTAAGGAAAGAAAAGGAGTATTTAGAAGATCTAAGACTTGAAGACACAAAGCAGAACAGAGCTCTGCACTCACCAACCACATGTCCACTGAAGAAGTCCTGCCATTTTACATTATACTCGCTTTCATCTTTACCATCTACCACCACCACTTTGAAATTCCGTGAAAAGCGTTCAGTACTTGATGTCAGGTATAATTTAAAATGCCTAAAGAAAGAATAAATTTATAGATTAAGTACATTGAATAGAGGCCTGATTTTTTCTTTCTTTTTTTGTGTCAGTTGTGAGTCTTAAACTCAGGGCCTGAGTGCTGTTCCTGAGCTCTTCGCTCAAGGCTAGCACTCTACCACTTTGAGCCACAGCGCCATTTCCAGTTTTCTGGTGGTTAACTGGAAATAAGAATCTCACAGACTTTCCTGCCAGGGCTGGCTTTGAACCACAATCCTTTGATCTCAGCCTCCTGAGTAGCTAGGATTACAGGTGTGAGCCACCAGCACCCAGCTTGATTTTTTTTTTTTAATGTTAGCTATCAACCTGATAGCGCTAATTTACATTTTTCTAAAAACCATAAATTTTAGAAGAATTTCCAAGTTACAAGTAACATTTCTCTAGAGAAGTGGAGTAAAACATCTCCGTAAAGGTAAATTGATTAACTAGGTTAGTTGTAGCAGCTTATTCCAGAAGAAATGAACAATACAAGGCAGGGAGCATCCAAAAAGCATACATATTCCTCTTTTCTGGAAACGGAGTAATGAAACACACAGATCTGGGTAAATGGAGTACCACTAACTGGAAAAATTAGTATTTAAGACTATTTTTACTATATACCATTAATTGAACAACTACCCACTGTCAGGCACTCTATGTGTATAAATAATCTCCACTTTACACAAGCAAAAGCTAAGGCACAGAAATTATCACTCAGGTTACACAGCTATTCCATTCTGAAACTGGACACAGAACTTCCTTTGTTTCATATTCTTGCACGCTACCACCTCTAGCAACCAAGCTGTAGATATGACTGGAACACACTTCCTGTGGTGCAAAATTAATAAATTGTTGCTTGTGTATTTAAAAACACTCTTTCCTTCTTCTAAAAGATCTTGAAAATAATTAAACCACAATTACCACCAGGGAAATAAATATGAAGTCTCCAAAGCAGACATTAAAATATGTACTCCTGCCAGGCGCTGGTGGCTCACGCCTGTAATCCTAGCTACTCAGGAGGCTGAGATCTGAGGACCGAGGTTCAAAGCCAGCCTGGGCAGAAAAGACCGTGAGACTCCTATCTCCAATAAACCACTAGAAAACCGGAAGTGGCGCTGTGGTTCAAGTGGTAGAGTGCTTGCCTTGAGCTGAAGAGCTGAGGGACAGTGACCAGGCCCAGAGTTCAAGCCCCATGACTGACCCAAAAAAAAAAAAAAAAAAAATGCACTTTCTATTCCTTTCTCTTTTTGTTCTCTAAACATTTTTTTCTGTTCTGACATAGAACAGAAAAGCCTTTCCAATGCATACCCATGCACACCAAAGACCAAAAAGATATGCCATTCATCTCAAGAGACACAAATCTTGTCAGCTATGGGGAAAATGTGAAATATTACTTTCCCTTGGGATCTACCTAAGTCTTACAACTACCAAGAAATCCAGACTGGGATTATCTCCATAGCAACAAATTGTTTTTAACCTTTTGTACATACAAGGCAATGTTAGTTTCCTTGCAATGTTTTTAATGGCCAGAGTGAAAAAGACACATAATAGAACAAGATATCATAAAACTTAGGAATTTTTCTTTTTTTTTTCCCCCCATTGTGGGACTTGAACTTAGGGCCTGGATGCTATTCCTGAGCTCTTTTGTTCAAAGCTAGCGCTCTACCACTTTGCCCCACATCATCACTTCTGATTTTTTAGTGATTAATTGGAGATAAGAGCCTCATAGAGACATTTCTGCCCAGGATGGCTCCAATCCACAATCCTCAGATTCTCAGCCGCCTGAGGACCCAGAATTACATATATGAGCCGGCACCCAGCTCTCGCTTTCAAAAATGTTTCTTCGTTGGGAAGGTGGCTCAGTGGTAGAGTGCTTGCCTTGCATGCATGAGGCCCTGGGTTTGATTCCTCAGCACCACATAAGCAGGGAAAAAAAAATCAAAAATGTGTCTTCCAACTAGTGTTAGTGGGCACTTTTTCACCATCACTCATGCTGAGGACTTGAGAGGAAAAACACCTTTTTAATACACCTATTACTTTCAAAGCTATGAATCGTAATATTGTTTTCAATATCCTCATGCAAGTCATTATTGCATTCTGAATTTCCTACACCAAAAATGTGCTTCACAAGCTGGGCACTGGTGGCTCACGCCTGTAATCCTAGCTACTCAGGAAGCTGAGGTCTGAAGATCATGATTCAAAGGAAAGTCCATGAGACTCTTATTTCCAATTGAGACTCTTGTTTCCAATTAACTACCTGGTAGCACTGTGGCTCAAAGTGGTAGAGTGCTAGCCTTGAGGGGATAAAGGGGGTCAAAGTTCAGGGAAGTGGGGGGGGGGGGGAATCTGCTTTACAGTAAAAACAAACACCAAGTAATAGTGGAAGTTTATAGTGCTTTCTGTTTAATTAGGGTTGTTTATTTAATTTTGGGGTGCTGGAAACTGAACTTGGCACCTTATTCGAGCTAGGCTGGCACTCTTTTACCTAAGAAATACCTTCAGCCCCAACATGTTTTTTATATTTTCCATTCTTAACACTGAGTTATAAAACTTAATAGGATTTTTTTTTTTTTGGGGGGGGGGGGGTTGGTCGTGGGGCTTGAACTTCTGGGCCTGGGTGCTGTTCCTGCGCTCTTTAGCTCAAGGTGAGCATTCTACCTCTTGAGCCACAACGCCACTTCCAGTTTTCTAGTGGTTTATTAGAGATCAGATTCTGATGGACTTTTCTGCCCTGGCTGGCTTTGAACCATGATCCTCAGATCTCAGCCTCCTGAGTAGCTAGGATTACAGGCATGAACCACAGGGCACCTAGCTCTAAAAGGATTTTTTTTGGGGGGGAGGGGGATCCAGTCGTGGGGCCTGAACTCTGGGCCTGGGCGCTGTCCCTCAGCTCTTCGGTTCAAGGTTAGCACTCTACCACTTGAGCCACAGCGCCACTTCCGGCTTTTTTCTTTTTGCTTATGTGGTGCTGAGGAATTGAACCCAGGGCCTCATGCATGCAAGGCAAGCACTCTACCACTGAGCCACCTTCCCAGCCCCAATAGGATTTTTTTTTTATCAATTAAAGTTCATTTTACTTTTTTTTCCCAAAATTATGTGGAGTCATTAATTTGCAGATGTCTGACAATTTTGTCTTTCTGACTTTCGTTTTTGAGAATTTACAGTAACAACCAGTTTTAGCCAGTTTGAATTACCACTATTATCTATTTTTGTTTTGTGAGACAAGATCTTGCTATGCAGCCCAAGCTGGTCCAAAATGCCCAATCCTTCTGCTGAAGCCTCTAAGCACTGCAATTATGGTACATGGTGCCACACCAGCTTCTTAATGGTCCATTTTGTGGGAACTGCATTTCTTCATCAGCTGAGATTACAGGAATAAGCCACCACACTATGCTCTTAAAAAAAAAACAAAAAGCGGGCACTGGTGGCTCACGCCTGTAATCCTAGCTACTCAGGAGGCTGAGATCTGAGGATCGCGGTTCAAAGCCAGCCCGGGCAGGAGAGACCGTGAAACTCCTATCTCCAATAAACCACCACAAAACCGGAAGTGGCGTTGTAGCTCAAGTGGTAGAGCGCTCGCCTTGAGCTGAAGAGCTGAGGGACAGCGCCCAGGCCCAGAGTTCAAGCCCCACGACCGACCAAAAAAAAAAAAAAAAAAAAAAAAACCAATAACATTATAAAAAGTATCAAAACAAGTCAGGCAGCCTGAGTAGCCTGTAGCTACTCAGGAGGCTGAGATCTGAGGATCATGGTTCAAAGCCAGCTCTGACAGGAAGTTCCTGAGACTCTTATCTCCAATTAATCACTGAAAAATCAGAAAGTGGTGCTGTAGCTCAAGTGGTAGAGTGCTAGCGAGTGCTAGCCTTGAGTAAATGGAGCTTAGGGACAATACCTAGGACCAGAGTTCAAGGATCAGGACCTGCCAAAAAAAAAAAAAGTACCAAACAATAGTTGCAATCATTCCTTACTCTGGAATAAGTATTTGTGGATTTACACCAAAGAGGAAAAGTAACTTGCATGGTAAATTTTAATGTTTCTTCTCTTCACAAAACTACTTCAATCCACTGAGTGCCTGTGGCTCACTCTTATTATCTGAGGTCTCAGAAGGCTGTGCTCTGAGGATCATGGCTTGAAGCCAGCTCAAACAAACAAATCCAAGAGACTCTTACCTCCAATTAACCACCAATAAGCTGGAAGTAGAGCTCAAGTGATAGAGTGCCAGACTTGAGTGAAAAAGCTGAGAGAGAGCATGAGACCCTGAGTTCAACAAGCCCCAGAACTAGCACAATTAAAAACAGAAACAAAGCAACAAACTGCTTCAGTTCATATAAGCTTTTGGAATTCTTTCGTGCTTCTTAATAGCTACTAGTCACATCCCTATTTAATTTAATGTAATCTTGGTTTAAATTATTTAAAACCAGACTATTCGCCTGGTGCTGGTAGCTCATGCCTAGCCACTCAGGAGGCTAAGATCTGAAGATAACAGTCTGAAGAAGAGAAGTCCATGAGACTTCATCTCCAGTTAACCAGCAAAAGACAGGCTGGGAAGCAGAGGCATGGCTCAAGTGGTAGCTTGCCAGCCTGAGCAAAATAAATCCAAGTGAAAGTGCAAGGGTCCGAGTTCATCCCCAGTACCAGTACCAAAAAAAAGCCAGGCTGGAGGTGTAGCCCAAGTGATAGAGCACAAGCCCTGAGTAGAAAAAATCCTGTGGGAGTGTGAGGACCTAAGTTCAAGCCCTAGTACCAGACAATAAATAAAAATGGTAAAACTTAAAAAAAAAATAGCATCTTTTCACTCCCCATCACTACCAAATAAAAAATGGCTTCAGCCCAGGGCCAATGGCTTACAACTTTAATCCTAGCTTCTCAGGAGGCTGAGATCTCAGGATCACCGTTTTAAGCCAGCCAGGGCAGAAAAGTCCATGAGACTCTTATCTCCAATTAATCACAGAAAAAACCAGAGGTGGCCCAGTAGTTCAAGTGGTACAGTGATAACCTTGAGCAAAAGAAGCTCAGGGACACAGCCCAGGTCCACAGTTCAAGCCCTAGGACCAGGAAACACAAACAAACAAACCAATTGGCTACACTAAGGTAAGGACAGCCATAATACACCCTAATTACTTCAGTGACCCAGAAAAGGTAAGGAATTTAGAGCTAGAAAATCTGGCAAATCTCACTCTACCTACCATCTAGTTTGACCTTGGCCTTGATCTCTGTTCCTAAGTAAGCACCTAACTACAAATGGAAAGATATAACCTATTAACTGACTAGTTTGGAGTTGAAATTAAACAACCTATTTTAAAGCATTTGATACAAAATTCTCATAAATTGGAAAATACATTTCCTATTAAATAATTAAAAGCAAAAAACTCTGTAAAATAAATTACAAAATTTCCCGACACACAATACTGAGTTTTGAACTCAGTACCTTAGACTTGCTAGGCAGGCACTTTACCACCTGAGCCAGGCCCCAGCCCTGAACATTTTCTTAATTAATGATTGCCATCTATGAAACATGAAAGAGAAATATGTACAGTATAAGCATCCAATTAATTTAAATTCTGTTAAAATTTCATAAGCATACCGTTAAACATGATGAACTTTGAATACTTATTTACTTTGGTTTAAATACTTGCCAGTATGACTTGTAAAATAAGCATTAGAGTGTATGAGCTATATATGAAAACAGAAAACAAAAAAAAGTTGAAAATTTTTGAAGTCATTGCATCAACTGCAAATCTTTAACACAGAATTTCCTGAGATTTCCATAGACCTGCTTTTCTATACACTTTTGACACACTGAGCTGCCAATGACATAACATTACTCAATAATTCAAATTACCTTTTCAGAGCTGAAAACGTGAGTAGTGTTTCTAAATGCGTAGAGGCCTGCAGACCCCTTTTCCTCACTGAGTGCTGCTGGATATTAGACAGAGAAAGGATGTCGTAGTCTGAGAGCAGAGAGTCAAGATTATCTGAAAAAAGGGTAAAAGGGTTATTAGCAACCAAATTCATAAAGCAATTGTAAGATCACTAAAATGAGTGTGCAAGACAATAAACTCTATGTAAAGTACTGCGAGAGCCAGCAGCACCACCGATGTGGTCTTACAAAAAAAACCTGACCCCAAGTCTAATGAAGATCCAAGTTCCAGTTCTTAAGAGACAGGGATTTGATGCTGCCAAACTAAATACCAACTGCAGGAAGCAATCAGCCACACCTAGAATTTTTAAATCCCACAACAAAGCACCCAATTTCTCCACAAAATAAATGGCATATAAAAGGAGGAAGGGACAGAAAAATAACAGACTGAAGAGTATAGCAAACAATCAATGTGTAACTCTTTTTGTATCCCACATCAAACAAGTCAGCTGTGGAAAGACATTTAAAACAACTTGGGAAAACTGAACATGGACCACATATTAGATATTAGTAAGTTTGATATCTCAAAGAATGCTATGGCATACAATGAAATAACTTCTAGATAACTGCCAGTTTGTGTAGGTTTAAAATTTCTAAGATCAAAGCATCTGACTTGGTCTTTTCATTGACATATTCCCTATCTGTTGATAAGAAGAACCACTTTTCTGCCAATGATGGCTGCTGTTGACTTGATCTTGCTGATCACAAAGCTTTGGGGCACCAATGAAAACCTTCAAAAGGTCACTCTTTCAATCACTCATTCAACGATTGTTTTGTCTGAAACTGGGACTCCAACTTGGTATATGACTCATTCACTCACCACGCTCTACTACCAGAGCCACGTTTCCAACCACTCCTCATTCAACTATTTCTTTTTTTTTGGTTGGTCATAGGGCCTGAACTCTGGGCCTGGGTGCTGTCCCTCAGCTCTTCAGCTCAAGGATAGCTCCCTACCACTAGAGCCACAGCGCCACTTCCGGCTTTTTCTGCTTATGTGGTACTGAGGATCGAACCCAGGGCCTCATGCTTTGAGGTAAGCAATATAACACTGAGCCACCTTCACAGCCTCATTCAACTATTTCTTAAGTGTTCAATACAAGGCATTATGCTGGTATTTTACTACAGTAGCTCTGTGAATATCCCTGGGGTATTATCCTCCTTTCACAAATGAAAAAACAGACTTAAATAAGTAAACTGGTATAACCACAAAGCTAAGGTAGCACAGAAATGGATTTTGACCTTGAGCCTGGCAGACTGAAATACCAAAGTTTTATGATGTGATACTTTTTTTTTAAGTAACTAATTTTTTTTACATTTTTTATTATTATATCTTTAAGTAGTTGTACAAAGAAGGTCCCATTCTACAGAACAGTATGAGTACAAGGTGTCTGACAACATTGCCACCCATCGCTCCTAACCCACCCCTTCTCTCACTTTCCTAACCCACTTCTCTTTTTTTTAATTGAGATTAGATGATTACATAAATTTCACATATTTCACAGTATTGTGGAATAGTGATACTTAAAGTCACAAACACATATTAACCTTCCCAAGGCAAACTGTCATTATCATGGTCTATAAAGGCTGTGAATTCTATGAGCTTTGACAATACAAATTATTTCTTCCACTGATCTGATACTTTTGAAACTCCTTTAAAAATAGCGGGGGTGGGAGGAGGGGGAGGAAATGTAATTGTGTAGTTGTGGAGATGGGAGAGAAGGGATGGTAGGGGGAAAACAAAGGCAACAATGCTTGATAAGAAATGTACTCATTACCTTGCTCACGTGATTGTAACTCCTCTGGTACAGTATTTTCACAATAAAAAACTTATTTAATAAATAAATGAATAAATAAAAAGAAACATTGTACTCATAACCTGGGCTATGGAATTATAACCTCATTGTACAACAATTTGGTAATAATAATAATAATGAACTGTTTCTGGAACAAAAAAGAAAAAAATAGCCTAGGCATTTTGGTACCTTCTACTACTTCTTACTTTTTGATATGTCCACCAAGCATGACCTCTCTTTTTCCCTCTCCCCTCCCTTTCCCCCTTTTCTCTACCTTCCTCTTCCCCTCCTCTCTTCCCCTTTCTCTCCCCTTCTCCCTCCCTCTCCCTCCTTCCTTCCCTTCCTTCCCCCCCCCCCCTTCTTTCTCATGTGCCAGTCTTGGAGCTTGAACTCAGTGACTGGGCCTTGTCCAACTTTTTGGTGGTTAATTGAAGATAAAAAGCCTCATGGGCCGGGAAGGTGGCTCAGCGATAGAGTGCTAGCCTTGCACTTGTGAGGCCCTGGGTTCAATTCCTCAGTACCACATTAACAGAAAAGGCCAAAAGTGACACTGTGGCTCTAGTGTAGAGCACTACCCTTGAGCTGAAGAGCTCAGGGACAGCACCCAGGCCTAGAGTTCAAGCGTCATGACTGACAAAAAAGAAAAAAAAAGAAAGAAAAAAAAAAGCCTCATGTATGTTCCTGCCTGGGCTGGCTTTGAACTGCAATCCTCAGATCTCAGTCTCCCCTTGAGCTGAAGAACTCAGGGACAGCACCCAGGCCTAGAGTTCAAGCTTCACGACTGACAAAAAAGAAAAAAAAAGAGAGAAAAAAAACCTCACATATGTTCCTGCCTGGGCTGGCTTTAAACTACAATCCTCAGATCTCAGTCTCCTAAGTAGTTAGAATTACAGGCACCAGTGCCTAGCTAAAGCCTTTTTTTTCTTTTTTCTTTTTTTTTGGCAAGTCCTTGGATTTGCACTCAAGGCTTGCACACTGTCCCTGAGCTGCTTTTACTCAAGACTAGCGCTCTACCACTTAAGCCACAGCGCCACTTCTGGCTTTTTCTGTGTATGTGGTACTGAGGAATGGAACAGGGCTTCATACATGCTAGGCAAGCACTCTACCACTAAGCCACATTCCCAGGCTAAAGCCCTTTCTTTATACCTTTATTCTGGCACTTTTTGGTAAGATATACTTGTCTTCCTCACAAACAGGTTATGAAATAGCCAAGTGTTTTTATTCATCATTATGTATTTACCTCATCACAAATTCAGTATAAAAATTTATACCTGTCAGCACTCATGTTCCAAGACTGCCTAAATTCTCAATGCTGCGAAATCAATACAGCTCTTTTCTTAGCTCTTCAAATTCACTGATACAGGCTGGTACATGAACTCAGTTTCATTCAAGATCATAATCTCGCCCACTGACTTACAGGCATAACTCAACACAGTACTTTCATTGTCAATAAATAACATGGCAGTGACTCTCAGAACACATTCCAGTGTCCCCACACAAGCAGCAGCAGCAACGCACGAATGCAAATGTTCTGATTTCCCCTCAGACCTACACAATCAAAAATCAAGTTTGAAAACCACTCAACAAGCCTGACAAGATGTCTGTGGTCTCAGCTACCAGGGAAGCTGAGGGAGAAGACTAGCTTGAGTCTAGGAGTTCAAGGGCAGTTTAGATAACACAGTCAGACTTGCATCTCAATAAAAGTTAAGACAGAAAGACCAAAGGGCAGAAGGCACTTAAGCAAGGAAATCAGACCAAAATGAAGGAAAAAACTGGAGCCAGTACTGTCAGGGCCTTGCACTTTTGCTTGTTTTTTGGTTTTGTTTTAAGTTTTAGCAAGTATTTATTTTAGTGTAACAGGATAAAGTGGGGAGAAATAGAAAAATAAAGAGTAACATTTCCTGTTCCATACAGGAAAAGGGAGTTAAAGATTCATTGCTAAGCAGGGCACGGGTGGCTCACAACTGTAATCCTAGCTACTCAGAAGTCTGAGATCTGAGGATCAAAGTTCAAAGCCAGCCCAGGCAGGAAAGGCTGTGAGATTCCTATCTCCAATTAAGCACTAGAAACCAGAAGTGGAGCTGTGGCTCAAAGTAGTAGAGTACTACTCATAAGCAAAAGAGCTCAGGGACAGTGTCCAGGCCCTAAGCTGAAGCTCCAGGACCCACAGAAAAAAAAGAAAGAAAAAGACTCGCTCTGCTTTTTCACTCAAGGCTGGTGCTCTATCAATTGAGTCATACTTCTAATTCCTGAGGGAAAATATTTTAGGCATAAAAATGTTCACTATTCAGCTGGCAAAATTAGAAAAACCAGAAACAAAGTAAATTAATAACTAGGAAACAGATAAGGACCTGGAGGCAAACTGCAGTCATCTAAAAGGCTACTTACAACAGGTTTTTAAGAGCATGGGAAATATTTAGGAGCATGGGAAAATAAATACTTTTCCTATGTTACTTAAGCAAGGGGAGAGTTAAAAAAAAAACTACTCATATTCTATGATCTTAACTGTGTAAAAAAAAAAAAATAGAGGGCTGGGAAGGTGGCTCAGTGGTAGAGCACTTGCCTTGCATGCATGAGGCCCTGGGTTCAATTCCTCAGCACCACATAAGCAAAAAGAAAAAAGCCGGAAGTGGCGCTGTGGCTCAAGTGTTAGAGCGCTAACCTTGGGCTGAAGAGCTGAGGGACAGCACCCAGGCCCAGAGTTCAGGCCCCACGACCAGACCCAAAAAAAAAAAAAAAAATAGACCTAGGAAGAAAAATAATGGCAAGATACTAACATCACTGGTTATTTTGAGTGTATTGTCTATAATAAATCCTTTTAAAATGTAGCTTGCTAACACATGTTAAAATACTTAACAGTATACTCCCAATGAATGATCAAATGTCACCAACAGATGTCTGAGCCATCACAAACAGCCTAGTAAAAACCACTGTGTCTTTGGGGCCAAACTGGATGGAGCTTTCACTGCTCTAGGTACCGCCCCTGCCAGCAAATGTGCCAGACTGACCTTTCACCACACCACACTGCTGGACACCTAACTCGTGGGAACTGCATTTTCTATAGCCTTTGCAGTGAAACTTCCATTCCCTTCACCTTCTTAAGAACTTCTCTTTGGGACTGGTTGGAAGGATCAAGTGGTAGAATGTTGACTAGCAGGTGAGAGGCCCTGAGTTCAAATCCCCAGTACCACACCATCAAAAAAAAAAAATCTTATCCATATCCAAATCTCTCAATAAACCAGTACCAACTTACACTAGTTTT